TAGCTCTTCAAACTCCTCGAAGAAAGAAGTTATGTTCTTTCCATTAAAATATAGAAGATTATTACTTCTATCTAAACTCTAGGGCATTTATCTTATCGATATTATAGAAGGAGGGACGTATAGCGGCTACACTATAGAATCCGGCGTTAATAGATCTTATGAGCTAACGCTTGACATTATCGGTAGTCCTAGCTTTCCTTTACCGTTCGAGCCTCCCGCGGATGATATTTCGTTATTTTTATGTTTTTATATACGTTTTTTAGTGTTTTTATCGGTTTTATTAGTTATATCTTCGTAACTTCTCTCCTCTCCTTCGTTAAGTCCCTTACCCTTCTCGTTCCTTATCTCCACTAGTAATTTCTATCGATACTATAGCTCCACTTCCCGGCGATAGCGCTCTGACTTTACCCGCCTCCGCGAGCTTAGCCTTCCCATCCGTTGTCGCTATTCCTTAAACAGTTCTACGTTTTATTAGCTTCCTCTGAGCTCCTTAGTTAGGGGTTTTTAGGGTCAAACGCTTTCCCTATCCCTCGAGGGATGTATCTCTTCCTTAGTTCTTCTATGTAATCCAAATAGTCATAAAGTCGTTAGTTTTCCACCCTATATAGTGGTAGTAAACATATATAGCTAGTAGTTCTAAAGGGCACCCTAAGCAGCGGTCTCCATAAATAGCTAACGTAACCCGTCCTGTATAGCGGGACAGACTTACTCAGTTAGTAATCCCTAAGGTATACCCTACGTAGCGGTTCTGTATATATAGTCAGCGTTCTCCAGATTTAGTTAGGTAGGTAGGTAAGTAAGTAATTCTTCAGTTCCGTTAGTCTAGTCGTTCATTGTGGTTATGTTATCGTTTCTTCTTCTTTAGTTTTGATCTTCTCCTACCGCTCGTAAAGAGACGCCTATACGTAAGTATTTTTCCCATTGAGCATTAGGTTCTTATCGGAGGTACTAATGAACTGGGGCGAGGCTTCTAGCCATAGGCGCTAACTCGTACGGCGGTAGGTAATAGGCGCGTTCACATCTTGTCAAGCAGTTGATTGATTGTCTTATTGTTTCTCTGTCTGCCTAGGCGAATAACAAAAGAAAAGACTACTAAGCTAAAGTGGTACCCTCGAACTGACTAATCAGAGAGTGGTAACGTTTACCTGTACAATGTACAGCCAAAAGTTGACTAATCACCTTACTCGCCCACCTTGCATCTCAGGTCCTCTCTAAACCTTTCCCATTACACTAGATCTTACCTAGGCATCCTAACTATAAGATCGCTAACGTCTCGAATAGAGCTCTTTGGAGTGCGCTCTAGAGTCCTAGCCGTAATGGATAGGTTAGTAGTTCCTTTATCGATACCGGGATCGCCGCCTCTCGAAAAGAATCTTATGTAAAGTACTCTATTATCTCGAGTTTAGCGTTTCTTTTTTAGATTAATTAATGCCGATAAGTAAACGACCTAGTGGATTTTAAGGCTTAGGGAGACGTTAATGATCTCTCTAGGCGACTCATCATCGTCAACGACGACTTAGTAGGCGCTGGAAACTACTAGCTTATCTTCATAGCGGATGGGATAATATAGTCGTACTCTATCATCGACTCTTAATTCGGTCAGTTAAGCGGTAGTAAGCTAGCGTTAGATATTTTCGTTCGGTAGTTAAAGGAGCGTATTTTCAGCATCCTGCCGCGAAATATCGAGTTAATATCCAACTACTAATAAGACAAAAGCAGCTATAGGCTTTAGATGGTCAAGAACGCTCTTACGGTTATCAACGCTGACACCTATAAGAAGGTGCGTTTATAGGCTACGTTATCTACCGTTTAGGTCGATATCGAAGATCGCTTCCTAATCTCTTTAAAGATCTACTAGATAGTTAAGCGCTACCTAAAGCAAAGTGGGTAGGCGTTAGCTCTCGCGAACATGAGCTCGAAGGAATTAGATTCGAGATAACTGGATAATTTTACGGAGGCTTTAAAGGGCATAAAGAAGAATTGATAATTCCGGGAGGGCTAGTGAAGCTAGTTAGGAGACTTAAGCGAGGTCGTTAAGAAAGCGAGCGATAATGGGAGGGATATAATGGGAAAGGTTTAGAGAGGACCTAAGATATAAGGTGAGCGAGTAAGGTGATTGGTCAACTTTTGGCTGTATATTGTATAGGTAAACGTTACTACTCTCTGATTAGTCAGTTCGAGGGTACTACTTTAGCTTAGTAGTCTTTTCTTTTATTATTCGCCTAGGTAGATAGAAAAATAACAACATAATCAATCAACTGCTTGACAAGATGTGAACGCGCCTGTTACCTACCGCCGTACGAGTTGACGCCTAAGGCTAGAAGCCTCGCCCCAGTTCACTATTTAATAGGAAAGTTCTAAATATTAATATATCGTAATACCTTACTTACACTAGCTAAGAGCTGGAAATCGTCTAGTACGTACTTCTACGATACTTAGTATAGGTGGAGCTAAGAGACGAATACCTTAAAGACGGTCTAAAGAAGGGCGTATCGCCCTTACTTAAGGCGCTCCTAGGGACTAAGAGAGGCTACCGTACGGCAATAAGAATAGTATAACGTACTAGACTACTAGGGTAGTATAATGCCTATACTATTAAAGAGAGCTAGTAGGAGTTATAGGTACCTAACCCTAATAGTAAGGATAAGGTGCGGATTTACGCTTAAGGATAATAGTGATATAGTAACTAGGTAATAGCTAGCCGAGACCACCGGAGGCTAGGTAGATATAGCGACGATAGTCAAGGCGATTAAGCTTTAATAGACTAAGTCTATAGAATTTGATTCGCCGGGAGTAGGAAAGAGGAGGTAAGGTAAGTTATTTCTAGCGTGGGCTGGCGTCTACGTGAGACCTTAGATGTGACTCGAGTGACGTTAAACGGGACTAAATAAATAAATAATATACCGTTCGAAAGGAAACTACTCGAAAGCCGATAGCCTCGAAAGCCTCGATTCCCACTTAAGACGATTAGAATAATAATGCGTTAGCTATAATGACCTCTACGGGAATATAGTGAAATATAATATACGAATAGCGATTAAATACATTAATTAAAGTATAAAAAAGGTGCGAACGTAATATAGAAGAGTACGAAACGAAATATAGAAAAGAGTAAACGAAGTATAGAAAAGCGTAAACGAGGTATAGAAAAGATATAAGCGAAATATAGAAAGGCGTAAGCGAAGTATAAAAGGCGTAAGCGAAGTATAAAAGGCGTAAACGAAGCATAGAAATAAGCGTATAAAATAGAGTATAGACTAAAGAATTTCTTTTTTTAAGGGCTATATTTTTTTCGAGGCCGGGTAGATTGTTACATATTTCGTTATGTAACCAACACGTGACCCTTCGCTAAGGATAGCTCCTACTACTGGTTGACCACCCCTCTTATTGTTGTTGGCCTCTCTCTCTCTTCTTCTTCTTCTTCTTCTTCTTCTTCTTCTTCTTCTTCTTCTTCTTCGTCTTCTACACAGATAGATTAGACAACACACACAGCCCATCAATGGACTCTTGATAGCTAGTACAGCTACTTCCTGGCCATTGCGGCCTTTCCTTTCCATCCTTCACCTATGACAGGTTTTGACTTCCCTGTTCTGTCGTGACATCTGTTTTCAACCCTGGATTTGAGCTGGGGCTTCCATTTTAGGCTGCCTTGTGTAAATACCGTTTGCTGGATGGAGGTGATACTTGACTGCCTGGTTGTGGGTGCAGGCGAGGATAACACTAACCGATACTTAAACATCGACTATCCTTCGACTAATACGTAACTAGACTGTGGACTGCGGTGGACTGTTCTTATAGTCTACAGTCTACTACAGTTCAGTACACGTTTATATATACACGATCACTCTATATAATTACTTCGTAGTCATCTTCGTTCTTAATCATACCCATACGTTCTTAAGTAATCAGATCAGTCTCGCTCGAGAACTTCTCGCCCTTACAGATGCCCTACTTATACTTATACTTACTAAAGAATCTACATTAAATCGCGACTCTCTTCGAGCGATTTATAACACGTATTTAAAGGTTTTTAATATATTTTTTAATTAAAGAAACATTCAACATAGGGATATAATCGTGGATGAAGTTAACTAGGTTTGGGGAGTTATAAAGAGAACACGCGATGTCTGTTTAGATTTGTCCTAAACAGTGGACTACGGTGCACTGTAATCACGGCCGCAGTCCGTCATCCAGCCTTGCCAACGAGGCAGCGTGGCTTATGCCTTGGTGGCCAGGGCTTGCTCTGACAGCCGTATTGCATCTGCAGTAAGGACAGGGGTATAGGAAAGAGTAAGCCTCGCCAAAAGCCATGATGCGGTAACATGAGGAACGAAGTCGCATGTCCGAGCTCTGAGCCAAGGCGTCCAATCCGTAGCCACTAAATCCCGACACAAAAAAGCTGGTTAACAGCATCTTCAAATCTGGTCAGCTATTCTATCTCGAGGAGCTGTCCTATACTCTATCCGACCATCCTAGAGACACAGATAATGAGGCTGACGACGCGCATGGCCTCTTCGGAAGTCTGAGACCTGGCCGGCTATAGGCAGAGGACCGCTTGTTGCACACTGTCACATCCACCTGATGTACTCGTCAGCGTTGCTTGGCATGAAGCACTTTACTCACGGATCGAGGCAGTACGGAGTGGTCTTCGAGCCAAGAGTTGCGGTGCTTGAAATCGATCGGCGCGTACCCCGCTGATACAGAGTATGCAGGGATGAAACGAGGGAAGTTGTCACACCATTTTCGAAGTCGACTTGGTAGATCTGTTATTCGCGCTCAGCCCCTCGCCTGTCAGTGGGTTAGCCCGTCCACTGAAACGTCCACTGGCGGCTCTGCTCCTCGTGGAGCTCTATGGCCAGGAGGTGGCAGAATATACCAACTGGACCTCCTTGTGCCACAGGACTTTGCACATACATCTTCTTTCAACTCTCACATAATTCATTACCACCCTCGATTATTTATCGATGCGAGTACATCTTTAAATTCAAAGACGTTCCATCATGGAGATCAAGCGAAGAATGATCGATCATTCCAAGCGATGGAGCAAAGTCCGCCGACAGCTTTCTGAAGAGACCGCATCAACACCACCTCCGCTGGCAGCCACATCCTCTTCCCCGGTAGAAGAAGAAGAGTCAGACTCTGAAGATGAAGACGACTCTGGAGAAAGCGAGGATGAAGAAGAATTACCCGCTCCACAACCCACTGAAGTTCCACCGCAGGAACCGACGCAAAGTCGGACTCTATCACGTCTCGCTTCTGCAACCTCATCGGTCCAAGCATCTGCAAGCCAAACTGGGATTGTCAAGATGTCAATGACAGGAATAACGTCGCCAACTGCGACGCTCGATACGGCGGTCAATTCAGCCTCTTCCAAACCCACCACGGCCTCGGCTTCTGCAGCAGTCCCGCTGACTGGTGTTCAGTCCGAATCGTCCTCCTCCCTCTCCACCATGAGCATTGCGGCGATCAGTGTAGGCTCGATCATCGGCGCCTCCGCGTGCCTCATAGCCGTGCTCTATTTCTTCCGGATGTTCTGCTGCCGTCGTCGACGTCAGAAACAAACCTCCCAGATGGGAGATGGACATGGGGTAGGGGACCAAATCCGAATCACAGACCACGCCTCACCCCTGGCCATGGCCGTGGCCCAAGTTCATGTTCCCCTACCAGCACCTATAGACCCAAAACGTTTCTCTGTCCAGTCGTCATCTACCACGGGGAACAGTGCGACTCAAATCCCATCTTACAATCAGGCCATGGCGTACGACCCACTCTTCCACCCGATCATTCCCGGAAACGAGGTATCCCAGGATGAGAAACCTGTGCACCTGTTCAGAGAGCAGGTCGATCCATTTATTGAGAGCGCGAGAACGAGCCAGTTCACCAGCGTCGAGGTGCCTGTTCTTGAGCCGAGTAGGCAGCGGCACCCTCCGCCGCGTCCGCAATTCTCTCCAGCTCTTCCAGCTCATCCTCAATCTCACAACTTCTCCCCGCCACCGGTGTCTCTGACTGCACCTGAACCTCCACATGTCCACCTCCTCTTCCCAGCACAATCCGACATTTATGCCGATCAAACCACTGCATCCTCTCCTGCCATCTCCTCGATCCGCCATGGCTCTCAGCCGGGTGCTCCACCATCAACAATCAGCTCGATACGCAGCATCTTCGTCCCGCAGAACCGCGAGTCCATCACTCCCAGTGAGTCGGCGAGCAATCTCCCGTACGACCGTTGGGGGGGGGCAGGAGAGGAGAAGGGAGGTTGAGAAGTTACAGACCACGATGGCCGGGACAAGCCCTTGCTGGTAGCGGACAGATTGGAGGCGGCGGTCGTGATGGAGGAGGAGAAGGATGGTGTGTTAATGAGCAGACTTAGATATGAAAACCCATCGTGCATGGGATCGACAAGGAGTCGGAAACACGACATGAAATTGAGTTGAATGAAAGTGGGCTGGGCTATCAAGTATTGTAAAATACGGCATGACCATTCGGAGTTCTAACTCAGGTTCATGGATAGGGGTATAATCGGTGATCATGCCCGTGAGAAACGCAATGTGTGCTCCGTACACTCCGTACATCTCGACTATATTCTAGTTTTCTTACCGTCCGTTGCCACAGTCTCCCTTTTTTACTCTTCCACTTCCACCTCCACTCCCTCGTCTCGTCTGGCATTGCACTACCCTTTGACACAATGTCGCTGTCACATGATGGAAGCATGTGACCAACACGTCACTTACAGGAAAGGGAAAGGTGACTCTTCGCCAAGGATGAATCCTGCCGACTGATCGACTACCCCTGTTGTTTTCGCTCTCTGTCCTCTTTTCCTTCTCTTCTCTCTGCTCAGATAGATCGGACAGCACACAGCCCACCAATGGACTTTTCATAGCTATTGAAGCTAGTTCCCGGCCATTGTGGCCTTTTCCTCCTCGTTTCCGTCACCCATGACAGTCGCACATGCCCATCCTCGACGGTGCCGTTCCTATGCTACCCCCTACCCCCTGGGTCAAAAGGTGTCATTCATCACCCCCAGGTCAAGTCCAGGTCCCCGCCCTTCAGCAGCCAAGAACGGGCCACTACGTATACCAGGTTTCCAAAAGGCCGTGTTGCTGTCACGTGGGGGCTCTGGACCCGCCTCGATCAGGGCAATAATGGGTCGGTAACTGTATGAGGTTCTGAAGCACTGCCAAGCAAACAAGCACGTCATTTCTCAAGGTACTCTCTACATACTAAATGTACTGTACATACAGACAATGGAGACGTGATTGCGTACATATCTCGCTTGGCAGCCTCGTATGGGTCTCTGCCATCTGGTAGCTTGTTTCGCATCGACGCCCCTTGCGATCCACTTTTGCATCCACCTTACATACTGTATGTATGTACATGCGCCCGATCACTCCATCCATTTGTCTTTATTGACTGACTCATCTGGACCACCATTCTGTTCATTCAGCGTGCTGCAGGCCCCATCAAGTTTCAGATGCTGGAGTCTATCAGTTAAAGTTTCTCGAACGTCGACACCTCAAACAATGTACGGAGTACCATCATTTAAGAGTTCGCCAAGGTTGACAAAGTCTACGTGTCGTCTCCGGTCGGAGCGCCAGTCGAGCTTTCCTTTGCTCGCTTGTTAAGTGGGCAGATCAGGTTGCGGGATTGTATTATGCATCAAGAGCGTCTTGGAATGGATGCTTCGACCGCGAATACCCAATCATTCAGGGCCAAACCACTGTCTTTGGCGGCGAACAGTACTGCAGACAACGAATCTGGACCATGAGGTAGCCTCGCACTCTCGTTTCATGGTAAAGCAAGGGAAGGGGTTCGGTCGCGGTGGAGGAGATAAAGAAGATAACTGTGCTTGTTGAGGGATGATATGGCGACGCGTGTACACACGAAGGAGAGGATTTCACCTGAGGACTTGCATGAGAGGACCTGCACCAGAGGGACCAACTTGATGGGACACTGACGCACTCGTTCCGGGAGTACAGAACTGTACAGTACATATTCAAAGTCCAGCTCCAGTGATGAACCCATGCCATCCTTACTTTACTCTGTCGGTTGGTTTCTTTTCGATTCGTGTCCTTCAAGTTTTCTTCCTGTCTTGCCTCGTTCTCTTCGCCTGCCCAGGTTCAACTGGTTTGGCCGGTGGTGAAAGAGAGATTCATTCCTTGACTCAGATATCCCACCGTCAAGGGACACGAACTGTTGTGTTCTTTCGTCTTCAATTCTCAACAGCAGCCACAGCAACAATGGCTGGTTCCTCCTCCTCCCATCAGGAACAGAATTCCGAGACGGAGAGGTACTTGAACTACCTCAACCATTCGCTCTCCACAAATTACCTGTATGCGCTGGTCGCCCTCGTCGTCATTGTATTCGTGTACCACAGCGTCCTCCGCCTTCACAGGCATGCCCGCCATCTTGTCTCCTTGGGAGGCAACACCAGATCTCAACGATACTTCTCCTTCGCGAGCCCGACCGTCACATGGTTCAAAGACCACTTTGTCTATGCACCCCTTTTGTATCACAGACGGGCTCAGGAGATCAAATGTGGCCCTCTTGTGATCTTGGGCACAGTACCAACTCGCTTCCAGGCACTCTTCATCATCAGCATCGTCGTGTACAATGTCTTTGCCTGCGTCTGGAACATTCCATGGTCCTCTTCTCAGCTTGAGGTGCTTCCCATCTTGAGAAACAGTAAGTCCCTCGTCACATCCGGCCCCTTAGTACCGCTTCATGCTGACCCGGCGGACTAGGGACGGGATCCCTTGCCACGGTCAATCTCATCCCTATTTGCGTGCTTGCAACAATCAAGAACCCCCTGATCAATGCCCTGGATATCTCATACGACTCTTTCAACCTTGTGCATCGGTGGCTAGGTCGCTTGAGCATTCTGGAAGGTGTGGCCCACACGCTGTGCTGGATGGTTGCAAAGGTCCAGAAGGGGGGTTGGAGTGCCGTCCAAAAGTCCTTGACACACTCTTCATTCATCTACACCGGTCTGATTGCCACTGTCGGCTTCGTTGCATTGGGACTTCATTCTCCCAAGGTCTTCAGATCCCTGGCATATGAGTTCTTCTTACATAGCCATATCCTCCTCGTGGCCATGACTTTCGGCGGATTGTGGATTCACCTGGTGGATCTGCCTCAACAGATGTTCCTTCTCGCGGCCATCATCATCTGGATTGGATCCCGACTGTGGAGACTCTGCACTTTGCTCTACCGCAGTTGCGGACGTGGTGGTTCCTATGCCGCCATCGAGCCACTCCAACGTGGAGCCGTGAGAGTTTCAATCACCTGTACCCGACCATGGAAGGTCCGGCCCGGCCAGACACTGTACCTGAGCATTCCATCCATTGGCTGGTTGACTCTGCATCCGTTCTCAGTTGCATGGGCCGAATCCGGTATGTGCACAGACCTGGACAGCGCCCATAGCATGAAGAGCAAGTATTCAGAGTATTCAGACAAGACAGGGCTCGTGGGTTCCGTCCGCGCCGTTGGCGAAGGAGGTCCAGAGCCGCCTAGCCGCACTCTTGAACTCATCATCAAGCAGAAAGCCGGATTCACTTCCACCCTGTTGACTCGAGCTCAACAAGGCGGCGGCAGACTCGTTCTCCCCGCCTACGTGGAAGGTCCCTACGGCCACGAAACCAGCCTCGCCAGTTTCGGGACCTTGGTCCTTTTCGCCACTGGGGTCGGCATTACCCATCACATGCTGTATGTTCGGTCTCTGGTGCAGGGCTTTACCGAGGGAACGGTCGCCACCCAACACATCACCCTCGTGTGGGTCGTGCCCGATCGCGAGTGTCTGGACTGGGTGTGTGTATGGATGCAGGAAATCCTACGCATGGAGAACCGCCGCGATGTTCTCACCGTCTTGCTCCATGTCACTCGGGCAAACTTGACTCAGGACATCAGGAGTCCCAGCTCTAAGGTCAGGATGGTGCGAGGTCGACCGAATGTAATGAGGATCGTGCAGCAAGCGGCTGACGATAGAGTTGGGTGCTTGGGGATCAGTGTTTGTGGGTCGGGAGGACTCGCGGACGAGGTGCGTGCAGCAACTCGGGTGGTGATCGGGCAGGGTGTGAATGCTTCTTTGATGGAGGAGAGTTTCGGGTGGTGAAAGGAGGTGAAAGGAGGTGAAAGGGAGCGGTTCCGGTGATGTTTTGGATGAGGTTCAGGAGACGGTTTCTTCCATTTGATACAAGTGTTCTCCCTCTAGAGCAATCGTGGGGCGTCCTTGCTCTGAGAAAGTCACAACTTAAACGCGGGAACCGATTAGTTGATACCCGATCAACGGGATCCTCATGATTATTGTTGACCCCGTATGTACTTACTTCCACTATTGCCAGCAGATAGCAAAATTCGTCGCCACAAGCCAGCAATGTAGGCCAACATCGAAGGCGTAGTTATAGACACTTTCTGTCGTAAAGGAGACCAGGCCACAGCAGAAGGGTCGAGCTAGGCATGGCTGAACGACGGAAGGTATGACCAGAGTATAATAGCGTGATCAGACAAAGATCGCTTCACTGGATTCATTACAATAAATAATCAAATCAGGAAATGAACCCTGCACACAATATTTGGTCGAATTGTACTGTAGACATATGTCAATAGAAGAAACTAGTAGCAACCAGCAAGGGTTCTGAAGCGTGGGATTATGTCTAGAAAGCTAGAGCCTGGTATACAGCCCTAAATAGCATCATCCGTCCAGGGCTTGTACAACCTGTGCCCAGTCTTCATCTATATATGCTCCAGGAACGTGCCCGTCAAAGAGACTAGCCAAAACAACACGATCCTCTTGCTCTCCTTCCCATGGTTGTCGGCCATGTTGCGCAATGATGTTATCGTACACAAGCACATCGCCTCGCTGCCATTTGTGGAGGACCCTCAGCTCATCCGTTATCTTGGCAAGGTGCGCAAGGTATTTCTCTGGAATTAGCGTGCCATCACCGAAAAGCTGGGTGACGATATTCTTTCTAGAGCCTTGGTTGACCTGGGCGTTCTTATAGTACGCTGCCAACCCAGTGAAGAGTGTTGGAAGCTTAGTTTCTGGTTGAGTGCGTATAGCAGGCAAGCGGTGTGTTAACACCAATGTGTCGTCGTCGATCCATTCCGAAGTTGTGTTTTTGCCTCGTCCATAGCGGGCTATTTGAGCCTCGATCTTGACCCTCCTCGTGCCAGCATCGTCGCTGTCCTTGATCTCCTTGCCGAATGCTTGTCGAAGTGTAGAGCCTCCTTCATACTGCTTGTTGGCCTTGTAGGTGACTTTACTGAGAACTCCCTTCCGACCAAGTTCAGATATGAACTCGGGAATCTCCTCTTGCGCACGGGCGAAAAGTTCAAGGGAGGACGAAATTGGGGTCTCACCGCCCTTGGCTGGAGTATGATGGCTGTAGAAGAAAATGTATTTCGGCGCATGAGGCACCTGTGGTGACTCATTATGGTTGTAAAATTGGTTGGATGCTAGAACCATTGCTGTGATCTTGATGCCGAGACTCCTCAATGGGCGTATAAGTGTAGTTGTGGTAAAGTTATAGAAGAATCTCCGTTGATTCTCAAAGAGTTCGAGCGAGAATTATAGTTATAGGAAAGGCTATTCTCAACTAACTACCTAATTTTAAGAAGTTACCCATTTAAGTCTAGAAATAGACCGCTACCTTCAACAGATGTATCTCGGTTTACCTTCCTTTCCATTTCCTCCCTTCTCTCTAAGTTCCTAGGTTCCCACTTTCCCTAATCGACCCTATTCCTTTTTTCTTTCTAGATTAGCGCCCTCTATCCTAGAGTTTAAGGCGGAGCGTGATTTTCGGCTAGCTAACTCGTAGATAGATATAAGTCCTATTCGCGGAGTGGTAAGGGTAATCTTTATCTCGAGCTTTCTCACTCGATAGCGAAATTTCTAGAGTCGAACTCCTCGATATCTCCGCGTATAACTCCGGGTAACTACAGGACGGATCGTATCTAGTATTAAATAACGTTACTCTACTTAATTCGCTAGTAGTATCGTCTAGTAAAAGAGTAAGTATAGGCGAGGGCGAGGGTGAAGGCGAGTATAAATACTAACCGAAGATAGCGTCGTTATCGACCTCTCCTAGCCTAGGGGAATCGATCGCGTTATTAGGCGTTATATAATGGGATAGGAATAAATTATAGTCGAGGTTAATATATTTATCGCTATCGCCGGTGAACGCTAGAGCATCCTCCGCTATCCGATCGTCTCCTTTATTTACTCTAATAGGCGGAAGATTTCTCGCCCTACGATCTAGCTACTAGTCTATTATAGACCGAGGCTCTAGGAGTGTTTATATTATAGTAATATCTGCCGTCTTACTAACCGTAATACGAATCCTTTATTAGGATCCTGCCGACGAGGGGGTTAAGGCCGTTATATCTACAACCCCCTAGCTTAGTAGGATCGGTAGCTTAACGGGCTATAGCGCCTCTATTATATCTGGCGTACGGGGCTCCGACTCCGATAAGCTATTACCGGTAGAATGTTACGAACAGGGCCTGCGGCCAGGAAAAAGGCCAACCCCATGGGCAAGAAGAGGGGCAACTAAGGCGAGGCCACGTAACAGGGAAACGCTCAGAGGTGATCAGGGCAGTTAGCGCATGAGTGACTGAGCAACACTGAGCAGCCGCTCAGTAATGATCAGTGTGCTCGGTGCGCTGACTAGCTGAGCACAACTGAGCACACTGAGCAACCAACAACTATATAGATGTCTTCACACCCCTCACAGCTATCCTCGTAGTCAATAACAGTTACACAGAATCGAGTTCCTCACGATTATCTGCTATACGTATAGGTCTGCATACTATACACTTGGTTTCCAGTCTCAGCTACACCGTCCCACTACTATATCACCAAGTAAACCACCTCGGGTTTGCCTGTGGACACCTCGCGTGTCTTGTAGCAGCTCGTAACATAGAACTATCCTTACGTTCGGAGGAGGGGTAGGAGGTCCTAAGGCCCGTCGGCGACGCGAGACTCGTCTACTCTAGATCGGAAAGACTTAGGTCGATTAGTAGGTCTAGATATAGGCCGCTACAGGAGTCGACGGAAGTAGTTGCCTTAGTCAGCCGTAGGTGGGCTGAAGAGAATAGAGCGTCGAAGTAGTCTCTCGGTAAGATAGTAGGATTAGTAGTGTCGGAATTAGATATTGTAATGGGAAGGGTTTGAGGAGGACCTGAGGTGCAAGGCGGATAAGTAAGGTGATTGGTCGACTTTTGGCTGTACAATATATAGGTAAACGTTACCACTCTCTAATTAGTCAGTTCGAGGGTACCACTTTAGCTTAGTAGTCTTTTCTTTTGTTATTCGTCTGGGCAGATAGGGAGAAACAACACAATCAATCGACTACTTTACAAGATGTGAACGCGCCTGTTACCTCCCGCCGTACGAGTTGGCGCCTATGGCTAGAAGCCTCGCCCCAGTTCAGTAGATACGATAAATATATAGGTATATAGAGTGTAATAATATTATTCTCCTTATATTAGCCCTTAAAATCCACTAAGTAATGACTTTTACAGTTATCTAGGATTAATAGATGAAATATACCCTTTATATAACTATAACTATATTTATTAAAGTACTTAATCTAATTAAGACTAATCTCGTTCGTTATCTATCTATTATCACTAAGTATAATAACCTAGTAGGACGGAAGGGGACTATCTTAGTACTATAATATAAGGTAATACTTATTAGCGACTATAATAAAAGGAATATAGCCTAGCTATACGAATTAATACTCTAGATTACTATAGCCTATTCCTAATTACTAGGCTATATTATGTTAACCTTTCTATACTCTTTAGAACTCGTTATAACTATTATAGATAAGATTAAGTCTATTATAAACCTAGTCTTATTAAAGTTCTAAGTGTTATCTTTATAGATCCTATACTTAGCTACTACGTTTCGTACGAAGTTAAACTAGACTTAAATAATTACTAGATCTTCGTATTAGACTCTCTAGTAGTTATTACTCCATATAAATCGCGTTTATAGCTCTTAATATTATTTAATAAAGTTCGATACCTAGCGTATTCTAACGTATAGCGCGTTATATATTATACGTAGTTTATCGGCTATATCTCCTACACTACTAAATTAGGGAGGAAGTCCTCGCGAATATAGGTTAAGGACTTCTCGTACGAGGACTAATTCTTTAAGGTCGGTTAAATTTCGAGAATTCGCTAGTTAGTCGCGTTAGGAAGGTTGACCTTTACTTTAGTAGCGGAGGGTTACTTTAGGGATATTATAGACTTTAGTAATAGATTGTATAACGTGGGTGCATAGCGAGCGACGCAGCATAGCGAGCGACGCACTTTCCGCCCTATTTATCACCTTCATCTTCTTCCCGCTACTACTCCACTACAAAACATAGAATCTACTCAGAAAGAAGTAAGAATACTCCTTACCCTTTAAGCTCTTAAACGCGATTCAGAACAGAGCGTACGATCTATTACTAAAGCCTATAATATCCCTAAAGTAACCCTCCGCTACTAAAGCTAAGGTCGACCTTCCCGACGTAACTAACTAGCGAATTCTCGAAATTTAACCGACCTTAAAGAATCAGTCCTTATACGAGAGGTCCTTAACCTATATTCGCGAGGATTTCCTCCCCGACTCAGTAATGTAGGAGATATGGCTAATAAACTACGTACGACGCGTAGCGCGTCACGCGTCGGACCGCGCTAGGCATCGAACTTTATTAAACGACATTAAGAGCTACGAACGCGATTTACACGTAGATACGACTACTAGAGAGCCCAATGCGAAGATCTAGTAATCATTTAAGCCTAGTTTAACCTCGTACGGAACGTAGTAGCTAAGTATAGGATCTACGAAGATAACACTTAGAACTTTAACGAGACTAAGTTTATAATAGGCCTAATCTCGTCCGTAATGGTTATAACGAGTTCTGAAGGGTATGGAAAGGTTAAGATGGTATAGCCTAGTAATCGAGAATAGGCTATAGTAATCTAGAGTGTTAATTCGTACGGCTAGGCTATACCGCCTTTTATTGTAGTCGCTAGTAAGCATCACCTCGTATTATAGTACCGAGATAGTCCCCTTCCGTCCGACTAGGTTATCGCACTTAGCGATAATAGATAGATAACGAACGAGATTAGTCTTAATTAGGTCAAACACTTTAATAAACACAGTCGTAGTCGTATAAAGGGTACGTTTCGTCTATTAATCCTAGACGGCTATAAAAGTCATCACTTAGTGGATTTTAAGGGCTACTATAAGGAGAATAACATTATTATACTCTATATACCTATACATTTATCGTATCTACTTTAACTACTTAACGTTAGGTATTTTAGTCCCTTAAAGCGATCGTACGGTAAAGAAATCGAGAACCTAATTCGGACATACGTAACCTATATCACTAAGGTCGAGTTCTTTACCGCGTTTAAGAACGCTTTTTTTACTTCCTTCGGCAAAGATAACGTACGAGGAGGTTTCCGAGGGGTAGGGCTTATCCCTTTTAATCTAGATACGGTCCTTTCGAAGCTAGATATAAAGCTTTAGACGCTAACACTACTAACACTCCCCTCGCTAATAACCACCCCTTAGGTCTCTAAGACGCCATAGACTACGTACGAGGTAACTTCATAGTCTGATTTTATTAAGGGGAAAGTCGCTCGACATTAAGATAGCTCTCTAATAGTGATTTATAAGGCGATAGACCAGATAGTGAAAGGTATGACTACTATAATGCATCAAATGGTATTAATAAAGGATCGTATCTAAGAGCTTAAAGAGGCAAATCGTACGCTAAGTAAGTGTCGCAGAGAGAAAAGGACACGGATCCGATAAGGAGGATCACTTACTATACGAGACGCGTAGGATATGATCGACTAGAGGGATATGGATAAGTAGGTAGAGTAAGAAAAGCGTGTAAGTAGTGGTCGTACGAGAGGGGGTGAGCTAACTTAACGACGATGTAGTACCTATGGAAAGCCTAGGTATAATGTACGTACGTATTAAGAGGATAAAGAAATGTTTAATGTATCTAGTTCTGAGTAGATTAAGTGAATTTATCTTAGGTTAGTGGTGTAATTAAATTAGATTGTCGTACGGTAGTGGGAAAGTGCGTCGCTCGCTATGCTGCGTCGCTCGCTATGCACCCACGTTACTCTATTTTAGATTACGTTTAAGAGCTTAAAGAGTAAGGAGTACTCTTACTTCTTTCTAAGTAGATTTCATATTTTATGGTAGAGTAGTAGTGGGAAGAAGATAAAGGTGATAAATAGGGCGGAAAGTGCGTCGCTCGCTATACTGCGTCGCTCGCTATGCACCCACGTTATATATATATGAACACGTCGTAAGAAATCAAAATGAGTATTCCACGCCTTCTAGCCTTTGGATTTCGTCTTGTAAATTCATCCCACTGGATTCGACAGCGCCACGCAAAAGGTCTGCAACTGCGCGAAGTTGGGAAGGGTGACTGAGACTCTTTGCGGCACGGATTACAGCAGCGGCCACCAACGGGTTCCACACGGAGCTACTGTCGGACGATGCCACGATGCCAATGACCCTGAGTGCGTGCCATTGTGCAGAAGTCGACGAGCCGCTGTCCGCCATGGCTTTCACAAGTCGGGGCTTGTGCTGGAGAAGGAGAAGAGACGTCAAATGATAGACCACGTTCGCTACTAGGGCACAGGCGTTGCTGAATATCAGGGTCGGAAACCCCAGAATTGACCAGCCAACATCGTCGTGGGATCCAGGAGAGCTTTCGAGCGCAAGAATTTGTTGCATGTCATCGCTCCGTGCTGCGCACCACAGTTGGGAATTGCTCCAGCAGGACTGCCACTCTGCAGCCACAGGAATATTTCTCGCCAGTTGGGGCCGGTTCTGGGACGAGGACAGAAGCAGAGTGCGTTCGAGGACGGACAGAATCTGTCCGAGTTGCTGCTTCTTTGATAGCTGCTGCCCGGCAAAGATCGGGACAGTGCTCCGAGACAGAAAGGACAAGCCAGCTATTGGCGACGGGTGCTTTGCCATCAGCCTGGCCGCGAGGCAAAGACGTGCGATAAGGTGCCAGAGTTCCTCGAGCTCGCCAGTCGGAAGGGAAGCAAGAGAACCGCAAATACCCTGAGCATCATTCTCCCACTGATGAGGCGCATTCATGATCATGCTACGTAATGTCAGGAGAGTCTGAGAAACCAGGATATCTTCCTGCTCGTCTGCATCTTCACAGATCGCCTCTGCTGCTGTAGCATATTCAAAGCTGGCGATTTCGTCGTCTGGACGGCGAAAAGAGCCACTTAACGCCCGCTGATAACTTGCAAGGGCAAGGATGCTTCTTTGGATTCTCAGGCAATGAGCTGCTCGACGTAGAACCCGGACGCCAAAGTACTCTTCCCCGACGCCAAGGTCTATCTGGACAGCGGTGTTGTATCGATAGTAAGTCAAGATGTCCAGGACACTGGGCCTTGATGGGAGGACGAGCGCATCTGCCGAGCCAGGTTCTGGACGCGCAAAGTTGTCCCACGATCGAGACACAGCGGCACTGGGAGGTGAGGCGAGGGAAGAATCAATATCCTGACGGAAAGGCTCGAAGGTGCTGCCGGAAAACAGTTGTACAGAGGGGTTTTTTGGGACGCGGTGATCCTGGACGAGGTTGCTCGCATCACCAAGGCTCGTCGAGAGGAGCTGGCTTTGAGATGCATTCTGGGAAGGCTCTTCGACAACGCTCTCATCTAAAAAGGATCGCTCGCCTCGAGGATTCAATTCCAGCGAGCTTGCTGCAGCCTGTGTAACCTGCAGGTCGTCGGTGGGTGTGTCACTCGAATGGATGCGAGTGTTCGGAAAGCCGCCGTGCTTTTCTGTTTCATCGCCTGCTTTCTTTTTGGAGCCGACGAAAGTGATGTTGAGCCCATACCGACAGTGAAGGTTCTTGGTGCGACAATTCTGACACTGCGGCTTCCCTTCATCACCTAAGCCGTGTTAGCATCTGAGCCCGGAGAGAGTATTTGTCCCAAACCCGGGTTTTACCTACACTTGCGCCTTCTTCCTCGACAGGTCAAGCAGCCAGTCCGCACTCTTCGACGTGGTGCTGATTCTCCAGAGTCCTCCACCATGCCCGCGAGGACGTGCACAGGAATGGCGACATGAACGAACGAATGGAGAAATCGGTACCGCAAGAGATGAAGTGGGACGGAGAAGTAGAAAAGAGAAAAGTCTGGAGCCCCGCGCGACCTTCTCCGCACTAGCACCGCGCTAGTACAATCTTTGCCTACACTTTCCTCTTTCGGATTGACGCCGCTTCATTGCCGTCTCGTGTGCATACGCAGTTCGACCACCAGCTGTGTTTGAACGTGCTTTATACATACGAGGGCTTAGAGTTAACGCAGTCGACGCCATCCACTAGCCTTCCTAGGGCTGTTTAGTCGGCATTACTAGCAAATAGCCCAGCATGTGCCCGGCTACAGGGTCGCTAGCCTGGTAAGGCTATCGATCACAACAATACCTACCGTAATTCCTAGAGTCCCCGGTAGCAGGCCGCACAGTGATTCGTGGGGATGAGACTGGGCTTGCTTGGCTGATACTGGTGGCACGCTATTTGGCGAGTACTGTTGTCAATGTACGAAGTGTGTAAACGGTGCCGGTTGTACTAGTACTATTTCAATAGTCGAGTGCTAAGATACTATTAGTACTAGTACTATACCTGTCTGCCTTGTGTCAACAAGCACATAGTCATCACCGCCGACTAGGAATTTCATCGACTCATAAACACCGGGCAGAGGCATGGTTCGCCAAAACCAAGGCGAAAAAAAAAACCCTGCCCTCACTTTCCTTGGGCTTGTGCATCAAAAGCTTCTCTACGACCGACGGGGTTCCTGGACCCTCTCGAACAAAAATGGCAAGAATGCTGGATTGCACCTCAGCCTAGATTACGTGCGTCAAGCCACTGTATTTGTTCGTCGCCAAATCCTCAATGGGCATTTTAATGATGTTTGTGCTGGGGGTGTCCCTCGTGGCCATGCTGGCCGTGGCCACCTTGGCTGTGTTCGGTGTGGCCCTCATGACTGTGGCCCTCATGACTGTGGCCCTCATGACTGTGGCCCTCGTGCACATGTCCCTCTTTTGCGTGCTCGCCATGTCCCTGGCAGGTTTTGTGGTGCTCTGCATGCACAGGGTCGTTCTCATGCGCACACTTCCCGTGGTGGTGCGAAGCTTGCGTCTGTTGGTCTGCCATGTCGCCAAACTGCGAACACGAAGTTACAATAAATCCCGTGCCTCTGAAAGTTGTTTGTGCCATCTTACCTCTCTACAGGCTGCAAAGTTATTTCGGCCAATGTCCAAAACTTGTTGACGGGCTGTTCAAATATAACAATGTTACTGGGAAGTGACTGGCCTTCGAAGGAAGATCATGATGAGATATCGGATTTTCCTGAGCCTTTATTATGGTGTGACACAACAGAATCTGAGCAATCTATTCTCCCAGTCGACTGGAGTCCGGAGCTGTACCGGACGCAGATTGGGTGGCATGATACGAAATTCAGACATGGATTTTGCCATTATGGTTTAGCCCCTATTCCGCGCCTTCCGCTTGCCCGAGATTCCCAATCGTAGTGACACTCAAAACGCCTAAGACTGGCCCGATATCCGACTCATCTCATAAGGACCTTGCAAGCTCGCCGCATTCCATTGTAAATCTATCGTCAGACGCCATCTCATTATATTATCTTACTACATACCAGAGGATGGTTATCATTCGATAGTCGGTTTGAAGTTGATTCTGTCCTCGGGCCGGCTGTTGAATGGCACGCCCAACTCGAGTAACTTGCAATAGGCGGCTGAGAAGTCATTAAAGAACCTGGCGCTGTCTTTGGCGTAGATCTCAACGTATTTCCTGAACTTGGGGTCGTGTTTAAGCGACATGTCGGTGGGCAGCATCATGAGGCTCTTGCTGGTCTGGTCCTGGTACTGGTTGGGTCCGTTCCACTTGCGCCAGCCCCATTTCTCCTCCATAAGGAGCCGGAAGTACTCGTTAGTAAATACAGTCGGGGAGAAAGTCCAGGGCCCGTCGAAGCCGGATCTGTCAGGGTGGCAGCGTCCGACGGCGTGGGCGCCGATGAGAGCCACCGTCTCCTGGTCGTTGAAGCCCATTCTGCTAAATACAGCGCGGACGTGATGCTGGTCCTTGTCCCCGTCTGGGAGACGGCCTTCAGGTGAACAATAAGAGACATCTCGGTCTTGTCGACCAGGTCGCCACGGGACAGTAGGACCTTGCATTTCCTGCACGGCGCAGACACCAGCAAGAGTCCAGAGGTCTGAGTAGGTGATCCACGGAAACTGCGCCTTGATGGGTTCCAGGAAATTGCGCGCATTTTCCAGGCCTCTGTTGGGCACGTATTGGCTTTCTGGAGCAAATCGCATAGTTGCACCATTGCTGCCTCCAGTGCCAGTGGCGGAATCGTAAGATCCAGATGTGTGCCACGATAGCCGAAGAAGAACTGGCCCGTACGACCCGTCATCATACTCGTCGTTGTCCCAGATCGCTTTTGCGATGGCATTGTACACATTCTGGTAGTCTTTGGCAGACGGCTTGAAGTTACTGGTGGTCTGGACTCCAGCTTTTGGTTTGGTGTGTGTATCAGCAACCCGAGTATTGAAGTAGTAACCACCACACGCAAGAAGAGCGATCGCGGCAACCAGTCCTATGGTGGCACTATTGCTGGATCGGCGCGGAGGCTGCGATGAAAAATGGCGTCGGGAGCATCTTTGGAAGACCGGCCTCGCAAGGCTCCTGCTTGCGGGACGAGTGACCGCACGAAGGGAACAAGTTGGTGAAGCAGCACTCTTAGGCACCACCTTGATAAAGGCCCGAGAGGTTGTAATGGCAGCCATAGTGAGTGAGAGTGTGTGCAAACAGGCCCAAGAATGTTTTGGTTTTGGGAGGGTCAAGGAAGAAGCCGCCAAGTCAATGGGACGAACGACGAACTAATAGGATAATGAGACAAAATGTAGCCAGGAACCGAACCAATGTGTGCCATGTAGACCCAAAATCCTCAACTGTTCTAGAGGGTCACTTACGAAGAATAAGTACTCTGTACCGGAGAGTCTGATCCGCAGCTCTACTGGGGGGCGAGACTGCAGAGCGTGGGGATGTCTGACAATACTAGCATGTCGAGATACGTATTCAGTGACTGCTTATCAGCCCACCGTTTTCTCACCGTGATCGTTCTTAAGCGAGTGATAGTGGAGCAAAATGATCAATTTGAATCAGAGTTTCGACGCTGGAAATCCTTTCCCTGGCCTCACCGGAAGGTATTTGATGAAACTGGTAACGTGAGGAACCTTGTTCTGGGGTAAAGATCCTTTTCCGAGGATTTCCAGCCTATGTCTCGGCTTTGGGGACGGCTGGATGGAGTCATACGTCATGGAGTTTTCAAAGGGTGTTCGGTCATACGATAATGAGTACTTAGTAATGTAATGTGATGCGGTGTTTCCAGAATCGATACCGAGTGTTCAGAACACCGTATCGGCAAGGCGGTTAGGGATAATGTCCGTCCAGGTTAGCTACTACTTTGTTGGCACCAGGAAGAGTCGACATGGACGGAATGACATGGGTCTCGAGTCAGGTATCTATGTAATTAATTAAGCGTGATTCATTCATGTTATATTTCTAGATTAGGAAAGCAGAAACCAGCTAAACCTGATTTGTATATTTTCGTGTCGCGTTTCCCAACAGCATGCACGCCACATCTTACTGCGAAAGACCAGTATGCTCTTCCCTTCCAACGAGAAGTATCCTCTAAAGGACACGGCACTGAACTCTTAGTAGAAGAATGTGTATGGCAGATCGCCCTTTGGACACACGGCACCTGGTTTACGACCGCATCCGCAACAACGAATGTGGTTTACAATAATCAATTACTATTTTTTCATACAGGTAGCGGCACTCATAGGACTGACCTGGGGATTACACAATTAACATGAGTTCCAGCAAGCACACGGCAATGAAACTACCGATAGTACGTACTATTTTATGGCATAACCTCGTGAAAAGCGAGCACACCAGCCTTGCTAGAGCCAATAGTCGATAAACCCTGCCATGGAAATGAAACTTGCCATGCTAGTAGTAGTCGTAACAACGTGGCCCTTCCTCCATATTGGCAAGCATGCCGGGTACAAACTCTTGTACCGTCTGCCAGTGGCAGAGTAAATTGACGGGAAGCATCCTTTCCACCGTGTCCACAGATGTTTCAAGTAAGTACATAAATACAAAGAGTACTATGTCCTCGGCCAAATTGCGCTCTTCACCCGTTCCAAGTTCCTTTGGGAGAAAAGGAACTTGAATGTCTACGATGACAACCTTAGCCTTGGCAGCAAATCGTTGTACCATCTGATGAGTTCGCCGAAGCCTGAGTAAGCCCCGGTCACAAGGATGATCTCCTTCATTGCAGAGAAATCCTACGGCGTGTACTTCTGAGATCAGGACCAATTTGTTCAGGGCTAAGCGGGAAGCCATATGTACTAGGTACTAGGTAGTTATACATATGAGAGGCGGAGCATATGTATCGCCATCATGGAAATCGTGACTGGGAAACTATACCCAGACGGTGATGTGGAGGTACGTTTGTTTACATAGGATACATACTATGTAGCTACGGAAAATCCGCAGAAGAGTAGACCCGAGGCACGCTCCCAGGACTGTCAAAAGGGAGTCACGTGAAGCTTGGATTACCGCGCCGAGGGTCAACGATGCGGGGTAGAGATTTTGCCCATGGCCTATTTCGTTTTTGGTTGTCTAGGCTGTAAACCACACTGGCCCTTATATGTACTTAGTAGTAACCCTGTAGCATACATTCATTATTTATTCCTCCCAACCCCTTTGAAACTACTACTAGTATCTGGAAAGTCTCAAGTTAGTTGCAGATTCGATCAGTCGGTCGGTTTTCTGGACATTCACGATATTCACCAGCATGTCTGCGTCCGACTACAAGTATACGGACGCCCTTGTGGAGGTCAAGGGCCGCATCGGCATAATCAAAGTAACGCTATTCCTCACCGTCGTCAAGAGCGACAGTTGGGCTGACAGTTGGCGGTCAAGCTGAACAGGCCAAAAGCTCTCAATGCTTTTAGCACCACGATGATGCTGGATGTGATCACGGCTCTGAGAGAGCTCAACGAACACCCTGCGACCGTCTTCACGGTGCTCACCGGCGAGGGCCGATTTTTCTCCTCCGGGGTCGACGTCAAAGGTAAGTCGAAGCGATGAGCCGCTCTCGGTCATTCCCGTCGCGATGAATTTGGACGAGGATTTCGCATCTCAACGAACTATTTCGCGCTAATTCTTGCGATGTGTAGCGGTTGCCTCAAGGCCTCCGGTCAAGTCTTCCAGCCTTGCCGAGAGGAAGATTGCCTCCATGACAGGCCTCGTCCCGGGTAAGCTGTTGCTCATTTTTGAGGCGCAAAGGCCGCGGCGTGCGGGGCACGAAGCTAATCGGCCATCTTGCTACAGCGTTGGAAATGCTTCGCTCTTTGATCGATCACCAGAAGGTCCTTGTGCTGGCCCTCAACGGTCCGGCTGTGGGTGGGGGTGCCGCATGGTTCGAAGGAGCCGCCGATTTGTTCCTTGCCGCCGAAGGCAGCTGGTTGCAAGTCCCGTTCAACTCACTGGGACTCGTCCCGGAAAACGGGTCGACCACTCTCTTCAGTCACCACATTGGCGTCCGTCGAGCCAATGAATTCCTCATGTTCGGTCGGCGGGCCACGGTCGAAGAGCTTGAAACCTGGGGGCTGGTCAACCGGGTGTTCCCAAAAGAAAACTTCCACGGCTCTGTCCTCGCGTACCTGGAGAAGCAATTGGAGGAAAACGATGGAAAGAGCATGATGGAGACCAAAAGACTGCAGAATTTGCCGCTGCGGAGGGAAAGAATGCTGGCTGTCTATGACTCGGTTGATGCTTTGGCGGAGAAAACCCTGGATGGCGCATCGGTGAAGAGATTCGAGCAGAAGAATGCTCAACTGAGTTGTAAGTTCTTGCATCTCGGCCCCACGTTCCATGTGATATCAAGCTGACACAAGACAGCCCGGTCAAAAGGTCAGGCAAAACTATGATCTTCGAACCAAGCGCTTGTAGAGAAGACGCCCTGTCTGATGATGAAACTGAGCATGTTCGCTTAGCATGCCGTAGCCTTCGCCACAGGCCGCAGCAATTCAAATTAGTCCAAAGAAATCCGTCCAGAATCCTCCCTTGTATGCGGCACTCTCGCATGTCGACCATAGCGGAGGCTCGGTTGCTAGTAGTTGATACATAGATCACTGATGGACGCAAGCCAACCAGCGAAATGACCGAACTGAGGGATACCGCCCGTGCAGTAACTCTTCTGAGAAGCACAAGATTTGCCTCGGCATTGTCCAGTTCTGCAAAGTGGAACTGTGTCGTGCCGGGATAGGTGTGCTGGCAAGCTTCCGGCTAGCTTCAAGTTCTCCAGATCCCCCGGAAAGTCAAAAAGGTGCGCCACGGGTGTCGATGTTTGACGGTCCTGACCTAAGTACACTTCGAAATGTGACTGGTAGTTATGATACTGCATTCCATACCATATATTTGATTTCCGAACCATTTGTTGAACAGTTCTCCTCAGTGTATAATATGTATTCTAATCCCATACTCAGTTCGACAGGGTTTGTCCGTTTGTCCTTCTCTGGATCCGTCTCAGCTTCAACCATCCGCAGGGCCGACGGCCTCCAAATGCAGCAGCAGTTTCGCCCCGGCCGGGCCAGCATTGAAAGTATCGTACAGCCGCATATCCTCGTCCGTCATGGAAGGATCGATCGTGGCATCAAAACGCAGGAAAAAGGAAGCCGTCAGCAAGTTCAGCTCCATCTCCGCCAGACTAGTGATATAAAACACAATTTAGTTAGCGAAGATCCAATCATTCTAATTGTGTCGTCGTGGGGAGAGACACGGACTCACTTCATTCCGATACACCGCCTCGGTCCAACAGAGAAGGGGGTGAACGCCAGCCTGCGTTCCTCGTCATCTTCTTTGGACAGCCATCGGTCTGGATCGAACTTTTCGGCGTCCGGAAATGCCGAGGCCCAGCGGTGGATGGTGTAGTTCTGAGTGCCAACAATTGTCTGGTAGAATAGTCAGTGCTTGTCAAACGGGGAAACCAGTCACGGGAGAAAAGACGCGCCAAGAGAACCTACCCCTTTTGGTAGAGCATGGCCTGCTATTACGACGTCCTCGACCGCTGTGCGCGGAAGCGTAGCGATGATAGTCGGGTAACGGCGGAGTGTTTCCTTGATCACGGCCTGGAGGTAGGGAAGATTGCTGCATGTCTGTTGTTTGAAGCGATGGTAAAGCAGCGATTAGTGCATCCAATGTATTGTACGACTTGAACCGGGAATCACCAGTACATACCACATTGTCAGGGACTGCAGATCGATCAGGGAATGCATCCCTCAATTCCTGTTTCAGCTTGTGGACGACGTCTGGGTCGCGGAGACTGCCCCAAAGAAGGTAGACAAAGGTGTTGGCCGTGGTGCCGCTGCCTCCAAACCTGCCATTGGGTCGTATCAATCAGCACTGAGCAGACTTTCTCTCATGATGCCTGGAATTAGAAGAATCTTTCTCACATGCCGCCCATACACTCCTCCGCCAGTTCCGAGTCGTTCAAGGGTCGTCCTAAGTAGGCGTCCTCGTTGCTGAGGACGTTGCTGAGAAACGTGGTCTTCGTACCGTTGACGCGAACTTGGCCAACGACATTCATAGCAATCTGTAATCGGATGATGTTGGTCACACGCCGTCCGCGGAGAAGGTAGATATGTACGAGCAGAGTAGCTTTGCGAGGGCTGGAGGGAAATGACGAACCTCTTTCCACGTCTGCACATCTCGAAAATATCCGCCTACTCGCCCCGGCACATATGGTCCCCACAGTTCTAGCTGGGGCATAAATTCTTTCTGGCGAACCATCAGCAGACGGACTCGTTACTCTCTTCTCTATATCTCGTTTGCTCTCCTCCAGGCATCTGGGAAAATGACTTACGTAGATAAATGTCGGACGCCATGCGCGTATGTACTTCATGATAGGATCGGCTTTGCCCTTTTTGACTGAGGCGGGATCTTCGTCGAACATCAGATGGTCTGCGGGAGATGTCTTCTGGTGAGCCTGAGATCTCCTTGCCGGGTTCCGATCCTTGCTTGGGAGCACTCACACACAGTGTCGAAACCCAGCCAATGCGTCCATGGGTACACATTTATGGGTTTGTCAGTTGTGCGACTCAGCCGTTCCCACTGATCCAAGAGCGTTTGGATCTTGGAGGCGAGGTTGGGCTCGAATTGATTGATCGCGGCCTGGGAGAAGCCACGGGCCAATAGCTTCCGACGTTGATTATGGGCCTCAGCATTCCTTTGAGAGTCAACGCTGGACCATCGTGTATCGTCACACATATGATAAAAGAGGGAGTGAGAGATGGGAGGGCAAAGGCATTACCGGAAGCTGAATAGATGATTCTCATGAAAAATTCTCTTGGCTCGCTATGGTGACCAGATGATCAGTACTTGACAATTCAGATCCTCTGGTGGTGGTCGCAGGCCGGTGATGTGGGTGTGCTCACGTAGAAAGTCTCCTCTTTCACAAAACTCTTCGAGGTGTAGATGTCTCGGACAGCCGCTGGATTTGCAAAGGAGAGTTCATTTGGTCCAACTCGCACGATAGGTCCTGCCGTCCATGGTCAGCCCTCTGGATATTCCTTACCCGGCAGGAATCAGTCCGCAAGACGAGGGGCCGGTACTACCGTATCGTTCGTGAGCGGCATGAATACGCTCAGACTTGCATCCGTGGAAATTGCCAATCCGACTCCATACCCGGGAAATGCGAGCAAGAAAAGGGCCGGGATATCGACGAAGAGGATGGAAAAACAGGTTGTAGGTAATAGTCGCAAGGACGTAGAGTGCAGAACACGCAGAGAGGCCAAGAAACAGCAGCCACAGCCGTCTCGAGGACCCTGGTTGGGATATGGTTGGCGCATCGCCTAGTGCCATGGTGACGGTCGTGATCAGAGGGTTTTGCGCATGGTAGTACCATTCATTCCCTCTTAATTTATTGGCAACTCGCAGACACTTGCAAATATACTCTGCACAGTCCAGGTTTTCTTGAACTTGGATTATGCATCAATCCAGTCGGGATTGTCCTGTCGGGATCTAGGATGGCTCCCAAAATGCGGGGGTTCGGAAGAGGCTGACTGTGGCGGAGGCGGGAGCAAAGGCGGAAGCGGAAGCGGGCAAGGCTGATGATCGTGCGAGTCTATTCAATAGGTCGGTACCATCGGGCGTTGAGGTGATTGGATAGGGAATGAGGGGAAATGTATGGTGCAATGGCCGATACCAACTGTTCAATATGTTCGCCGAATACCAGCATCAAGGGTTAGCCGCACTAGCGGTCGAGACCAGGTTGGCGGCTGGATGGATAGCGTGCTAAGTTGCGGTTCTCTCTTCCGCACTTCTACCATGCATAGAGCACTCTTGGGTGTGAGGGACACGGGTGGTCTGCCTCAAATATACCCATCAGACGATTACTATACGGCTTCGCCGCAGGCATCGTGCACACGCAGGATCCCATTCCTCAAAGAAACCGCCCACGACAGAATTTCGTCACTCCTTGGGCTGTCCCAAGACCACTACGGTGTTCGAATTCCGCATCTCAAACTCCTGTAACCGGAACATCTCAGAGCCAATGATGCCGGAACATAAACGGCTGGGACTCGTACTCACTCGTCGACGGTGAAATGCGAACTGACCGCACTGGGCGAGCTTGATGCGTCGAAAACCAGTGATCTGTGCAAATCAGCGAGTAATCGCTCGTCCAGAACAGCCGTAAACATGTTGCACTGGAAACGGAATATATATACTTTCAAAGGTCAAGAAAATCCAAGTTAGTCGCGAAGTCGTTCAACAACCAGTCTGCAGAAAAGGAGTTCCCGCGAGACTTGTCCTGCGCGATACCTTCGGAGAAGCTCCCGGCTACCGACCCGGACTGATTGAGAAGTTCAACATCAACGCTATATGGGTTGGCTGCCACAGGCGCCATGGTCGCTGTGAGTGGTTGGTTAGTACTGTGAACGGCGAACACTGTAAAGCACGAGATCAGAATAACTTACTTCGCGTCAGCAGAGACGAGACCCTGTCGTCTAAAGTACGGAGAAGTTGTTGTCCTCTTGTAGCAGATTGACTCTGAGATCTATGGTACTCCAGAATGGCCTGGCTTTTGGTCCATGATTCCTCAAACCTGGACGAGTTGCTTGCCCCGTGCAAAGAGGTACACAGCTTTGCGGCAATCAAGACGGTTGTCGATGTTAATGTGACTGGTTTTCCGTCTCAGCAACCTCGAATAATGAAATGAGGGGTGGACAGAAGCAAATGCCATGGGGACACATCATACAGTAGACCATATACCAGCAAGCAGATCGATAAACCGTGTTTAATCTCTGGTGGAGAAATTCAATCATCTCGTGAGCCGTGGCTACGCATGCCTTGGACATCTGTACGCCCATATCTTGCAATAAAGCCGTACGGAAAATGGTCTGACCATCCTCCACTCGACCGAACTCCGTCCGCATAAGACACAGCAGAACTGGACGTAGTAGGAGAATTCGTGCATGTAAGAATCTGATGTGGTTAGAAGTCCACTCCAGAGAGATGTTCGTGAGAGACCAAAAGCTTGACTGAACGGACGTACCGAACATGGAGCACGTTGGCTTGCAATGTAGCCGAGTCGGTAGTGAGAGGAAACCGCTGGCTCGGGTTCAAAAATAAGGGCAGATCTCGTTGGAAATCGCTGAGACGCACATCCAGTTCAACCACCTTGGTGAGATCAGGTACATTCGTTGGAGTGCCATTGTGTTCCCGTACACGCACTGGCGCGGTGACTCCTGCGTATAGGCCCGATAGGATATCCTCGAGGATTCTGAAAAGATGTAACGAGTATACAAAACAGCCGTAGGGAGGGACGCAATCGATACCGAGGTCTCGACCATATTCCACATCATCTTCTTCGTCCGACAGAGCCGGCATGGTGATGGGCGAGTGGCTTGGAATCATGAAAGGCCGACCTAAGGTCATTGACACGAGCCTGTAAATTTCAAAAAAGTCATTCTCGATCACGCAGATGGCATTTTCGTCCCATACCGATCTAAAGTCAGGCAGCAGCCCCAAACTCGCAATCTCATCTGGCGGCCCACGTCAGCTCCGGCCCAGTCTTGGGTTGGCGTCGAAGATGGTCCCTCATTCAAATGTAATCCCAGGCCCTGAGCAGCCCGAATAGCCAAGCCGACGACATTCCAGCATTGAGCGGCATGATTTGTGGATTGCAGGTAGATACCGGTCAACACAAGTGTCTGGACGGCGGCAAAGGAACTCGCATCCAGGGCATCCAGTGCCAGTAGGCGTCTGGCTCTTTGAAAGAAATCATCAGATGCCCGCGCTCTCTGGACAGGAGAAAAATCCTTGTTGAATTGCGCTCCTAGGGCCATGACGATGTTCACCATGCAATACGAATTTGAGTCTTCATCTTCTTGGCCGCCTTCGCTGTTCGCCGGTGTAGTGTGTCTTACCCAGAGCGCGTCATAGGCTTCGAGGAAGGAGCTTTTGTGCAGGACAGGGAAAAGTGGATGAACCACGTCCCAAAAGCACTCTATGAGACTGTTGGCTAGTCTCTTCCCGGGTAGGACGAGTCCTCCTTCATTGAGTCCTATGGTACCATCATTAGTGGTGCGGAAAACCTTGGTTGGTCTACAATTGGAAAGCGAATCGGGTTGCTGGATCAAGTTCACTTCGACGCCGTTCTGATCGCTTTGCTCCGCTGTTTGAATGACGCTGTCAACGAATGCGACCGTTGAGGAACTGCCATAGAACCCACTGCCATCCAACCTTGCCGTGGAAATTACCGCCATAGCATCTGTGCTGTAAACGCTCCCCATGTCTGAGAGGGATCCTGTAGAGGGAGACCGGACACATGAAAGGCGGAGTAGGGGCCCACGAGAGATTTGGGGTCTGCCTTCGGCCAACGGACGGCTCACAGGCATGTTCGATGCTGAGAGGCCTGGATATGGTTAGTGAGACTGTGTTCCGAGACGGTTCCGTCTCGGAACCAGAAGCGATAGACGGTTATACCTACCCTTCGACTGAGCTGTCAAGTCAATTGGCACAGGTCCAGGTCCGTCTAATTGAATGGGCTCAACTTCTAGCCTAAGACGCTTCGAGGGTTTCTGCAACTGTGATCAGTGTGACATGAAGCTTTGGAGACTGAGTGGCATGATATCCTGTCGAATAGTTCACTAGGGCTAACCTTTGTCGTAAATGGCTCGGCTGGTATAGGCTCGGGATGTGTTCGAGCAGCAGCTTCAAAGTCAGGTCGAGGGAATTGGAGGAGGCCCGTAGAGCTGATCCTTCAAGGTGTTAGTTCCACATAGTGATCGAGAGCGTTTTCGTACGGTTTTCCTGTCGCTGTTTTTTCGGGGTACTGGCACTTCCAGGCACCAGTTCTCTTTCTGCACGGCGTACAGGACGGCCAAATACCATCACATCGCTTCTTCCTTTTTCGGCAGGGGTCACAGGCCAGGAAGACCTTGCGACGTTTTGGCGGCTGCGATAATACCTCATGCTGACCCGATTCTTGTCTGGCGGAAGGAGGAGAAATTTCCGGGCATGGCTCGAAAGCGCCGCCATCGCCAAGCGCAGGTGAATTACCTAGATTCATGTATACTGGATGGTTATGTATGTGGCCGTAATCTCAATGCCACGGAAGGGGAGAACTGATGAAGTCGTAGACCAGTTCTGCAGCCTCGTACTTGGAGCTGGGCTGACACTGCCCACACCCCCACCCTTCTTACGGGTACAAAGCCGAGTCTCGGCTGCGGGGGTGGTAACTAATAATGCGGAAGTCTTTCTTCTCATCTCGCTATGTATATAATCACAAAGTCAGGACATTTCAATTTCCCCATAGTTCTTGTGTGGTCAATGGGCAAATGTGATGTCTAACAATATCTCGTCCACACTCGGTCATGCAGATTAATATGTCCAAGGACCTTTCTGACTTCGAGCAAATACGACCAATACGTCCCACGTTGACGTTGTGCTAGATCGTCGGCTGACTGGCCACCATGCCGAAGCGAAGTAACCCGTACCGTTAGAACTTCCCACCAGCCGGGCCGGCACTTACTTCATGCTCCAAACTGTGTAGCCTTGCAAGAGCGCCCCCCCTCGAGTCAAACCCACTTGAACGCTGGGCGCCGCATATTAATTACCGCGCCCCCTTTCGAGCCTGATCCACTGTTTATTCCTCCAGCACCCAGCTGGACACAAATACTTGGGGACTATTTGTGTACCATGTGGCTTGACTGACTAATCGAGAGACGCTCTCAGAGCGGAAAGGAGGTCCTTCCGTTTTGGGGGGCCACTGACTAATCTTAGGTGCCTGCCAAGTGCCTAGCAGAGGGCCGGCTCGCTGGTGAATGGGTACTTTTATACAGATTCATGTCGCAGTCATCCGATGGCTACACAAACGCAACAGTGAGTGACTCAATCGTCCGAAATGGGTATGATCTTGATACTGAGTCTAGTAGCTTATGTGTCGTTTGGTTACCGTAGATTCTAGTTGGCGCTGCGCCACGCTGTAGAGCGCTTTCTCTCATTTTTCAGCATTGGTAAGTACTGAGATACTTTACTCGGGATCTCTATAAAGTCAAGGGATCATCCCCTTCGATCTTCAAGTCGTACACCCATCATTTACAAGTCCTACTACTTCGATCCATTCCATCGCTTTCTAGTGCTCTGAAAGCTAAAGACCACTTCGAACTACATTCAACATGAGATCTTCAATACTCATTGCTGCGCTTTCCACCCTGGCCACCCGAACCATCGCTGCAAACATCGTCCTCGGCCATGCGCCCAGTTCAATCGACCATTTCACACCTTTCCAAGTGGCCTGGATCTCCGGCGAAGACCCCTGCTCAGAAGCGGTTCATATCGCGCCCAATGATGACAACCCGTGCGGGATAAGATTCAGTCTCCACCAATTCCACGACCTACATTTTGAGGGATGCGGTGGGCCTCTGTGAGTTCAATTATCTGCCGAATACAGTATAAGTGCTAACGTGACGGATGCCAGGGAGATCTGGCAGTCTGACACTCTTATAGGTGGCTGCATTGATGCACCGAAGGAGATTGGTTGCGGCATCTTCACTAATTCCAAATACTTGGGAGAGTTTTTGTGCGCCTTTAAATGATGCTAAAAGCCTGGATTTTGGGGCGCTGAGCGGCGGTACTTGTTGGTTCTATTGTCACGTTTAGGGTATACACAGGGATAGGCGAGGTGATAGGATACTATCCCGAGCTAGAAGGAAGGTTATGCGTGGGTCGCCAGCAGCTGGAGATGATCTTGTAGGAGTGGAGAGTTGACGAGAAGCACTCTTCCCGTGTCGTCTATCCTGGAAACTGTCTACTTCTACAACTCTTACTGAAGAGCCCGCCTGCAACCGTTCGTCCTTGTCGTTGTCCGAAACATATCACCCTTCATTGTAGTACAACTTCAACTGTACAAGCACTGTATTGCCTTGCCTCCTAGTAAATGTCGACGCATACTATGCTGGCAAGGCCTTTGGTCTCCACGGATTCACCTTTCTGACGTCTAAGAACCACCGGAAACTCACGTTCAAACCATCACGAAGAGGGTGCGGCACCATCATACCTTAGAAGTAGGTTCTCGGGTATTTTTGGATTTTGCAATGGTCACTACCTGCCCATAGATGGATAAACGCACGTCGCCCCTATGACAGACGCAACCCCCTCTCATGCTTCGAGTTTTTTTAGCGGCTGGCTGTCAAGGGATACCTGACACTTCTTCCCTTATCTTCTCCTATCTCTCAATCCACCTATCCTCTGGGTCGATTCTTCACAAATTTTTGGATGTGACACTGTCTATAACACAGCCAATAACACATCAACCGAGCCCGTAACACTAGGCGTGTCGTCTACAGGTGTGAATAGATAGCATGAGGGTCTGCCGGAGCGTTCAAGAACATTGACCAAGGAGAAATAGAGACCTTGGACACAACTAGCACTCTATTCTCTGCTTGGAGCAAAAGCTGAACTAACCTGCCGCTGAATCAAAACCACTGCCAGCCATGCCGCAGTAAAATGCCCTGCACATCCACGCGACTATAACAAGGGCTAACTAATAACTATATTCGGGTCTATATTGCTCTGCCTAGCCTTCCATCCTTCTAATCCCTATAGTCCTTGTCACGTGCCTATACCACCGACAGTCGACCAAGGGCCTTGCATGACCTTGCTCTTCCTCTCCCTGTCCAAACTCTTCAAGGCGTGTTCGTAATACGTTAGCGCTTGTCCAAGGCGTGTTTCTCGCCTGCCTCGCTCCGATATCCAGTGACCTGGGTCAAGTTCGGGATGGCTTCCACACGATTTGCTCATGCCGCTACGTGAACTCTTTCCATCGGGACCCACTCCGACGACGTCGGCTTCCACCCGTCGAATGTGCACATCAGTTTTTCTTTTCCCACCCGGCTGGCTTGGGATTGCTCCAATTTTCCCTGCAATTTTCCTCTTCCTCAACAACCACAGCTCGCACCTTTGGCGATAAGGTCAAATATTTGTCACCGAAGGACATCTTCGGCTTGCTGCCGGACTTTTGGTGGAATTCATTGGGTCCCTACGGAGATGCTAGTCTAGATCCCCATGGGGGTGGGTATAGCGGGGTGGCCTAGGCGTGGAGCGACTAAGATCCCTTGGAGCAGTGCTCTTTCAGTGAGATCCAAAGCATTCTGTGCTTGCGTGGCTTTCACACGGGGGTTCCAGACTCAAACTTGTTGCTGGGAATACTTCCTGAGATCTCCAAAGAGAAAAGTGATATAGCCGCCACCCTTGTCGTCTTGTTTTCGGACATCAATCACCTTCTACCTCTGCAACAAAATGTCCAAGAGCGAAACACTTACTGTTATCGACATGGCTGACGAAGGAAATAATGCTGAGTCGAGCACTCCTAAGGACGGATTCTTCCGTCATTATCGTGCCTTCCTCTACTGCGGGCTTGTCTGCATTGGAGGGTTTCAACTTGGTAAGTGTTTGCCATGGTGGACACTAGAATTGGCCTAACGACGACAGGTCTCGACCTTGGAGCCATTGCCGGCTTCCAGGCTATGCCAGGATTTCTCATGATATTCGGATATCGGTCAGACACCTCAGCTCTCGGATGGAACATCGACCCCACTGTTCAGCAACTCATAAGTTCGCTGATGCTGATCGGCTGTTTTGTCTCCTGCCTGCTTGTTGGTCCGATGGGAACCTATCTCGGCAGAAGATGGATCCTCTTCATCGGTTGTTGCATCAACCACGTCGGTGTCATTCTGATGATAGTTGCGAAAAACGTCGGCACGCTCTATGCTGGTCGAATCGTTATCGGCCTCTCGGTGGGAATCCTGGACGTCATTCCGCAGCTCTACATTCATGAGTGTGCCCCGGCAACGCAGCGAGGATCACTCTTGGGCGGCTTCAATGTCCTCGTCAGTATCGGACTGCTCATCGGATCCATTGTCGACAATTACACTTCCACGATCATGAGCAGGAGGGCGTATATCATCCCGTTATGCATCTTTTTCATCATGCCATGCGTCTTGTTGGCTGCATTACCATTCATGCCGGAAACTCCGAGGTGGCTCGTCGAGCACAACCGCCGGGATCAGGCCAAAAAGGCCTTAGCCCGGCTGCGCCATAAGAACACCAGCCCTCAGTCACTCGAAGCGGAAATGCAGGAGATGGTGCTATCTTTCGAGGCTGAGCAGTCGTCGCTCGGTGGCAAAGTTGCCGTATTCGACTGCTTCCGCAAAACGAACCTGCGCCGAACGCTACTTTCGGTGGCCCTGATGTCCTGCCTCACCGGTTCTGGCGCTGTATTCGTCTTGGTCTACGGCACCTACTTCTTCGCTATTGCGGGCCAGACTAATGCTTTCGCCGAGAGCGTCGGTATGACAGCTGCTGGCCTCATTGCAACCATCTTCTCAATGTGGCTGATCACTCGCATTGGACGACGCACCATTTTGTTGATCGGTTTTGCAGCTCAAGCTATATGCATGATCATTGTGGCCGCAGTGTTCCAGCATCTGTCGACCAGTACCACTGGTGGCAAGGTGCTAGTCGCGTTTACGATCATCTACCTTTTCTTCTACAACATGTGTATTGCGCCGTACCTATACCTCTGCGCCGGCGAGATTCCAACCCAGCGACTACGTGGATACACCTTGGGGTTGTCTATCGGCGTTTCGTTCGCGTGGAACTGGGTTGCGACATTTACTGCGCCGTATTTCCTGAATCCGGAGGAACTGAACTGGGTGAGTCGAGACCCTTCGGACTCGCGATTGGACAAGGCTAACATCGATACAGAGCGGCAAATACGGCTATATTTGGTTTGCCTCCAACATCATCATTCTGATTTTTGTCTATTTCTTGGTACCAGAGACCAAGGATCGTTCTCTCGAAGAGATAGACGAGATGTTTGAAGAGAAGCTCAGTGCACACAAATTCAAAAGTTACAAGTGCACACGTACTCGGGCTGCCCAAATAATCGAGGTGCAGGTGGCTGAGGACAAGCAACTAGAGGCAAGCAATCATGTCGAGTCGATTTGAGAACAGCTGCGACTTTGACAGCTCGACACCAGGGAATCTGGGACGGGAAAGGAGTGTTCGGTGGAGGAAATATGTAGCTGGAACAGCTCAGTTGGTATTCAGTAATGGTTTGTCTCGAGTCACTTGGACGGGACACCCAGCCTCACTGGAAGGATATGAGGATTTCGTCCTTCATTACTGGTTTTCGCCACATCATGGATAGTACGCGAACAGCAAGAGGAGGGTTAGACTCAGCTGATGCCTAAACGCTCTCGAGTCGTGCCCCTCGCTAAATGATTTAGAATCAAGCTCGGGGCGTCCACACCATTTTCCACATTCTCCGAAAGGAGTGCTCGTAACATTGGCTTGAGGACTTGGATGGCTCCCCGCAACTACCTACATTGTGTTCGGCGGAGACGTGTTCGAGGCTGGAATGCCCCCATGAATTCATAGTCTTAGTTTCTGGAAGTGGACACCGACCCAGAAGCTTAGAGTATTCCACAATCTACATATACCATTGTTGCTGGGACTGTTTTGCTGTTCGAAGATAACAGACTTCTTCAACAGAGTTTTGGTCCTCTCCCATCATCCACACTCATCACTCTCGGATCGTACGAAACGCTACACAAGTGTGGTTTGAATCTGCCCCCGGGTGAAACAGCTGCCCTTCCTCACTGGTTACCTCTAGCTATCAACATTCATAATTGCTGAAAATGAAGTACATTGGAAAAGGAAGCGGTCCTGATGGCATTGCCTACCCAGGCTCCAGCAACATCAATGTCATCGTCATTGGGCTTGGGTATGCTGGAGTCACTGCGGCAATTGAATGCCATAGGAAAGGTCATAAAGTGGCCATATATGAGCAAACCCCAGGTGTATCGACTCTCGGTGAGTGCATCGACTGCAACGCTTTGGGTGTCTTGCTAATCTTCGTAGGTGATGTGATCGGACTGTCACCAAATGCGGCGAGGATCATTTCGAAATGGGACAAGGGCAAGATCAAAGAACAAATCATACCACACGCCGGGCAATACATTGAGAACAATATCCACAAGCATGACACGGGAGAAGTCCTATACAGTCAACCAATGTCCGGTTACTCAAGCTTCGAAGGTTACCTAGCCCCTCGACCTCTACTGATGAAATTGTTCGCGGAGTATTGCCGCAGACTAGGAATTCCCATCTTCTTTGGGCACAGAGTGATTGACGTTTTCGACAATGAAGACGAAGCGGGAATCATTCTTGATACGAACAAAAGGGTGACAGCAGACTGTGTGCTTGCATGCGACGGCGTCCATTCTCGAGCTCGTGGTACTATCACAGGCTTACAGGACCGTGCTTATCCCACAGGTTACGCGGCATACCGTGCATGGTATGACTCGAAGCTGATACGCGATAATCCAAAGCTCCAATTCTTGTTCAAAGGCAACGCTGACAAGATGGAAGTCTTCATCGGGCCGAAAATGCACGCCATTATTGGGACTTGCTCACAGCAGAAGCTCGTTACGTGGACCATCACCCACACTGACAATACCGATGTCAATGAGTCCTGGACGCAACCGGGGAAGATCGAAGACGCTCTGGATTATGTGAGAGATTGGGATGACCGGATCCACGAAGTTATCAAACACACGCCTCCTGGCCAGATCTTTGACCACAAACTCGCCTGGCGAGACCCATTACCACGCTGGACTTCCAAACACAGTCGTATGATGGTGCTAGGGGATGCAGCACATCCTTTCCTACCCACTTCTGGTCAAGGCGCCGGTCAGGCCATTGAAGATTGTGCGACCATTGCTATTTGCTTGGAACTGGCTGGCAAAACCAGAGTGCCACTCGCCTTGCAGGTGTGCGAAAAGCTCAGGTAAGTGATTCTAAATTGTTCTGGAGGTCGAGTCTGTCTAACAATCTTTTCTTCAAAGGCATTCCAGGGCATCTTTGGCCCAGAAAATGGGAGTCGAAACTCGCGAGGTATGGCATCGAACGAACTGGGAATTGCTCAAGACCAACCCAGAGACTGTATCGATGCCCAATCCCGCTTGGCTGTTTGCGCACAACCCGCAGGATTATGCTTACGAGGAGTTTGATATTGCTGCGCACGCGATGGAAACTGGATCAGCCTATTTGCCTACGAATGTCCCACCGCCGGAAGTGAACCACCGAATCAGCGATTACAAGGAGGAAGAAGGCAGGAAGTTGCTCAACGGCACGGCCACTTTGCAGGCAAAACTCTGAACAACGAACATTTTGTATCCACGACCATTTTTGGGAACATTTCCCTGTATCTATTTAGATCAACGTTGCGACTTTGTCGTTATGCAGGAACATCTGTGCGTAACTTGCGACCGGGTTTGGAACGTAGCGCTTCCATAGATCACAGACCCTGCCCAATTGAATATTTACGCCTTCAGACATGCATACACGGTAAACAGCCAATTGTGGCTTCAGAGCACCGCTAGCGTTACGACACATCACTATAGTCACAGGGTTTGGAGACCAGGTATAGTCCATATCCCCAACTCCACAAGCATCCTGGTCGAGCATCACAAGCTCAGGAACCCTCTACCAGAATTACGCCCGACGACGGCCATTTACTCTCCCCCTTTACTTTCCAGCGGCCTTTTTTGTATGTACGTCTGGCCGAGGTGACTGGGCTCCAAATCCCCAACGCTGGACTGCCTGTAAACTCCATTTCTCCGCTCGGGCGGATTCCCTCCCCGGATTCTGTAGGCTCACTCCGGCGTCGGCCTCCACCCGAAAACCCCATCTACACTCTCTGTGGATGGTCCGATACACACGTTCCCCAGGGAACTCAATTGTGGACGGGGTAAGGGTGCATGTCCGATACCCTGGTGCCCTCTTTGATACGCGTTTCAATTCTCTTGATCTATCTGCTCAGTTTTGAGAGTGGCGATCCAACACAACGTTTCCAGTTTACCCATGCACAATGCCTGAAACCACGGTCCCCTGGGATATTTTCCCCCCTACACCAAAATTGGACCTGTCCAAAGCACGACAGCAAGGACTGGTAAAGACCGCACGGGGTATCAGGCTATGGCACGCGATCTTTGGAATTCCTCTCGAAGCAACTCTGCGAGCGGGACGAGTACCAATTCTATTGATGCACGGAGGGGTGAGCAGTTCGGATTGGAATGCGCTACAGGTCGAATACTTGTCCCCGAATTACACGGTCATTGTCCTGGATCTCCCAGGACACGGCAGATCTCCATTCGATGACCGAGAGCTCTCGTACGAGAAGGTGGCCGCAGATATTGCCGGTGTACTCGACGTTCTCAAAGTCCCCAAAGTGGCCATCATCTCGTGGTCCGAAGGGACGATGATGGCTTGGTCGATGCTCGCTTACCAACAGCACCATCGCGTCGACCGAGCGTTCTGCTACTCGGCCCTCGATGACTACCGCAAAGCCGATGCAGAGAAAGTCATGCAAATATGGATGGTGGGCGAGTACTTCAGCCGGACGCAACGGGAGTGGGAAGAAACACATCCCGGGGAGAAATGGGATGAGTTCTTGGGTGCCTGGATGACCATGTGGACGAGAGAGCCCATCTGGACGGTCGAGTCGTTCAGGCATTTGCCTATCAGGGGTCAAGACAAGGGCGCTCCGATCGTGTGGATCGTGACTGGCGATCACGACGAATGGATTCCCCCAGAGACGCACGATCGCATGGCCAGATTCATCCCAAACTCGAGCTATCTCAAGATGCCGAGCGCTGGACATCTGACCTTCATCCAGAATCCTACAATGTACCACCGGATGATAGACTGTTTCTTAGAGGACACAGATGTTCCCTCAACGCTGAGGGCTTCGCTGTAACCTAGGTGCTAGAGGGAGAGCGAATTATCAGACATCCTTGTCAATAGTGCAGAAGAGACCACAGTAACCAAGCAAATATGATGCTGGATGCAAGGAAAAGCCACTCAACCACAGAATTCCAGAAGTCAAAATAGCCCCGCAACCCGTCATTTCTCTTAATTCCTGTGCCCAGACTCCCATGCCTCCGCATTAACGGCGCTCATCTATTCCGGAGAGCCTCCGACGACGACTAGATTTGGCTGTCCCCAATTTCGTGTGACAATACATACAAGGCTAAAAAAATGGAACCTATCAAGAAGTGTGTGCCATGGGTTAAGAGGGCCAGCGCAGTGTCCGCCTTCACATCTAGACTCAGAGTGTGCGTTGAGTCGATGCCTTGTATTCGGCTCCCCCAATCCTTGTTCTGTACATAATGGAATCCAAAGACTCTTTGCCAGAACACTCAGCACACAAGATTACAATGCCTCGATTCAAGTGCTTGTCATGTGGCAAACAATACTCCAAAGCCGAGCATCTGAAACGGCATCAACGATCTCGTAAGTCCTGTACGCCACCCTCCTCATAGCAAGCTGCTGACAATTATAGACACACAGGAGCGGCCTTTCCAGTGCAACATATGTGACAAGTCCTTTTCAAGGAGGTCCGAGCTCCTCATTCCAAGATAAAGAACCATCAAGCTAATCTGCAGTTCAGTGACGTTTTGCGCCGGCATCAGAAAAATCACCCCACTCGCCGTGATGGCAGATCAACCAGGCGAACACCGCCGAATGAGCCGTTACCAGAGCTTGTGGATACGATTGTTGTCTTCTCCCAAAATGAGGATGCTGCTCATGAGCCAGAGGGAGATGTTGAGGCTTCTTCGCCTACATTTTCTACAAGACAAGTACACTTGTCTGCCACGAGTCAACAACGTCGAGCAAATTCCCATGTGTCGGAGCGACAAGACCCCTATCAAGATAGTTCTGTTCTCCCAGATGCGGACAGTTACATTGCCGAAGAACCACTGGAACTGACGTGGGACTCAACTATGGTCCAGTGTGCTGCTTCAAATGCCAGTTCTTATATTGCGATTCCAGCCCAAAGCCTGGGACTTGAGCCTGTTCCATCACCAAGTTGGCAAGACGAAGCCTTACACGACGCCGACCACTCCATTTCCCAGATTGAAACGACTTTGCAACCGCAAATGACCGAGTGCCAACCCTCGGCATCGGCAGAGGTTCAAGAGCCGCCAAGAGGAGGCGCTGTCGACCTCCAAGAGTTGTTATTGTTTCACGATATTTCGACCGATGTCCTTCCATTGAGCAGTTCACTTCTTCCTACCTTGCAACAAGCTTCTCGTCTGAACATATTCAGCCCTGAGTCGGCGCCTCTGCGAGGACTACAAGAAAACTCCGATCCTCGCAAATGCTTTACGAGTCTGGTCTCAACAGAGCGCTTTGGGAAGATTCAACGCCGTTGGCATTCGCACTCAAGCAGACCAATTCGACTCATGCCCGACCTGTGGCGCAATCTGGCGGAAAGCAAGCAAGCAAATCTCTACAACGTCGAAATCCCACAAACATGCACTTCCCAATCGTCTGAGAAGCGTATCTCGAGATGGGGCTTTGACGAAGAGTGTCGTCAACAAATGCAACTCACACTCGACAGCTTGACGTGCGCTCGCAGCTCTTGGTTACCAGAATCTCCATGTTCACTGGAATCTGACAGATATCCATCAAGCACTGGGACCGAAAGGCTTACGCTCCCGTCCACCGAGACATGCGAGGTCGCCCTGGAGATATATTTCCATCAATTCCACCCAACCCTACCAGTTATTCATCCCCCGACATTTTCGGCCAAAGACGCACCGTTTCCTCTGCTGTTTGTCCTGTGTCTACTCGGATCCAGCATTCTAGGCTCTCCCAGCGCCATAAAATTGGTGTCCAGCTCTTTCACCGTGCGTTCTCCAACCCTCCCCACGATCTACGGAGCTAATTTGGAGGATATCTAGATGATCCTGGAACTGGTAGAGACCGAGTTGCAATCCGATATGGCCAGAAGGGGGTCCACCATGGAACAGTTAGGGGTGCTCACCACTGCCTTGCTAGTGCTGAATCTTGCCGCCATTACTGGCGTAAGTGACCTCACCCTGGGATGAATGGCGAAACTGATCAGACATCAGCAAACCTCGCGATGCATGGCTCAGGTGGAGATGCTCTATGTCAACCTAATGGCAGTACGTACATGGGGCCTTTGAGATCGGCCTCAAACTAACTCTTCCACTTAGCTGGCACAGTGGCACGGACTTTTCTTTGTCCAGGACGATCTCACTGTGAATTCGACGTTGGACGCCATCGACGACGAAGAACGAAGATGGCATTCCTGGGCCAAGATCGAGTGTGTCAAAAGGTAAACATCAGCCACACCTTCTTCGCGCCTCACGCTCACTGGAAACAGGCTGATTATCGGCATCGTCGAGAGCGACATCTGGTTTGCCAGCCATTTCGCGACATGTCCCATGATCCGTCCCGAAACCATCAGACTTCTCCCACCATCCGACATGAAACTCTTCCATGCCGACACGGCGGCGCTCTGGTCCCAATTGAGGCCGAAATACGAAGCCGATCAGGGCCCCTATATTGTTGAATTCTATGTTCCCCTACTGAGCTCACGAACCCCGGAAATATCGGCGCTCTTGACATTGCTCCAGCATCGAGTCTACGAGACAAAGCACCGACTGACGTGCTCCAACGAGGATCACCGGTGCCTGGAACCGTGGCGACTGTACAAGACAACACCTAGCGACGCTGTTCTCGTTGATAAGATTGTCGGACTCCCTTCTGCAATACCGCTGAGCCGCGCCGACATCAATGGTGTCGTCTCGTGGCACACTTCTTGTATCTTGATGACGGCCAACATGCGGCATTTCGAAGATGCGGCCGGGTGCAGCGGGACTGCCATGGTGGCACCTTCTCTGCGCGACATTGCCACCTGGGCCTGCACGCCCACGGCCAGACGGGCCGTTGTCCATGCCGCACAAATCTTCAAGCTGCTCTTCTACCGTCGAGTATCGGACATGGTCAGCGTCCACACGGTGGCGGCGCTGTTCAAATCCGCCCTGGTGCTGAGTTTCTACCTCCTCAATGCGCCAGAGACGGTTCATTCCGCGAATCACGGGACCTTGGAGCTGTTTGACGACGTCGACTGGTCTGTCGTCGGCTCACTTGGGGTGTCGAACCACCCCGGCGCTTTGTCTGGACCGGTTGATGCTGCTGCCGCAAAGGACGACCCTGTTGGCCAATTTATTGAAACTGGCGGCGGTGTCAGCATTACTGGTATCTTCCACGCCCCGGGATTCTCGTCGTGCAGAAGGGTCCTGCTCCACGCCGCCGATCTGATGCAGACTATGGGGAAGTGGAGATCACGGACGTTGTCTCAGATTTTACACCTCCTGACTGATGACTTGATGGATGTCGACTCTGCCGATAACTATAACTAGGCAATGATAGTCGAGTCAAATCTACCTACCCACAACACCCATGAAGCGCACTCTCTCTGTGAAGCTATGTCTCGAACTTGATACCATGTTCCTGTGCCTGTCTAAAAGCCTCGCGGATGACCTTCTCGTGCTGTGGGCTCCTTGGCGTGATACTGGCCGCAAATGGCTTTGGGACGCTGAGGAATCCCGGCACCATTTCCGTCTCGGGTTCGATGACGCCACCGTGTTCATCTTCGGCCTTCCGTATGTCGAATCCCCATAGTGTGCGGACAATGTTGATGTAGAGGGACCGTTCGGCGACGTGGACACCTGGACACACCCGGCGCCCGGCGCCGTAGGTGAAGTGATCTCGTTGGTATGGATCACTGATATTGATGTAATCGGCTGCGGGAAGAGGCTTGTCCAGATACCTGGCCGGTTCAAAGGCTCGTGGATCCTTGTGCAGACTTTCGTCCATGTGGATTGCCCTGGCCGGTTAGCTGGGGTGCATATCTTTGAACGTGCCACACATTCCCAAACTTACCACCAATTAAGCATAATGACGGACCCGCTGGGGATGAAGTAGCCTCGATACCAATCGTCCTCGCTCGTGGCGTGAGGCATGCCGAATTTGTTGACGGGTCGCCAGCGAAGCACTTCTTTGACCAGGGCCCGGACATAGGGAAGCTTCTCTTCGTCTTGCCACGCGGGAAGTCTGTCCTTTCCAATCACTTTGTCAATCTCTTCCTGAGCCCGCTTGACTACCTCGGGATGGAGCACCATACAAAGGAGGAAGTTGTTGAGTGTGGTGCCTGTGGTCTCGGAACCCGCCTCAATGAGGCCGCCGCAGGTGTACGCGGCCTGTAGATCGTCGATGCCACTTTTCCGTGGATCGTTGACCAGGAAATCCTTGCAGAAACACTCTTCGGCGGTTCCGTCAGCGACCTGTTGTTTGAGATTGTTCCAGAGATCGAGATAAACTTGGCTGTCATGCTCGAACATTTTCCGCCCGACGGAACGCCAATTCCCAAAGAGGCACTGTGGTAACTTCGTCAGAGACGGGAAACTGTCCACGAGATATGCACCGGGGGCGGAAACGTGGGTGAAGTTGTCGAGGACCTGATAGATGCGCTTCACCAGGGGGTGATCCCAGCTGGGCAGCCGATAGCCGTACGTCAGCTTCACGATCACCGACGCGCTGTACCTTCGATTGTGCATGTAGAAATTCTCGGGCGTGTCGAGGAGCTCCGTCATGAGTTGCTTGGACTCGAAATCCTGGATGGGCTGGTACTTGATGGCCGACGCGGCGTTGAGAAGCGCGTGGCTGTATTTGCGGAGCTGTCGCCATTGCGGGCCGTATGGCATGAACAGCTGTCTTTGGCCGCCGCTGACGGTGTCGGCGGCCATGGGGGACGGTGCCCTGGAGGAGTAGATGGCGGATTTTCTGTCCATCAGTTCTCGGACCGCACGGGGAGACGAGAGCCAGACGTAGTCGGCACCCCCGATCTTGGTGTAGAAAATCTCGCCGTATCTCCGGTGCCACTCGATGGCCTTTTCTCGCACTTTCTCGGTATCCGCGAGATCGAGGAGGTTGCCGACGAATGGAAGACCACGAGGGCCGGGCGGAAGGTGGCGTCTTCTGGAGTCCTGTCCAGCAAATGCTTTAGTTCTGCACAAAAATGGGTGTTCTCGGCATACATACCTTCAGACTCGAAGGCGTGTTATAGAGGTAAAGAGCCAATGCCGAGACCACGGGCAATAGTGTTATTACCATAATCCATATCAAGATTCTGTTCGAAAAGCCCAAGGCGAGCGTCAGGGATGACGGTACGAGAGCCATGGGTTGTCGTGGCGATAACAACGAAGGATCGGTATGCTTTGTCCTGTGCCAATGTCGCAGAGAAGTCGTGACAGACAGAGAAGTGTCTTGCAGAAGGCAGCCCGGTCTATTATCATATTTCAGAGTACCACATTGCCAAAGTTGCGAGGCTATCAGAGTCATGGATGCTAAAGTCTGGGATTTTACCGCGTCCACAAAGATATACTCCATTTCCTTCCTCTTCCACAACCAATGGCTGTTACTACAGGAGGCATACTCCCACATTACCAGCACATACACATGTTGTGGGGATTGTCGAGCAAGCTATGACATGAATTTCTTGAAGTGGAATAATGTGGGATCTTCCTATTCTCCCTGATCCCCGGCCTCCGCAGACTTCAACACCGTCTTTACTACGGAAACGTATCGTGTAGGCAAGTCTAGTAGAATCGTACGACCCGAGGATTCCTCCACTGAAGTTTTCTGGTCCGAGAAAACAGGAGGAAACATTTTCGTCAAACTTCTTCACAGAGTGTGGAAATGTCACATCCTTCTCCTTGTACTTAGTTTTCTGGCTTACCAGAAGTGCCAGTACCACAAGTCAAATCACCCTGACCAGTGACGAGATCAACTGGGAAAGAAACGTGCTCGTGGATCCATTTCCATTTCCCGTCGATCTTCCTTAACAGACTAGTCATTCGAAAGGTGAAGGAGAACTGTTTTCCATCTGTCCCTGTACCCCAATATCTCTGAATCATGGTGCCGTAGCCCGAGTCCTTGGAGGTCGCCACAATTTCCAAATCTTTGCACGCGAGGTGCGAGTCGTCGTAGTACACGTCAATGCTGTCGTAGTGCTGAGCGAAACCTCCACGAGGAATCACTTTCATGAGATCAAAGTACATGGTCTCAGGGAGGTCGTAGAATGATTTTGCCCTTTCCTTATTCCCAAAGTCGGTGTGGTTGAAATGGATCCATTCTCTGTAGTGCTCCAATATTTCTTGTTCTTCGTTTGCCAGTTCAGGACGGTGATACTGGAGAAAAACCCGAGTGAGTATCAACTCTCTATTGTCTTGTGTTTGGACGACAGAGGTCTCCACGTACCTTGCTGGGTGGCATTCCAAGCTTCTCTTGTACCGCTTTGATGGTGGTCAGGTTTGACTGCCGATTGAATTAGCTAGTAAGCGGTGAGAAAAGGCCATGAGGCTGTCACTTCGTCCATCCATTGCGACTTCTCTGAACTACCCATCGTGATCGTTACTGACAAAATAGGAGGGCCTTCGCAAATCTTCGGAGTGCTTGGAAATCGTTGTCACCGTCAACAGCTGTTCTGTGACTAAATGCATATTAAGATTGACCTTGTCATTAATACCACATGTGTAGTTCACCCCACTCTACGGCTTGCAGGGGCACGACGGCATCCCGCCGTTCTCCACAAAGATACCCCGTATGAGCCACATAGATGCTATTGGCCCCAACTTCTTAAGCGAGCTACAAGGTATTCTCTTACTAACGCTCCTGAGGTTTCAAGGACGTTTTGTGTAGTTGGCTGTCAGCAACACTGGAAATGATCCTGTAACCTATCTTGGGAAATCATCTAGGGGAATCGCCATTCAAAAACGACGACCAGTCTTGCTTCCGGATCCATTCTTCTACAGTGCCGAGTTTACACGGATGTCGCAGCTAGTAAAAATGAGCAACGACGTCGTCGACGGCGGAATGAGACGAACTTACCGCGTGAGGTTGAGTTAAGGCGGGATCTTCCCGCAGCTTGAATCCAAACTCGGTCATATTTGCCATGCCCTCTGCCAGCATTTCTCTCACGTCGGGCTCCAAATCACCGGGCATACCGTCTATGATAACGTGGATTGGGAGCGTGGTGATTCTGGCCTTGACGTTGAGGGTCTTACTCCACGCTTCAACGAAGTCACCAAATTTCATCCATGCTCGATAGCCCATGAGCTTTATCCCCGGGGGCTCTTGGAGCAATGCCTGAACAAGCGGGCCAGTATCTTCCTCGGCGGCGATCAAAGGAAGTGGGGTATCGGCAGTGAACTGATTGACAAAGGTGAAAGACCCGTCTGCTTCCTGTGTATCCTTCAGCCTACTTGCCTGTCAGCATAGTGGAGGTGCATATACCTTCTTAGGCATTTCTGTCGCCAGTTGAGCAAAATTTGACAGGTAAACGCCGACTTGAATTGTACTCGTCTTCTTCCAGAGCTCAGGATGTCTTTCTTTCCCGTACTTCTCTGCATGCGCCTTTGTATCCGCGTGGTAGGCACCTGTGTATTTCCCTTCACTGTGTTCGGCCACATCTGCAATGGTGGAAAAGACCAGCCGCTCTAGGACCGGGACAGTAGCTGCTGCATCGAATATGTTCTTGCCCTGCTGAAGCTCGTACTCGTAAGCCCATTGACTGAGTTTCTGACCCGTTTTCCGTGTTCTGGTCAGATTTGGGTCGCTCAATGGTTTCCAAAAGTCGGTGACTCCGAAAATGACATGAGCTCCTTGGAAAGCACGGGACAACGACTCCAAATCGTTAAGGTCCGCTTCCACCATCTCAACGCCACAAGCAGAAAGTCTCTTCGAAGATGGTGATCCCAAAGACCTTGTTATTCCTCGTATTCTCCAACCTGGCTGACCAAGAAATGTGTCCACAATCGAGCCCCCCTGCGTCCCGGTCGCTCCAACAATTACGAAGATCTTGTTTGTCACTGTCATGATGGCAGGACTGCAAATTGGTGCTCAAAATGGTTGTACTGATGTCCTAAAGTATTGCCTTGCATTGATCTTACGTCTAGATTCTAAGATGAAAAACTCTGTAGAAAACATTCGACCAGTCCACTCTTTACTCGAGAGAACAAAGGCGGCATCCCACCACCAAATCGATGCACCACAGATCCCACATGCCACATCCGCTCAATCGAACCAATCCGCCACATAAGCTTCCCTAAAGACGCAGGATCAAACCAAACACAATGAAACACAATCAGAAAATATCAAAAAGCTTCATGTGGTAGCAGGGTTTCCGAGAACGTACTCGTACGGGATTCAAGTATGGGAAACCTCGACAACGTCAGTGTGATAGTTGCGGGTGCTGGCTTTGGAGGTCTCACTGCAGCCATAGAACTGAGACGCAAAGGCGCGTCGGTCAAGGTTTTTGAGGCCACCAAGGAACTCACTGAACAAGGTCTGATCATTCTATGGCCCGAGCACATGTCGCTGCACACTGAACCGACCTAATATAGGTGACACCGTTCAAATCCCTTCGAATGCTACCAAGACCTTGAGCAAATGGGGAGACGTGCTCGGAGAAATCGCAAAAGATTCAGCCCAGCCGAAGTTTTTGGAATGTCAAAACTCCCAGGGGACTCTGCTGGTCAAGCAAGTTTTGCCTGGGCAGTACGACGGATATCCCATTTTGTACCCGAGCCGTGGTCGAGCCCACAAGATCATGTTCGAGTACGCGAAATCAATTGGTGTCGAGGTCCAATTCGGGACCCGGATCTCCCGATACTTTGAAAATGAACACGAGGCTGGAGTTTTTGTCGGAGACGAGCAATTCACGGCTGATGCGGTAATCGCAGCAGACGGAGTCCACAGCAAGGCCAGAGCCATCATCACCGACAACCCAGAGAGTTCTCGGTCGAGTGGGTTTGCGGCATATCGTTGCTGGTTTCCAGTGAAGGCACTGCCGGACATTCCATTACTGGACGACATTATAAACGCAAAGGAAGACCGCTATTGGACTTGGATCGGGCCAGATGTGCATGCTCTGGTTATGACAAATGTCAAGATGCAGTGGTTGGCATGTTTCTGCACGCACAGGGTAGGTGTAGAGTTTCCCAGACGCGCCATCTATACTGATCACCTTTAATGGGTAGGACGACTACACAGCCGAAGAGTCATGGAGCTTTCCCGGAAGGAAAGAGGACTTGTTGAAGGTAGTTGAAGGATGGGATGAGAAATTGAGGACTATCTTTGAATCTATACCGCCAGAGAAGCTGATTGACTGGAAATTGCTATGGAGGGATCCTGTATCGTCATGGGTCTCGAGAGGAGGGCGGATTGCCCTTGTTGGTGATTCCGCCCACCCCCATCTTCCAAGTTCGGGTCAAGGTGCGGCTCAAGCCATCGAGGATGGGGCGACGATAGGTGCTGTGCTCGACCGTGCGGGCAAGACCAATATTCCTCTTGGCCTGCGCGTATACGAGAAGCTTCGGTGAGTTGATTTTCCTCTTGCTCTCCATTTTAATCCTGACTTGGCGCCTTGCAGATTTACTCGGGTCAACCTGACACAACGCATGGGCTGGGAGTTGCGGCACCTCTGGCATGAAACAGATTGGGAGGCTGTCCAGAAGAACCCCAAAATCTTGGAGTTCCGGCAGCCGTACTGGCTCTTCGGAGGCGATCCTGAAGCATATGCGTACGAGGCATTCGACGAGGTGGTGGAGTGCCTGAACACAAACCAGGAATTCGTACCAAAGAATGTCCCTGAGGGATATCGACACAAGCCGTGGACCATGGAGGACATGTTGAATCGTTCAGGCCGTAAATTTGTAGTCTACGACTGAAGAGAAGCTCAAATGCAGCTATGCGGCTATGGTCTTTTGTGATATAGTGATATTATCTCAGTTCAAAGGTCTTTTGTCTACCTCTTGTCCGCTTTACCCTTGCGACTTTGCTGCAGACCTATCATAAACTGGGGCTCGAGGGCAACTCAAACTCGGCAGCTCCGGTAAACATCCTGAACCTGTGATACTTGACAAATCGCAGACCTGCCATCTCACCAATTTTTCTGATATCTTCAAAGGTTCTTTCTTTTCCGCTGAATAGCTGCTGACCTCCAAGCTGTTGCATTTGTGTAACCATTGGCCAGCCTGATTGCTGTCTGGAGTTGTTTCGTGATGCTGGCTGATTCGCGGTTTCTTTTGAGGCGACCAGCCTTGGGATGAATAGTTCATTCACGATGACCCTTGCCTTGCGGTTCTTCTTCAGAGCCGGCTTCAGCATAGCGAGAACTTTGGCAGCAACGTCATCCTCATATTCTCGTCTGTGGGCATGGTGTTAGTCCTCTACCTTGAAGGAGCAGGGTGATCGCTTACATCACGCCACGTAACCAGTAGACATCTGCCACTGTTTTTTGGGGAGTGAAATAGTCGTGGGCCTCAAGTATAACTTCCCCTCTTTCCATCTCCTTCTCGTAACCCTCAAACGTCTGCGCGAGGCGGTCAGTGGCGTAAGGGCGGAGGTACGGATGACATGCCTTTTTCATGACTGGAATCATATGCTCCAACTCCTGGCATATGACGTTCAAAGATGGAAATTTCTTCTTTACCTCCAGCATCACACTACCGAGCCCGGCCCCGACATCACAAACGGTAGTCCCGTAGCTGTCCCATGGCAAGTCAGAGCGTGTGGCTGCAACAGTGATTGTTGACATCCACGGAACCCCAACGGTCATGTTTGTCATGCAGTTTGACCCTTCTGGAGTGAAGATGTATTCGAGAACGCCTTTGCCGAAAACCTCGGCGAATGCGCCATCTTTTGCATCAATACTGTGCATTCTCTTCGGGTCTTTCATGACCGTAAGCCAGGCGGGCCCTGCCTTGTACGCGTCTTGTACTCTGTTCAGATCGCTTTAGCCTGTTCTGCCACCTAGACGTGTGAGAGCCACTTACTCGAGCAGGCAGCATTCTCTGGCCCCATTTCCAGACCTCAATTCCATGCTGTGTCGATTGTTGCGGAACATGTCGGGTGCAACTTCAGAGAAGATGTGACGATGAGTCAGTACCCGCATAGTACAACCTGGCAGGTGCCGCGTCAATACCAAGCAAAATGTTTCTGGCGAAGCTGGGATTACCAAGTTTGTGCTCATCTGTTTGACAAACCTTCGCCAATTGAGACAGCGTAATTTCTCCGCCATTGTCCGCGATCTGATCTGCGATCTTGAGATCACAAGCAACCTCCAAAGCCACTGCCGCGTTGTTTGAGATACTTTCGTACATCAATTTCAGCTTTCTGGGCATGAGCAGGGCAATGAGTTGCTGGCAGTCTAGAATCATTTCCTGACAAGCCTCCCAGGCGTCGCGGGGGAGCAATTGGTCGTCGTACTTCCATCCGGCAGTCTCAAATAGGGAAGGCGAGTCATTCCCAAGGAACTCCTCCAGCTTCCGGCCTTGACTGGAAATATTGCCTAACAGACTGGCAAGGAGTGACATAATTGGCACAGCAATCACAAAGGCCAAAAAGGGAGGGTTAGCCAGCAGGCACGCTTCCAACGCAGACTGTAAAGGCTGGTGATATAGTGCAAGCAAGAGCTCAAGAGCAGTCTGCTGTCGATACAGGCTTCTGGACGATGATTCTTCACGTTGGACGTCATGATTTTGGTATCTGCTTCGCAGTATCACGCAGTCTACTGCAACTCCTATGCCTCGGAACGATATTGGTGGAGTAGTCGTCGGATTGGAGCCGACAAACCCTGCGCCACAGCATCGGAGTGGGTCCCGCCTCCCGGATGCGAATATGGGGCCCCAGCTTCATTGCCCCATGGATGTCTGTATGGAGCACTTGACTGTCGGTACGGACGGAGTACCCTCACAAGGCCCAGACCATTAACGTGGAGCCGCCTAGTGCGAGAGCATCGAGAAATCAAGGGTCGAAATGTCGCACAGGGAATCTAATGCCTTGCATTCGTGAGGTTCTACGTGATCATTTATCCGACTCATTCTCAACATCGAAAACTTGCCAGATCTTCCACACTCAAAATGGCAAAGACGCCTCGAAACACCAGAGGCGCGGGTCCAGATGGCGTCGTCAAACCCCGCTCCAGCGGCATCAAAGTCATTGTCATCGGCTTGGGCTATTCTGGAGCTGCTGCGGCTGTCGAGTGTCACCGCAAGGGTCACGACGTCGTCGTGTACGAGCAGTGGCCCGGGATTACGCAACTGGGAGACATCATTGGGATTACAGGCAACGCTGCACAGATCATAGCCAAGTGGGGGAATGGCAGTGTTCACCGGAGACTTTCACCGCTCCTGTCCTCCTGGCGTGCCAACAATATCAGAAAATACGACACGGGCGAAATCCTGTACGCGCAACCGATGGTGGGCTATAATGCCGGTTCTGGCTATACTGCGCCTCGCGGCCCGATGGCCATCATCCTCGCCAGCCATTTACGAGAGCTCGGTATCCCAATTCACTTTGGCAAACGCATTCAAGACTATTTTGAGAATGAGACGGAGGCTGGCGTGGTGGTCGACGGCGAGAAAATTACGGCTGACTGCGTCCTTGCCTGCGACGGGGTACACTCAAAGGCTCGCAGTTTTGTGGTCGGTGTGAATGACCGGCCGTACCCAACGGGATATGCCACATACCGCGCATGGTTCGATGCAGCAGAGGCCAAGAAGAACCCCGACCTTGCGTGGATGTTCGAGGGGGATAGTGACAAAATGGAGACTTATATCGGGCAAGACATGCATTGCATCCTGGGCACGTGCTCGGGAATGAGAGGCGTGGTCTGGAACATTACGCACAAGGACATCTACGACAATGTGGCCGAGTCTTGGTCATTCCCCGGCAAGCACGAAGATGTCTTGAGCTACGTCAAAGGCTGGAACAAGCGCATCCACGACGTTGTCATGGCCACTCCAAAAACGCAACTGGTCGACTATAAATTGGTTTGGCGCGATCCTCTTCCCAAATGGGTGTCGAAGAACGCAAGGTTTATCTTGCTCGGAGACTCCGCCCATCCATTCCTTCCGACAAGTGCTCAGGGAGCCGGCCAGGCCCTGGAGGATGGTGCTACCATCGCCATCTGCCTCGAGCTTTCAGGCAAAGCAAACGTACCTCTTGCACTCCGGACATGCGAGAGACTGAGGCAAGTGCACATATTTTCTGGTTGTACGGGCTTCCCGCTAACTCCAACCCAGATATGCCCGCGCATCACTGGCACAACAGATCGGCAAAGAAACACGAGAAATCTGGCACAAGACGGATTGGGAATTGGCCAAAAAAGACCCCCAATCACTTTCCATGCCTCTACCCAAGTGGTTGTTTGGCCATGACCCCCAACAGTATGCTTATGACGAGTTTGATGCGGCAGCGAGTTCAATTGTAGACGGGACAGAGTACGTTCCCAAGAATATTCCTCCGCCTGGTCAAAACCACCGAGTATTCGATTTCGAGGTCAAAGATGCGAGCCCATGGATCAGAGGCGGGATACAGCCGCGCGCCAGGCTCTAAGCTGCAGGCTGCAGAACGTCGGATCTATTGTACAATGAGATCATTTGGTTGTGTCGAGCTAGAATACTCCGTCCAGAGAGCAGCACTCGGTATGGGGTCTGAGAACAAGATCTCGACTCGCTAATCTGCACATAATTACTTAGTTCAATAGCTGTGAATGGGGCAATTTTGATCTATTTTGATTCCGTAGCCACTGGCGGGATCTCAAATCATTCCATCCAGGCCACCTGGGGCCTTTTGCTTTCGAATTGCCCCCAGAAAATGCCCCGCAACTTGGACTCTGGGCAGCCTCCCCCGCTTGAACTCAGCTTCGACCTCGCTGTCGACTTCCCGTTTTCTTCTTCTTCTTCTCTTCCATCGTCAGCGTTTGGGATGCACGGACATGGACCCTCGTACTTCGCAGCTTTACGGGGGCGGTGTTGATCGTTTGCGATCCGGACTGGCTTGCCTCACCTGTCGAAAACGTAAGAACAAGTGCGACGGATCCCGCCCGGCATGTGGCTTCTGTAACAAGCGAAGTTTGACTTGCATCTACGACGACTCTGCAAAATATTCGGCCGCCAACCGAGGGTACGCACTCCCTGAAACCGCGGGGCAGTGACATCTTCTGACTGTGTTACAGCTACGTCGAGACGCTGGAGCGGAAAATACGAAAGCTGGAGCAGGAACTCGGGCAGAGACGGGATGCACCCAGCTATGTCGCCCCTACAGCCCGCCAGTCCACGGACGAGGCCCTCGTCCAAGATTTCCAGTGGCAGAATCCCCGGGTTCGAACAAGGGCGATTCCTCTACACGACATGCACCCTGTACTGCCAGATCCAGATTGCACCTCTTTAGAGAAAGACCATGATCTCGTCAAGGTCATTAAATATGGTGAGCCTGCTGCCTTGTCGAGTATATCATCAACGCTTATACACAGCTAGGAGAGATTTCGATTCATTCGGCGCTGGCTGATTTTGGAGTGGCGCCGTCCGGCACCTCTCCATCTGATGCACGGGCAACGCATGGGGATGCAGAAAGCGAGAATTCCTCAATCCAGGACGCCGACGCCATGATCCGCGAAGAACAATATCCACTGGATGATTCCTTTGTTCTCCCACCACGTGCACTGGCAAATCGCCTGGTGGACCTGTTCTTCGACCACGTATACCCAATTGTGCCGCTGGTTCACGAGCCCAGTTTCCGGAAAGAAGTCGATGCACTGTACACCGATCGCCGGTCCGGGAGCATCGCATTTCGGAGCATGGTCAACGCGGTGTTTGCCTACGGCTGTGATTATCTTGATTTGGGTCTAGCACGGACCTACGAACTGTCCCAGGACTTTCACGAACGTGCCACTGATTTGATACTGCTGGTTTGTTATGAGCTGGCGTCCCTCGAAGTTGTTCAAGCCCTGCTTCTTGTGACATTGCATCTCAACAGCAGCATGCAATTTCACCGTATGTGGGTCAATACAGGTCTGCTAGTGAGGACTGCACAAGCACTGAACCTCCACGTCGACCCGTCTGCTTGGAATATCAGGGTGATTGAGAAAGAGTTGCGGAAGAGGCTTTGGTGGTCGATATATTCCCTTGACCGGTAAGCTCGAAACAGTCTGCTTCTTCGGACTTTCTAAACAGTCTTAGGTTTATCAGCTTGAAGCATGGCCGACCTCCAGCGTTAGATGTCAAAGCTGGCCACTCGGTCCCGCCCACGGCCGTCGACGACGATCAAATCTTCCCTACATATATCGCGAGCTCCTCGGGGAGGCCGCCGTCCCAGCTTCTCTTCTTCATCCATCTCATGGACCTGATCCACATATCGGAGATATCACTCTCCTCCGGCGGCTCCAGTGCGCCCTGGAAATTGTCTCAAGAAGTGAACCATGACGCGAATCGGAATCATGATACGAGAGGCGCCATCTATACTCAAACGTCAGTCGCCCTCGAACAGGAGAGCAAACTCTCTACCTGGCTCGACAACCTCCCCGAGCATCTCCGCTTCAACTATGCCAACACCGACCCAAAACTCCGTATGCAGCAACGTAGTTTGCAGATTCGGTATTTACACACCAGACTCATGATTCACCGGCCGAACATGATCTTTGCACTAAAATTCGACAGCCGTAAGGAGAATCTGTGTCGGAACGATACATTCTTCCAATCCATATTGAGCGCCAGCATTGAGCAATGCATTCAGTGTTGCACAGAATTGCTGAGCCTGGTCAAGGAGTACTATGAACAAAAGAGCCTAGGGCCTTGGTGGTTACTTTTGCAATGTAAGTGGAGGCTCCAACCACCTCTTGCCTCGAGATACTTATGAACGCAGTCATTTTTACGACCTTGGCTACGCTATGTGCGGTTCGAGCGAGACGGAATTCAGTGCCGAATCTGGATGATGGGAATATCGATACCACAATCGATAAAGCGATGGGCTTGCTGCGTTCTTTTGGCGACATCCACCCAACGCTGGTTCGGTGTCGACAGTACTTTGAGTCAATGATATCGTTGATCAGAACTCAGGGCCCAGTCCCTCACCCAGAAACCATGGCTAGGCTCAGGTCTCCCACAAACAATCGAGTCCTTCATCCCTCATTGCCAACTGCCACATGCACGATTCAACCGACACCATCGAGAACCAGTCCAAGGCTCCAGAATCCGGCAGAATACCAGCCCCATGACCTTTTCCTGCACAACCCAGATCAGAGTCTGGAGGACTGCACCGCGGAACTCTTCTCTGATGTGACTTTTGGTGGCTTCAATTTCGGCGCCTTGGATCCCATACTTCAGGCATGAGCAGAGTGCTCTCTAGCCAACTCTCAGCATCCCGTGCGCGAGACAGTTGCCACTTCAGCCGTGTGGGGACGAATTGCGGAGGGTACAAGGTACATTATGTGGGGGGACTCGTCTGGGAGGCAAATGGCCCTCCACGTTAGTACCTAATAATGAACCATGGCAGCGTTGAGACTTCGCTCCCACCATGCACAATATCAATGAACCCGCGCCGAAAGCTGACACGCTTGAAAAGGTCCATTTGAGTTAGGACAGCTCTGTTCATGCTTAAGCATCGGATGGATTCCCCCAAACTCCCCTCTTCGATGAAGGCTCACCTTCTTGAAAAGTTCAATTCACCCTACGAACTCCGTGATGTGCCTATACCAACGATCGAACAACGCGATGACATCTTGATTAGGGTCGACGCGGCCTCATACTGCCACACAGATGCCATCCTCGCATCCGGTGCCGTGAGCCAACCCAAGCTTCCTCACGTAGGCGGTCACGAGTTCGCCGGGACAGTCGTGGCCCTGCCGTCTGAATGTACGCATGACTTCAAGATTGGAGACCGAGTGGCTGTTGCCGGCCGTGGCTACCACGCGTGTGGAAGTTGTCTAGAATGCCGGAACCCTTCTGGCCCGGATCCCGATGAACCCGGCTTCTCTGTATACTGTCCACATGCCGGTGGCGGCCTGGGTATCAACGAACCCGGTGGCTTTCAGGAATACGCACTCGTGGACTCGAGGCAAGTCGCGACGATCCCGACCGATTTGTCTGCCACCGAAGTTGCGCCGTTGATGTGCGCCGGCCTCACTGTCTACGCCGCCCTCGTCAGGTGTGAACTTCGACCTGGACAGCGGGTGGGAATCATCGGCTGCGGTGGCGGCCTCGGGCATTTGGGGCTGCAGTTTGCGACTCGAATGGGCTTGAAGACCACCGGCGTCGACGTGGCACCACAGGCCCTAGAACTCGCCGCAAAACTGAAGACGGGTGCGGAGTTGGTCGATGCCTCTCAGGAGCCGGCGGCCTTGGTTAAACAAAGACTCGGCCAAGAGGACCAAAGACGGCACCCTGCAGAGATGGGGCTGGATGCCGTTCTGATCTTGCCTGAAAGCCAAACGTCGTTCAACTACGGCATCGATCTGGTCAGGAACGGTGGTCTCGTGGTCGTGGTGTCGTTCCCTTCCGAGGGGTTTCGAGTGTCAGCTGCTGACCTCGTCTTCCGACGCGTTCGAGTGGTGGGCAGCCTGATCGGGTCGAACAAGGCTCTCCAGGGGATGTTGGACTTTTGCGTACAACACGGTGTTAGGGCTAGCGTGAAAGCGTATCCTTTCACTCAGCTCAACAAGCTGGTTGAGGACTACCACGCTGGCATTGCTGGGAAGCTCGTCCTCGATCTGTCAATGAAAGAGTGATCAAGCCCAGGAAACTACCATCCTCCATCCTTCAGCTAAGCTAGAATAGCCGGCCGGGTCCTCCATTAGTCGGAACCAACTCGACATCTTCTGGGACCGGGGCTCTACAACGCCACTCACTCACTTACTCACTTGTAGCCACCCCGTTCCGCAAGGAACTCCTGTCCCTGGGCCAAGACCTTGCTATTCTCTTCTCCCAGCCATTGGCTCTCCAAGGCTTGAATTCGGTCCTCGATCTCATACGTGCCTCCTCCCCCCACCCAGAGGATCTTCCCTGCGAACGGCAGGGCGACATTCTGATGCGTCTCGTCGCCGTGGCCTCTGTTCGCAGTGGCACATATCAACATCGCCCTCGCCACGTCCTCCGGCTCGTTCGTTGGCAGGCCAGAGCCGATCCAGTCATCTTGGAACCACTCTGCCATGGGTGTTTCTACAGTTCACCTTGTCAGTTGATTAACTTTGCGTCGTTTCATGGGGGACCACATACTCGTCATCCACGGACAGACCACGTTCACGCGGATGTTCTCCTTGATGGCGGTCAGGTTCAGGCCTCGCACCAGGCCCACCACACCGTGCTTGCTGGCCGTGTAAGAACCCAGCCCTCCACTCTCCTTGAAACCCGCAATGCTGCTCGTGAGAATGATATCGCCCCCGCGTCCGGCCTTTCTCAGATACGCGAGACCAATCCTCGCGGTGTACATCGCGCCCTTGAGATTGACTTCGATCTCTTTCACGTCCGGCTCCCGCCGCCACTCCGCGCTCTGTCCAAACATGTCTTGCACGGTCACCACCCCGGCGTTGCCGACCACAATGTCGACCCGGCCGTGCAGTCTCTCGCTTAAATCAAACAGGGCCAGCTGATCCGCGTAGACGGCGGCGTTGCAATGCCGGTACGTGACGTTGGGACCCAGCTCTGCGACCAATTCTCTCGACAGCGGCTCGTTCAGGTCGCCGAAGACCACTTTGGCGCCGTGAGAGGCAAACTCGCGCACGGCGGCTCTTCCAATCCCCGTCGCCCCGCCTGTGAGCACGACGATCCTGTCTTTCAAGGTCGCCAGAAGCTTAGTGTTGATCTCCAAGTGTGTCATCTTGAATGGGTCAGAACAATACGATTTTCAGGGAATTTTATGCAGGCTCTTTTCGCGATTTAGGGACTTTTTAAAGGGCCCTGAGAGCCTTTGAAGGAGACTCCACCGAGCCATGGCGCACTTGGGTCACGATTTTCCCATGTGGAGGATACTGCACATGTGGACAAGAGCGATGGTATGTATACTCTTGATGCTCTGGATTTGTGTCGTCGGATCTGCGGAATCTCGACATTGTGCGTTACATCTTACGGCGTCTAGAGACAAGGCTCTATGGTTTTCCGCAATCTCCACGTATAGTTCGAATAGTGCATGAACCTTGCTCAATCCCGGTCCGTTGACGTAGGACAGGCGATGAGGATTCACAAGATCGATTGAGATGAAGTGGAAGAACTAGTGAATGAACAGATCACGACAGATCGAGCAACTGGGAGGTTTGTGGAGATGTGGGGGATGTGGAGGCGCGACCGTTGCTCGACCCTTTCTCGCGCGCTGCAACAATCTCACAAGGTCAAACCCCACTTCCTGCTTTGCTGGCTCCTGTTTCTGCCCTAGTCCTCTAAGGACAGATTCGTTTGGAAGGCTTGTCTGATACTTGCACTCGTGAGAGACAGCAGCAACGGATCTTCCGAGCCCTGTTGTAACCAAGTAGCATCGTGGGCCAAACAGACTGTGGCAGAATAATTCTCTTCGAACGCTTTGATTCTCGCCAGGGTGTCTTTCGCAGCCAAAACATCTTCTTGTAAGCATGCCTTAGCCCCTCCAGGTAAGGTGAAGATGGCAAAGTCGTCGAGGCCTTCGTAAATTTGTCTTTGAATCAGTCAGCCATGCGAGGTTGTGGTATCCAAGTACTCGAGAGAGTCGCTGACCGTGCATGGCAACAATCACCCGCCATAACAACCCAAGTCCCCGTTCTCAACCTAGCGGCCGCAATCAGGTTGCCGGCCATGTGCCCAGGTGCCTGAATGACCCAAAAGCTGCCACTACCAAAGAGGTCCATGGCGCGTTCGAATGGCCCAAATTCGATCCACGGCCCCTCCAGTTCGCGGCACCTGTTGAAGCCTTCACTCGCGTCAAAAATCCTGCCGTCCCACTGATTTTGAGGGTTCTTGAGATGTCCCGGTTGGCAGTGCGCGAATGTCCCCGGTCCGAAGAAGGCTCGTGCCCGCGGAAAATCCTTCCAGAATGGTCGACAGTGATCCCAGTGGGCGTGGCTAGATGCCATTAACTTGCAACATTCCCAAGTGTCAGGTCACGCACCTAAAGATTATGGTCTCGAGCGCTGCCGCTGCGGTATTGCTGTGCTCCGAGATTTGTTGAGCTACCGACTTAGGAGGTGACCGAGGACGTAGCTCTCCGAAAAGATTGTTTTGAATGAAAGGTGTGAATTCTTCTGTATCCTGTGCAGAGTCAGTCAATCGGTATCGACAACTTCGCACAAGCTCTTTCGGCGCCGCCATACTTCCGAGAGACCATAATCCCATAGCAGCTGGCGACCAGTTTTGCCATCACTGACGAGGAATGTCCAGTCTGGTACTTTGAACTCCCAGTCCCTTCCGCGAGCAAGGACTCTGCTCTCGTTGGCGGTGAAGCTTCCACCGTCTAAGATTTGAATATCGACGTGGCCCTCTGTTGCCGGTAAGGGAGGGCATTTTATGCAGCTGGATCCCGTCTTGGTCGGCATTGAATGTGTAGGTAGAGGGCAGGGAACGAGTCTTGAGACCCTTACCGGTTTCCTCGGTCTAGGCGCAAAGGGCACAGGAAGCGAGGAATTACAAGACTCCTGAACAGGGAGAAGAGGATACACTTTAGCTCACCTGTGACAGTGTGGTGGATTGGACGAACATCGTAATGTGGAGGGACGTTGCTCAAGCCGCCCAATTCGTGGGGAATTCTCCACACAGAATATAACCCGTTTTACTTGGATGTCACTCGCTTCGACTTATGTCTATTCACACCTCTACTGTACATCGCGCACGCCCGTCACGGCCATCTTAGAATGGAAGGCAACTACGCTTTTATCGGTTTGTGCAGGCCACTTTTATTTGACATCTTCTCACTGACGCGCCGCAGGCCTTGGGGCCATGGGATACGCCATGGCCAGCAACCTACGCAAAAAGATGCCGGCATCCTCGACCCTCTATGTTTATGACGTCTACCAACCATCATCTGAGCGCTTTGCCTCCGAGTACAGCAGTATGGGGCCTGTTGTGATCGCGAAGGACGTCAAGGAAGCCGCGGCTAACTCCAAATTTGTCGTCTCAATCGTCCCGACGGCTCAAAACGTTCGAGAGGTGTACCTCGACGCCACTTCGGGCTTGATTGCCGCGCCCCAAGATCCCGAGCGCTTGATATTGGAGTGTAGCACAATCGATTCGGACTCGGCTCGAGAGGTCGGAGAGCTACTGAGGGCGTCCAGGCATGGTCATTACGTCGACACGCCTGTGTCGGTAAGTCCCCTCGTGTTACTGGAATGGGCAGCAACTCAGCAGTCTAGGGTGGCGTTCCAGCCGCCGAAGCGGGCATTCTCTCCTTCATGATCGGTAGCAAACCACGGTCAGAAGAAGATCCGGCGCCATCGCGGATCAGTCACGTTCTGACAATGCTTGGTCGACCCGAAAAGTTCTTCTGGTGCGGGCGACTGGGCGCGGGCCTGGCCGCCAAAATCGCCAACAACTACATTTCGTGCACGTCGTTGCTGGTGATCGCCGAAGCCATGGCCGTGGGCGTCAGGAACGGGATCGAGCCAAGACTGCTGCAGGACGTGATTCACAATTCCTCGGGCCAGAGTTTCATGTCGGACCATGTCAATCCCGTCCCCGGTGTGGTTCCGCATGCGCCGAGCAGTAACAACTGGAGGTTAGGTTTCAAGACGCAGATGATGATCAAGGATATTGGGTTGGGCGTCAATGCAGCTAAGAAAGTCGGGATTTCGCCCACAATGGCGGAGGCGGCGATCGAGGTGTGGAAGAAAGCGGCTGAAGATCCACGTTGCGTCGACAGGGACGGGTCTTCTGTCTGGCTCTATATCAACGATATCAAAGAATCATGAAATGACCCATGTATAGGATTCCAAGACGATGGGAGACCGCACAGAAGAGTTGTCGCTTCCCTCCCTGAAAATGACACTATATATATCTAGAGCAACGGCTGCACGTTGACACTAGCGCTCCGGGGTAGAGATTGACCTACACTAGACTGTCAGGGCCTTCCCGCACTGGCGAATCAGGCTATCGAGCCACCATCCATCTAGGCCACCTCTTCAGACAGCGCAGGTGGATGCAGTGATCAGACCTTGTCCGCCTGCTCGATTTCGATCACGTCAACTTTCGCCATGACATTAACACCGGCCGCCTCCTTGGTGCACACATAAGTCTCGAATTTTCGAGTCGGAACGCGCTATGAGGTACCCGTTAGCAAACTCTAGATCCTAGCGAAGTAGAGAAGGAGGGGAAAATGGGGGAGAAGAAAGTCGTACGTTCAAGAACATCTCGTCAATCTCTTCCAAAGAACGGTCTTTCGTCTCCGGGAGATACAGGATGGCCAAGACGAAGACGATTGTCGCCAGCGGCCCAAAGATGAAGCCGACCTTGGTCCCGAGGTTGGCGTAGTCGGTGTTGATCAGGTAAGGGATGCAGGTGATGACGACGAGGGCGCCGAACCAATTGGCCGACAGCGCGCACGACACGGTCTTGGACCGCAGGCGGTTCGAAGGCACCTCGCCCGTCACGATGGGGCCGATGGACCCCCAGGTGGCCGCGAAGCTGAAGACGTAGATGCAGATGAAGGCGATGATGCATTTGTTGGCCGCGTCGCTGCCCGGCGCGGCCTGCGCGATGATCGCGAACAGGAACATCGACGCCGCGCAGACGCCGGCGCCGACGATGAGGAGGATCCGGCGCCCAATGAACCGCACGGCGACGAAGGCAAAAATCACTGCCGCGACTTGGCACGCATTGATGATGACGGTGATCACGAAGGCGTCGTTGAACCCAATCAGGTTGAAAAAGTACGTCGAGTATCTGCCCAATGTTCGTCAGTGATGACAACTTCAAGAGGTCTAATCGACCAAATGTGCGAGGCCTACCCCGAGATGAAGGCGATGCCCTGTGCATGTTGGCCGCCCATACAGAGCATGCCGATCAAAGTCCGTCGTCGATTCGTGCCCGAGAAACACTCGCGATACGACGTCGACGCATCCAAAGTTCGTTCAAGCTCGGTAAACGCAACAGCCTCTTTGATCTCGTCGTTGAGCTCGTCCCGCTGCGCATGCTTGCCTCGTATCTTGGCTAACGACGCTCTCGCCTCGTCGTATCGATCACGGGTTATAAGCCATCCTGATGTATGTTAACACTTGTGGGATTTCGAATCTGGCAAGGAAGGGGAGGTCTAACGTGGAGATTCGGGTATGAACCATACCAGCGTCACCAAGACGAGGGGTGGAAACATGGTCACGAGCAGAGGGACGCGGTAACTCCAGCGGTTGGTCCATTGGTATGTCCCCTGGTCGACGCAGGCGCCGATGAAATTAGGGAGGTTGATGTTGAACTGATACAGGATGACGATGAGACCTCGGATGTGCGCCGGGGCGGTCTCGCTCCAGTACGTAATCGCAAAGTTCCCGGCAAAGCCCATGGACATCCCAGTGAAGGCTTTGCCGACGATCAAGGCGCCATAGTGTGGTATCATGCCAAAGCCGGACCCGCTGCCACAGGAGTCAGTTCGGAAAACATCAACAGAGATAATTTGGCTCCCAGATTCCTACAGTAGACCAGTAATGCCGCAGACGATCAGCCCAGCCTTGCGACCAAATCTTGCACCGATCCAGCCCGAGCAGAGAGCTGCGAGAAATCCAAAGCCCACTAGTGTCCCATTCATGGCGGTGGTGGAGCCGGCGGTGATGCTGTAAACACCTGCTTGGGAATCGTAGTAGCCGAAATCCTTGAGCCATCTATGTTGTATGAGGTGTTAGCAGGATGCGATGTGCGTCAGTGACTGAGTAGTAGTGAATCTACATACTGTTGCATGGCAAGGAAACCTCCTCCCGTGCCCTGATCAAAGCCAAAGGCTGTTGCAGCAAAGGAGGCGATGAAGCAATAAGCGCAGACTTTCCAATTCTTTTTCCAGAAGCCCACGTCGGGAGGAGCGGTTGTCTGAGATATTCCTTCCGCCATATTTGCGAGGAGTCTTCTACGCAACTGAAAGGTAGGTTGATAGATCCTGATATCCCCAACTGAGTCAGGATGTGAAGTCTTTATAAGCTTGTCGGTAGCGAGTCATTGCAGCACTGTATGGTACCGGGGAGAATTCCTGTGTTCGTCGCCTGACTTTGCCCTGCTGAAGTGGCGGTGCTAGACCGGCACTTTGAGATTAAGCAGAAATTGTATGGGGAAGGATGTTTCACGTTTTAGCACAGAGAAACCGGAGTCTGGTGATGGGGTTGCTGCAACGCAAACTCGAATGTGGCCACGGGAACAGCGCTTGAAGCTCCCGCTTCTAGACTACTTCGCCGCCCCGAATTATGTAGCACGATGTCTCCGCAAATTTCATTACCTAGGTATTTCTTTAGTGCCTCCCCCGGAGTATCCCCATGTTTTCGCTTGGACCGACATGGAAATGGGCCGACCCACTCTGGGACCTCTGGGGTTACCGAATAAGGAGATATTTCCTTTGTAGGCAATTCGCCTCAGAGTTTCCGAGGCATTTCATTCGCCCAACCTGCAAACTAGCCCCAATTCTGCCGTGTAAGTGTGATGCCTTTCCGGTTTCTGGCACCCGAGGGTTGGTTGAACTTCCCCGGTGTCGTTGCCTTACACACGTCCAATATTCTGTCAGAACTGCAGAGTCTTGTCACCGCTCCAGTTCTTCCGGCCTTGCAACGGTTCTTCCGATCTCTGGAGGATCCTGTTTCAGCAGCAGATACCTACTCCTCCAGCGAGGTCGAGGAAATTTACCCCGGGGGCTCTATCATTCATCCAACAATTGTTCTCGGATGCGCGCTATGCTGTATTGCCTGGTAGATCGGCTGACTAGTTGTAAGGATGAAGTTCAAGCGAGACCCTCATCAAATGCACGTCCTATGAGGAATAGATGCCACGGCCTAGGCACATAGTTGTTTCAATTGGTTTATCCAGGGCAAGTACGATGCTGAAACTCAGCTGCCCCATGCATACATGGTTCATTTCCTTTCTGTAAGGCAAAATTCACCCCAAACATCTCTTGACGAAGTCGATTATATCATTGATTGCCTGGCTGGTCACGTCCAGATCCACAACCAGGTATCCATGGGGCGAACCGGGGTAAACGATCAATTCCGCCTCGTTGCCAGCAAGTTCCCACTTCGTCGCCATGAGAAGGCTGTCGTCTAGCAGCGGATCTTCCGCCCCGACCCCAAAAGTCGCCGGCGGCAAATTCTGGAAATCTGCGTGGTAAAGAGGCGACCACGCAGGTCGCTTGATGCGTTCCAACGACCCAAAGACGTCGGGCGGCAGAGCCAGCCACATGAAATTCTCACGCTCTTGGGGAAAGTCACCCGTGTCGGCTCTGGCTGCGCGGGCACTGGGCAACAGCGAGAGGTCGTAGATCCCGTACGTCGGTACAATGCCCGCCAGAGCCTTGCGAACGTCGACCCCCTTCTCGTCACGCAAACGGAGAGTCGTCTGGACAGTCAGGTAGGCGCCGGCCGACTCACCGCCTATGAAACGCAGGGTCTGGCCGATTTTCTCCTTTGCTTCGGTGGACAGGAGATACATGGCTGCGTCGAGGCAGTCGTCTGCGCCGGCCGGCAGTTTGTGTTCGGGGGCGAGGCGATACTCCACAGACGCCATGACCAGGTGTGTCCGCTCGGCGAGGTCGCGGAGGACGTTGTCGTGCAGTGACGCCGATCCGATGACGAAGCCTCCTGGAGGTGAATTGTCAATACCCCAGAGCCGACAAAGCCATACGTAGGGAACCTACCTCCATGGATAAAGAGGAAGACGCCACGAGCTGGGTGTTCCTTGGGGCGGATGATGCGCAGGGGGATGTTGTCGCCTCCATATGACGACGGCACAGACACATTGAATGCGTCTTGGTCATAGGTCGGCGCATCGAATACTGCCTTCCCTTCACTCTCCAGCCGGCTGTATTGCTCTCGGGATTCACAACTCCAGAAATGCGCCATGGACTTCTTCGCGGTGAGGTACTGCTCCGACTGGGAGAGTCTGAACTTGAGCTGTTCTGCCGAACATGGTGCCTGCTTGAGGATGGGACTCGTCATTTTCGCTTGGCTGTTTCGTAGCAAGAGTAGAACACGGAGTGGAAAGGAAAGATAAACAAATCCGAGTCTCGATACTTATCTTCAGTAGTTCAAAATCATGACAAGATTCAGAATGGCGGTCGTATGCACAGCAGTACGCATCAATGAAAGACATGTTAGACTCTGAACAGCCCTTGAGGGTGATTTGCTCAGTAAGTATCGAAACTAGTCCTCGGCCGAGGGGCTCGGGCTAGTGCTGAAGGTCTAAATTCCTTACAAACACTGCCAGCCACACGAGTGGAGCGCTCTATTCACACCAATATCATGAGCCCAAGTATTGAGTAGGGGGACAGTCACCCGGGGAGAAAAACTTCTGACTTTCGGTGATCTGCCATTCTCGTGGAAGCATCCCGCAGATACCGAAGTTGGATTCGATAACCGAGGCGTTGAGCCTGCTTCACGAGGAATTGTAGGCGAGAATTAACTCTCTGGCGAAAGCCATCCTTTGCAAAGGACAGTTGACTTATCCCATTTTCCAGACAAGCCATATAATCTGTGAAAAAGCGAAATAGGTCTACCACCATCCCAACCGGTTTTGTTGATTATGGAAGTGTAGTAGCAGTGGTCAATCCATCTTGGCTTGGACTCCCTTCCAGAATTACACTCATTCAATCCGCAATTGGCACATTAACCCCGCACCACTGAGAAAAGGAAGCAAATCTTCTTCATGCATTTTCATATCAATTCTCGAAGAAGTAGCCACTTCACAGACTCGTAGTCGGCACACGCTACGCTCCATGTTGCTATTATTGGTGAAGCAGCTCCTCCTTCGTTATTGACATCAACGCACGAGCGCTCTTCTTGAGCATATCTACCCGTGCTGGAGTAGTGGCTAGGGCCTTCCACTGTGCCGAGCCTGTCCAATCGATCAAGCCAGTCTGGTGGCCGTTGAATGTTTTAATTTGCCCCGACAAACTGTATGGCGCCCATGGTTGTTTGCCGTAGACGAACTTGCAAACTGATTCGGTCAGTGCGTCTGCTGTGAGCCGCAGTTCCAACGGCGCCTGTTTCCCTGCCACAGCCGGAAGTCGGCAGATGAAAACATTGTCAAGTGCGTGATATGCATACCCCAGAAAGGGACTTTGCTCGAAAGTGTCCACTTGATCAAATCTGTATAGGCTGACCGGCGTCGAAGTATGTGTATGCGAACCCATGGACTCCATCAATGAGCCGAAAGTCGCGTCGCTGGCAAACGCAATTAGAGCTTTCACAGCCGATTTGGCATCTTGTGTTTTGCTCATGATGCCGTATGTCTCGATGACTTCGTCGGCAAGGCTTGAATCCGGTATAGCAAGTCGGACCGCAGCTTGCACCATGTCGATGGACCAGTGATCCCAACCGTGTACGATTCCAAACAGGGCAATCTCGTCGTGGGTCCAGCCAGCAGTAATGCCATCACACCATGAGGGAAAATCGCCAACCTTGTCAAGAGGCAACAAGCCATCCTTGTGGAGGAACCACTCAGGATCCCATGTCGGAAGAATGAGAGATGGTGGAGTAAGACTTAGAAGCTTCTCAACAGACAAGTTCCTGAGAAATTCGAGCTTCTGACAGTCTGATGCGACACCGGTAGAACTGGCCTTCGCAAAGAGGCTGTCAAACGCCTCTTGGGCTGTTTGGGCTGCTCCCGGAGCCAGAGAAGGTGCAGACATTATCATCGCGCGCTGGCAGATGGGTACGCCCGAGCGTAAATGTGCCAGCACCGACCATGCGCCAGCGGATTCCCCAGCTATCGTTACATTGCTTCCATCCCCTCCAAAGTAGCAAATATTCTGTTGGACCTGTCCACAACTCTCAGTAACCGGGTTTATATCCAAAAACGTAGAGCTATATCTCTTGCTTACCCATTGTAACGCCAGTCGTTGATCATGAAGCCCAACATTTGCAAATCGAACTTCACCTGCGTCACCTGCTTCTGCCTTGAGTTCCTGGGAATGTAGAAAGCCAAAGTATCCGAGGCGATAGTTGAATGCCACGTAAATGAAGGGCTGGCCCAATTTTGACGCGTATTCTACGATATAGTTTCCGTCTTCGAAGATTTGGTCAGCTCTCTGGTCTTATGTCTCTTGGGACAAACAAGACGGGATTCCTTACCATACTCTGGCCCGCCGTCACCAACAACAAACCCTCCACCGTGAATCCATACGAAAACCGGCAGTAGCCCCTCTGAACGCTGAGAAGGGGCGTATACATTCAAGTTCAAGCACTCATACTCCGATACAGGCAGAGCATCAGAGTGGACAACGCCGTGGTAGAGATGTTCCCGCCATTTGCGTGGCAGGTCGATGTTTTGAGGACAAATCGGGCCGTACCTCTTCGCATCAAAGGTGCCTTTCACCTCCGAGGACTTGATCGGTCGCGCTTGTCGGAAACGAGATGGTATCTCGGCGTATGGAATGCCTAGATAGTTTGCCACGCCAGATTCTGAAACGAAGCCTTCGATGTGATAGTTACCTACCAAGCAAGTAGTATTGCGTTTGGCAGGGTAACCATCCACGTCGGTCTGCTCGATGCTACCCATTATCCGTGGATCAATGCGACATGTATTTGTGTCTTCGAGAGTTGTCAATTGAATCCACCACACCGGACAGTGTGTATGCTGTATGAAGGGTAGACTTTCGAGACTCCGTCCTTCGACCGTCTACGGTACCTTTATAAACAAGGCAAGCTTGGCAGCGCAGACAGTCGCATGTGGCCATTGTTGTTGTTCGCTTCCATGGACGCTTAAATGTGCCCTAAATCTTGTGAAACATGAGAGCGGCCGAAAGTACATTATTCTCCAGGGACGGGTGAACCAGCGAAGTCAACCATTGACCCAAGTAGTGGGCTCGGAAAGGGACCATTGGCACAGTGGATAATGTTGGTCGAAACTCATCACAGATTGATCGGAGCACTGGAATATCCTGTCCGACTATCTCCAGAAGCTTCAAGGGTTTTTTTCCCTCTCGGGTAGTTGTTTGGCGTTTTGCCCAATGTGTTGGTGGTCGTCAGCCCGATCCGGAAATTCCTTCAGGAGGGAAAAATGCCTCATTTGGCTCCTTGCATGCTAGCAACTTGCAGTACAGAACTTTAAAAGCGTGACGCTAACGTCAAGGTCACCATGTCAACCCACTTCCCCATGTAGCTGCACGGCACGGACAATCTTTACAAGTGGATGATTGGCCGGGCCTTGCGGACAATAACCCAAATGGATGCTGCGAAGCCACCCAACAAAGCTGGGGAGGGGGCGGACCACACCTGAAGACGCGGACTTCAAACCCCTCGAACGTGTGTGGACAGAGGCCCAGAAACGATTGCCATGTTCGGAGTGGCGCTGCATGGCATTTCAGCGGCTCCCAAGACCGAACTTGAGTGCAAAACAGAGGCCAAATTCATGCCGGATGGGTGGACGAAGAATGTCCCTGCTTCCATGCATGCTTGAGCCTCGTGGCGATGTGAGAGGATGGCCAGCCGTGGTCTTTTTCAAGGCGGTGCAGGACACCTAAAAGAACATCTTGCTCCTCGGTATCAGTGAAAAACTCACCGCCAATAAATATCGCCATGGACGCTTGAACCCAAGCTGGCGTTAACTCTTCGTATGATATTGCGATACTGCAAACATGGAGAACAATACGTTTGATTTCGCTGGATATTCGCTGCTTCGCAACTACTGCCCGTGGACCTAAGCGTGGTATTGTAGGGTCCGTTGCTAAAAGCAGAATGCGGGAAAGTTCGAGGAACTGCACGGCCGTAAGGTGCAGGGTTGACAGATACCAAACGCGATAGAGTAGCGGGCCGGGTGCGCTGCAGGGGCTCTCCTCGAAAAGAGGAAGAAAGGAGGTTGGCATTTGTTCTTCCCAACGTGCTTCATAGCCTTTCAAGTCTGTCCATCTTTGCACGTTGCTCACCGCATCAGATTCCTTCGCGTCGTAGCAGAAGTCAAGGACCCGAGCGCAGTGAAGCAAATGTCGATCTGACCAAATCAAATCCTCATAGTCGGACGATTCAATGGTATCAAGAAAAGACCATGCCACCAGCGGGTACTGGACACCACGTTGCGTCATGTATGCCGCTGTCAGCTCCTGTCTTAGCGCATTTCGAAACAGGGCGTGTCTGAAGCTCTTCAAATAGTCAATTGATGGAGCGGACGGCAGCACAGGTTGGTCGATAGCACTATGACTTGATAGTCGAGGATCGGTTTGTTGTAAGATGATCTTTGTCTGCGCGTTCAAGAAAATTCGTAAAGTGGTGAGAAGCCTCTCCTTGTCTTCTCCTGTTTGGTATCGGCTATCCATTTCTTCATGGAACCTCAAGCTGACGAGCGCCGCTAATAGATTCTCATCTTCAGCAAAAGCAGTGTGGTCGCAGAGTTCAAGTAGGTTGGCGACGCAAGCATTGTGATGCTGTAAGATTCTGGCGTATGTCAACGACGGGAGAAGCACACCTCGATATTGACACACCCCATCTTCGGTGCGGTACGTGGGTGAGGAGAACAATACGATCGCAGCGCAGGTGAGGATTGCGTTCAACAAAGGCGGACACATCCTTGCCCTAGCAGGGACAACCAAGGCTCCATTTCGCAGGGGATCACCAATATCAGCCTGATCCTATTAGCATATCTCCGTATGACCACGAAAAGGGGAAGTTTAACAATACCAGCGGCGCTATCTTCTCAATATAGAAATGCATTAAGCATGCACAATGATGGGCCTCGAAGGCCTCGGGCCAAAAGAAATGGGTTCGCCTAGCTCTTCCGAGGAGGTCCTCGCGTTCTGGGAGAAGCACGTCATTTTCACATGAGATCCCCGGGGTACGAGGGCTCGGATGATGAGATGGATATATCTCACGATGTTGCCATATACTCGAGGTTACATCGCCATGGACCGGCGACGAGAAGCCAAGTCCAGCTTCTGAAGGAGAACGTAGATTGGCGGGGCCGACATGGCAGACGAAAGCGGTGGCAGGAAGTACTTCGCCCAATTCGGTGTTGTGCAGAGGGGTATGTTCTTTTTCAGGATGGTCTCCAACATCTTCGCCCGTCTGTGTCACTGTTTTACGCCTGGCCTCCTGACGTCGGCGCTGGCGATGATCGACGAATTTGATTGAGCCTCCTGGCCAGAACACGTGTAAGCAGGAAGAGATATAGCCTCGCGGCCGAGATAATCAAACAGAGCCCCCCAGAGGCAACTGTCTATTTACTAACCTTGACCCGCATTCCTAACCCAAACCTGGTCGCTCTGAAAGGTCAAGTCATGAAGGCTTGACTTAGCGTTGCGGAATTTGAATTTCCTCTCGCTATGATTTTGTCGTCCTTGTGAAGCATAACTCCTGTGAGGTCTGTGAGTCTGGCTGACGTATCACCTGGAAGGATATGGCTTGGGACGGGAACGGGCCTGCGGACAACAGCTCAGGTGTGCCTCCAGTCGACTTGAGGCAGGCGAATAAGATCCGACTTACTCTGACATAACGTCTCGCCACCCCTTCCGCCAGGAGAGACTGGTATGTGAGCAAGATGTGTGCCGCGCGACAGTCAGTTTGATCACACCTGGATCTTGATCTGGTGCTCAATATTCTGCGACGTTCAAACTTTAAGGTCGCGCCATGCGCTACCAGATGCCATAATTGGCGATGTATTTATGAAAACGGCTCTGATTCTTACTGACGAGCCAAAGGGAGTACAAACTCAATGAGGAATCCAAAGTATGACTAACCTGGGTATATTTCGAAAGTTGGCAGAGAGAGAGAGAGGTCGTTGTCGTTAGCGATGTTGCTGCTTTGGCGACAGCCACGAAATTGCGGGGCGAGCACAGGGCAGCAACATGTTGATCCCTATCGGGCTGAGAGCTTCGCGCAGCAGATTTTACACATCCTGGCAACCAAAGATGGGTCAAAACTGTCTGACACTCGCACCGAACGATACCACGAAAACTGCCCAGTGAGCTTCCTGAAAGCGACATGCCCTACACCGCAAAAGGGGAAGAGGGACAAGGAACGAGGGCAGAGCCCATGGCGGGATGCCTCAATCAAAAGACCACAATGACTCCCCGTGGTACGTTGCCCAGCGTTACCGGAAGAAGGAATCCTGGCGACACTCGCAGCTTGGGCTATCTTGACGTTGGCGGTGTCCTCTATGTCTCATGGCCAATGTATTCCGTTGTACCTACGAAGATGGCAGTTGTTCCGAAATTATCCCTGATGTGCCCACAAGGCGGAGGGCGGTTACGGAACTGCATCATCCAACCGCGCACTCCGTCGCGCTGCTGGGCCAAGGCTGCGAGGAAATTTAGGCAGTAACGTAAGGGCAGGGAACTTGTCTGGGTTCCCTGCAGCCTGTCTGAATAGATGCCCGGCCAAGAGGCAAGTATAGCCGATTGTAAGACCAAGATTAGGGCTCCAGGTGTATTTACTCGGGAAGTCCTCGGTGATGCTCAGCCAAAGGCTCAGTTAATTCTCAGGTTAAAGCGGCCTTCGCTCATCCTCTAGAATCAAACCGTAAATGGCAATTAGGTTTTCCGTTCTCGAGTAATCTAGGTATGCTCTATTCCTGGGTAGGGAGCCATATTGTTGGGCTCAGTCTGATCTAGTTGGATCCAATAGTGCCGGCTGCCTATCCGGATAGCCAGCCGTGCGCCGATGAAGGGGCATCAACAGATACGCTTTGCTAGCGTCGGCTAGCGACTACGAGTGCTCTCCGGCGGTGTCGACTGTTTCGCGCACACAGCCAAAACTATATAGAGCGAGGAAGTCGCCGTGCAACAGGAAGAATTTAGATAGTCAGAATCTCAGAGCAATTGCAACCCATCCATTGCGTGTACAAACAAGCCTGCCAGTCAACTCGATATCGCGCTTCTACACTCGCCGCAACACGTATAGCCGGTGAGCTCGCTTGGATGGGAATCCGCTGTCAATTTCCCGTAGATGTTTGCCTTTCCACGCGAGGAAGATTAGATCCCAGAGGTTCTGCTTTGTCTACTTAAATCGGGCGCAGTCCGTCTCGTTTATCGACAAATCACATCTTCATATGGGGGCGGGGTGAGTTCCAGTTGAGGGGGAAGTTGACGCGTATATATACTGCTCGTCGACAATTGTGCTATTTCATTTTTAAATACAGTAGCAATCACTTTCTTATCCGCTGCTTCGTGCTTCTATTAGCCCGCGATCGGGCTTTGGGTCATCGCACGCTATGGCTGACACTTTAACATCTCAGCCTCATCGCAGGCTCGGCTTCTTGAAACCCACTCAGAGTAGCTCGCAAAAGGCTGAGAGCTCAGTATCAGGACGCCAGAGTCCAGGGGACTCTGGAGGACTTCCAGCTAGCCGTCATGGCCTTGGAAACCAATCCCCAACTACAGCAGGTCCATCCCGACCTCATGTGAACACGAAGGCAGGTAACTCTCAGTCTCCTACTTAAGAATGATGATGGTAACTAAGGTAATTCAATCTATGCTTCTACTAACGAGATAACACTTTAACCGAGTAGATTAGGGATAAAGCTCCTCTCCTGAACGGTAATTCTCTCCAGCACGAAGACGCAATTAAGGAAATCGGCCCAGAAGAACGCCTATCGCGGCCCAGACCACATGCTAGAAGCATGGGCCAACACCCACCTTCCGCTTCTACAAAGAAGATTACGGGTGATCTAGAAGCAGACCTACGAGAAACGCGGTATTCGAACCAAGAAACGAGGGATTCAAACCGGGAGACGAGGGATTCGAACCGGGAAGTTATGGGTGCCGTCATAGCCTTGCAGAATACAATTCAGAATCAGACAAGCGAGGAGAAGCAAATGGCAATTACTAGGCATCAAGAGCAGATGGCGACACTTACGGCGAACCATGAGGCTCAGATGGGAGACCAGGAGACCCGACACCAAGAGCGGATGGAGGCACTTACGGCGAACCGTGAGGTTCAAATGGGAAATCAGGAGACCCGACACCAGGAGCAGATGGAGGCACTTACGGCGAACCACGTGGCTCAAATGGGAAATCGGGAGACTCTACACCAAGAGCAGATCGCGACACTTACGGCGAATCATGAGGCTCGAATGAGAGACCAGGAGACCCGACACCAAGAGCAGATGGCGATACTTCGGGCGAACCATGAGGCTCAGATGGAAAACCAGGAGACCCGACACCAAGAGCAGATGGCGGCACTTACGGCGAACCGTGAGGCTCAGGTAGAAAATCAGGAGACTCTACACCAAGAGCAGATGGAGGGACTTACGGCGAACCACGTGGCTCAAATGGGAAATCAGGAAACCCAGCATCGAGATCAAATGGCGGCCATTACCCAAGCCATGGCCAACCTGGCAGCAAAGTTCGAACCATTCTCGGAGGCGAGGATGGTTATTTGGAGGACTAAAGAAGCTTGGGGGAGATTCCAGAACAAGAGGATGCAACAGCGCACGGCGCCTAGTCAAAGAGCCTCTAAAATCCTCGAGAACAGAAAAGGACGTGGGAATAAAGGTCGTGCGCAGAGGGACTAGAATGCCAAAGAAAAAGGACGATGGGAAGAGCAGGGCATGGGAGGAAAACAATGAGAGGATTCTTACCACCAGAATGCATCTTCGTCGGGACTGCACTACGCCTTCCAAATGCCCAAACACTTCAGAATGGTGCCACAGCGGTCGACTTAATTTATGTATAATCCAAATCTTGATACTCTTACAATACAAGAGAAATGTAATTCACCGCCGCATATTTGTAACAAGATTTTTCGCATTGGCTCTTCTCCATTTCCATTTGGCCAGAACTTTATTGTAGGCGAGTTCGATGATCTGTGATAGCTCCTTTTTTGCATGTTCCAGTGAATAGTCAACTCCAGAAATGGGGAAAATGGCGACGGGTGCTGACAAGTGTGTTTGCTGCCCCTAAATAATGGTGGGCGCGTTGGTACACCCTGTTCGAGCCCTGCCAGCAGTCCTTTCGGAGCATTGTAATCGTTGGTATAATTGACCGTACGTGTCGGTAGGTTTACAACAGGGAGCCACAGCATTCTATGTTTCGTGCGAGCCGACATGTCCTGGGAGCTGCTTGGTTTGTGCTGGGCATCAAATGAGCTCCCAGACCTTCCTAACCCGTACCTGGGGATCAACTCTGTGAGGCTGGGCACTGTGAAACGGCGCTCCGGGAACGGTTTGAGCTGCCAGGTAGAAACAAGAACGGATTCTTGGCCGAACAGACCTATTTTCGTCTTCGCGCTCTTCTAATTGCCGTAATACCGCGAACTTCACTTTGACAGGGCTCTGGCTTTCTCGGGCACAATTGGCGCAAGTATAGGTAGCATACTGTTTGTCCCAAGATCTTTTGCGATCTGGGAAGCCCTTCTTGCCTTCTTAGGAATGCTTATTGGGTGAGGACAAAGAATCCCCACCAGTTGTTGCGTCCCAGGCCTCCTCCGCCCAGGACACCTGTCCCCCGCAAATTTTCCTGGCATTTTGTCTAGAGGGCAATTTTCCTCACCGTTTTCTCTTCCAGAAGCATCCTAATGAGATTAATGGATTGACGGAACATCCGTCTATCCCAACGATTTGGTCCTAGCTTCCACGTACCCATGGGAAACATTCCGTGGAACAAGCATCCTGCCTCCGTATGCGTCCCACGACCCCCCTTGGCCTAAGCAGCCGGTCCTGGAGATGAATCTGTCCTGAGCCCGTGGTCCCAGCACAGATTCGACCCTAGATCGGCGCGGCCAGCGCTAACGACCCTCCAGAACTTCCCAGCTTCCAGGAACCATGTCCTGCCTCGTCACGGGACCCCCCCAACCCCCGGGGCGGAGGATCACCCATCGATTTGGCTTATCGATGGCTAATTCGCCGCTTTTGAGCGAGTCTCCGGTCTGATTGGACCAGTTGGCAGCCATGGTGGCCGTCACGACCGTAAACCTGAAAGGCCAATCATAGGGTTTGCGTCCTCCACCAGCGTAAGCCTGAACAGACCTATCGCGCCAAGGCAAGAGGCGTCGTGGCCCCCCCGGCGGGTGAGACACGGGTGACCGCTCACCCTGACTCGCGCGCGACCGGGATGAGCACAGGGCGGCCTCACCCCCATCCCGATCGGGGGTGAGGCGCGAGCAGTTTTTACTCATCTTGGCGTTGGTGAGCGAGCTGTGCCGCTGCTGCTCGTGTGAGGACGAACGACTCCCATTGACGCGATATAGATCCCCCAGAGTAGGAGTGGCTCTTTGACATCTTTGTTCATCCTTCGCGCTATGCCCGACCTCCTTCATATATCTAACTGGGTGGACGGCGTGCATGCTGTCCCCACAGCCGAACGAATACAGGTTATCAACCCCGCGACCGAGTCCACGATAGGCGCTATTGACGCCACGCCGCGAGAGGCCGTCGATGCCATCATCTCCGACTCTCTGCGCACGTTCCGCCAGGGCAAGTGGTCCCGTGCAGACGCCTCGGAGAGGTTCTCCGTCCTCTCCAAGGCGGCGGCGCTGCTGCGGGCACGGATCCCCGAGTTCGTCGAGCTGGAGACGCAGCAGACAGGTCGGCCCATCCGTGAGATGCGCGCCCAGTTGGCGCGGATCCCGGAGTGGCTGGAATACTTTGCCTCGCTGGCTCGTGTCCACGAGGGGCGGGTCACGCCCTTCAAGGGCCCGGTCATCAACACCGTCACGCGCCTGCCCCTGGGCGTGGTGGTGCAGATTACGCCCTGGAACCACCCCCTTCTGATCGCAACGAAGAAGATCGCTGCAGCTCTCGCGGCCGGAAATGTCGTGGTGGTGAAGCCATCCGAGCTGGCGCCGTTGTCGGTCCTGAGGCTCGGAGCGTTGTTCCAGGAGGCCGGGCTGCCGGACGGGACGCTGCAGATCGTGTGTGGCTACGGGCGAGACACGGGCAAGTTCTTGTGCGAGAATCCCTTGGTGGCCAAGATTGACCTGACGGGCGGGATCGCGACATACAAGGCCATCGCATCGAGGGCTGGCGAGAATATGATCCCCATCACGGCCGAGCTCGGTGGGAAAGCCCCCGTGTGTCTTCTCCCCAGTGTGGACGTCGAGCAAGCGGTCCGGGCCGCTCTCTTCGCCAGTTTCATCGCCAGTGGCCAGACGTGCGTGACTGGAAGTCGTCTGCTGGTGCACAGGGATATTTACGATCGATTTGCCGAGCTGCTGGAGAGGAGAGTCAAAGCCCTGCGGGTCGGCGACCCAGAGGATCCGGCGACACAGATCGGAGCAGTCATCTCGAGCGCGGCTCAAGCGAGATGCGCCGCATTCGTGGACCGTGCCGTCAAGGAAGGCGGCAAGATCCTCTGCGGCGGCAACGCGACGACGGTGGCGGGGAAGGGGTTCTTCTTCGAGCCCACCATCATCGAAACGCAACATGGCTCCGATTTGTCCTGCAACGAGGTCTTCGGTCCGGTCATCGCGCTCGTCAAATGTGAGTCGGAGGAGGACATCATTCAGATTGCCAACGACAGCCCCTTCGCACTGGGAGCGTCGGTCTGGACGAACGACATCTCACAGGGGCACCGGATGGCGGAGAAGATCGAGGCCGGCATCGTCTGGATCAACGGGCATCACTTGAACGACCCTTCGTCGCCCTGGGGAGGATTCAAGGAGAGCGGACTGGGCAAGGAGAACGGCGTGGAAGCCTATGAGAGCTATACTAAAGTCAAGAGCACCGTCATCAACTATGGCATCCCTCCTGCGTGGTTCGACGAGGAGGTTGAGAACGCACGGTATGGCTAACCACTTGCCTGGGACTCAAGCACAGACATGTGTGCGTGATCTGTCGAGGTCCAACCTCCCGGTTGGCTGGACTCTGTCTCGTACATACAAGCATATCCTCCTGGCTGATCTCGCAGCTACCATCCGAATCCTCACTTCACCGAGCGAGATAGCTCTGTAACTCGGTTACATTTGGATCCCAGCCTATCAGGAACAAGCCAAATGGCTTTGCCGACTCCATTCGCTGCCCTCGATCACGAAAGTAAATCAAAAGGAGGTCCGGCCTGGGCACTGGGTGCAACTAAAGAATCTCGACGATCGTCCTACCCATCGTGAGACGTTATCAACCCATAGTCATATTACGGCTGCCGACGGTGTCAGTCCTGATATGCAATAGACTGTATCCGGCAGGGTCACAGGTCAGGTATAGATGACATCCTTGCACATCAGCAATGGCACCAAAGATGAGGCATGCCTCCACCACAATGAGTTGTGTGAGCACGAAGTTCCCCAACAGAAATCCCTTGACAACAGATTGTTGTCTGCGAATGGCCCTTTTTCACGCTTTCAATGGCATTTCTCAGTGCAGCTGCAAGATTCCGCGATAGCTTGTCCTCGAAGTCCTTTTCCTGTGCCTCAATCCGATGGCCGTACCGGTGGTGAGCCCGGAGCGAGACAGCTGCAACTCTGCAACCTTTGCTTCTTCTGTCTCTAGACTTCCCACAAATCCTTTTGTGCACTCAGTCATGTGTTTTGCAGTAGGAGATGTAGCTGTGCGAGTGGACCGAGAAGGCGGTCCGTTTCCGAAATCCATACGCGAGGCCGAGCCCAACACACCCGATACTCCATGAAACAAACAATACCAGGACCAAGAGAGGTGGAACGCCGTTGCCGCTGGTGACTACCGTCCATACCATAGCCAAAGTTATATTGTCGTTGTAACACATGCCAGAAAGGCTGTCTGCTTGTAGTACATCATGCGAATGGCGACGGGCTGATATGCTGCTAGAATGAGAACGTTACAAATTTATGTTTTTCATTCATGATTTCTCTCTTTTTTTAAACCCTCAAGGGGCGTCAAGGCACAGAGTGAAGACTCTTTATACACCCTGTTCGGACGGATATGCGAATCGTTATTCAAGCCATTGCGTGGCCGATTAGGCGTTAGGTTTTGTCGTATATGCACCACGACGGTGGTGTTGTCTAGTGTGGTTCGTACAATCGACACAGTCAATTGGGCCGAGAGCCTAGTTGCGGCTCAATGACATGTCCTTCCCCGAGCTCCTGGGCAAAGAGTGTCTGAAACGGAATGGTAGTTGGCACATAGATGCACCATGGCAAAAGTGATCGAGATGGAGGGAGAAAGCGTCAAAGGCCGGACGTCCAACGTGAGAAGTAGTATCATCTCTGCTGCCGTGTCTCCTCCACAGGCTTCCTTCCTCGAAATGGTCGGGCAACGGCACGAAAGACGCTGCGAACACTCCTGAGGATGAAGAGAATATTGTCGAAACCGAGAGGAACGGACATGGCTGCGCAAAATCGACGGCCGGAAAGAAGAGCAAGGTCCAGTCCAACAGGTGCCCCGAAGATTGAGCAATTGAAAACGGTTTATTCAGCGCCTGCGAGCCCTCATATTAATGTCGTTGATGGGCTGTCGTCGAAACAGCACTGCCTCCGCAAGGGGGAGCTTAGAGCCAAGGTGCCCGAGTTGAGGCTGTGTAGGCGCAGCCCCCAACCACTTGGACGTGTGAGTTGCACCACCCATGGACCCATGATAATCTCCTCCCACAGGCAGAATACATCTTGAAGCAAGAGCCGTCTGTTCCAGGCCGTCGAGGCGAAATTCGGAACATGACTTTTCTCGTACTTACCTTGTCCGTTCATCCAAATACCTCAGCCAAGGTCGCGGACCCAGAGGAACACGACGGAGCATCCACGCCATCGAAACACCGAGCATATACACCTGCAACGGGACCACTCTGATGCCTTTAGAGCAGTCATACGACTCGATAAATCTGCGTCCCAAGCATCGAAGATAGCTCTCTGCATGCCTAGGTCAGACTTGGCTCGCCAATGTCCGCTAGGCTCCTCGCTAACACCTCGACGCGACGGGCCTTGCCTTTCACCGACTCCAAAGCCTACGAGCCACTGCACGCCCTAGCGATTTAAACAGTTTGGGCACACGCGCTTGCTTTGCTGTCCAACACGTGTCACAACTGTCGGTGAAGTCCTAGTCCTAGGGGAAAGGAGACCCTCTCAAAGAGGGGGTAGAAAAAGAGGTGAAGCAACTACACCGTGTGCCTGGGTATATAATGTCGGAGGTCACCACCATTGCCAGGGGCCCTGTTGTGTATTCCCCCCAAGCGCCAGCCGGGGTGCCGCCGGGGTTGGAAACATGGCCAAAATGATGTCCCCGGCCCGAGCGGCCGTTTGCTTTATCACCGTCCTCCAGGTCCTGCTATCTTTCTGGTCCTCGTCCCCCAACAACGCCGCCATCCATCAGGGTTCTTCTTGCCTTCACGCCTACCACAGTCCGCGGTTGACGACGACGCATCCAGCACCAGCGGGACTGGGCTTTATGATGGCCGAAGCCCACCCGTTCCCCCACAAATGTGTCAACGGCACGACCGAGGCGACCCGATCATTCATCGAGTCTCTGTTCACGGCCGTCGCGCTGGACAATTTCGGCACCTCGTTCGCCGCCGCCCTGTCCGACGACCTCGTGTGGACGGTCACCGGAAGCAGTCCCATCGCGGGCACCTACAACGGCAAACAGGTCTACATCGACAAGGTGCTCACGCCGCTGCGGGACGTGTTGGTGACCCTGCCCGTGCCCATCGTCGAGCACATCTTCGCCGACGGCGACTGGGCGACGGTCAACTGGCGGAGCCAAGGCGTCGTCGGCAAGAACGGGGCAAACTACGACATGCAGTATGCGTGGTTGATGAGGACGGAACTCGACGACACGGGTGCCCGGAAGATTGTCGAGGTCATCGGCTTCTACGACAGCGTCAAAGTCACGGCCGTCTTCCAGGGGTACGTTTTCAACACAACGAAAGTCTGAGGTTTATGTTGTGGGAAGCGTGTAAGCCATGAGATATGTATGCATGGGCAGGGAACAAGAAGTGGGTGGCGGTTGGCGGGAATCGTCGAGATTCGACGAAACGAGTTGCCGCGCCCCGGGAACGAATTTCACGAATCCCGTGAAGCGTAAGAAGAGTCTGTTCGCAAAGACGTTAAACACGAAAACGGGCCCATCAGCGTCTCGGGCCCCCGGTCTCATTTGTCCCAACCAGCCAAGTGTAATTCAAAAAAAAAAAAGGAACCAGAACCAGCCATCTATATGTACAGCGGCGCCCTCGAGTATCAGGACGAGAAACATGACGAAACACCTCAGCTTGAAATGCCTTCGATCTTCAAAAACAGATACAGCCTCAAACGGCATCCCCTTTTCTTTTGTTCGAGTGGGGGTTATGAAATGAATCCGACAACTAGCCTAGCATATATACATACTGTTAATATTCTGGACAAATGAATCAACGACATGACCAAGATTTCATTGAGGTACTGCCTGCGTTTCCAGTTGCTGAGCCGCCGCAATGTCGGCGCAAATCCGAAGAATGCGCACGATCTGGTATCACTACGAGTTTCAAGTTTCGCGCAGTTGGAACCCGAATTGAGAGGTGTGGTAAAAAAAAGAAAAAACACTTGAAAATAGATCCGACATGGCTGTTAGGTGCAGGGAGAGAAAATGTCCACCTATATATCTTACTCGCATACCACGATTTGTTCTCTGTCAGCGCTCTGTAATGCCAGCGACGGATCTCAAGAGAGGAGGGTATCATTCCCAAATACAATGAATTGTCGCCACCGCCGGCGCCTCACCCGCTTCTATTGTCTCACATCTGGCTAGTAGTCCTTCTGAGCATATCTGCTCTTCATCCTCAGCCGCTCACCGTACTGTTGTTATGGATCAGCACTAGACAATCCTCGACGACGAAGAGAAGGAGAACTCACCTTGAACAGGAAGAAAGGGATGGGGATGAACGCAATAGCGAGAAATCCCAATGTCGAACTCGCCCAGCCGACTCCAAGGTTGTTGTACATGGCCGAGGCAAACAGCGGAAAACCTGCGCCGAAGGAGGACCGGAAGAAGTCGTTGCCGGCCAACACGCTCGCAGCGTACGCCGGATATGCGTCCGCCAGGTAATTGAGGACCGAATTGAAGAGCAAGAATGCGCCCACGGAGAACCAGGCCGTGCCGATGATGGGCATGATCCAATGAATGTCCGGCCGGGCAGACCACCCGAACCAGAACAGACAGATTGGGATTGCAAAGGCGCCGACGAAGGAAGGCGGAAGGCGCCACTCGGGCTGCAGCTCGCCCTTGTCGTTGAACTTGGGCTCAATGTATTTCATCTGGTACCAGACGAACGGCGGGAGGGTGAGCAGGACACCAATGAGGATGCCCAGAAACGCAGTGCCTTCGAGGCCCAGACTGAAGCCGTAGATTCCACTGAAGACGATGGGGAAACTCTCAAACCAGATATACAGCAATCCGTAGATGAGGGCGATGTACATGTTCAGCAGGAAGACCATGGGTTCCGTGAAACACAAAAGAAAAGGGCGGACGAGGGTCATCATGACGATTTCTCTGGCCGTCATTTGTTCGCCGATGAGTTGTGGCTCGCACATGAGTTTTTGGTTGCCCGTCAATTTGCGAAGGCGCATTGTGCGTCGGTAAAGGATGTTGGCCGAAGAAGTCTCCGGCATCAAGAACAGGAGAAGGACCAAGGTGAACCCGGACAGCCACATGAGTTCCCAAATCGTCCAGGTCCATCCTTCTGATTCCGCCGCGAAGCCCCCGACAAGAGGGCCCTGCAATTATGTGTCAGTTCACAGCAGACATGGGAGATGCAGCGACCGTGGCTGATTGGGACTCAAAAATGGTCTATGACAGACGAGACGAACTCACCATGGTAGGTCCACACACGGCTCCAATACCCCAAACAGCCATCCCATATGTTCTTTTGGACGGAGAATACATGTCCCCAATCGTGGCGCCTCCGGTGGCAAGGGGAGGCGATCCCACAAAACCCGTGATGAAGCGGAATGCCATCAGCATGCCGAAATTGGTGGCTAACGCAGTCGGAACCTGCAGAATGACGAAGAGCGCTAGAGTCCCAATGTAGATAGGGCCTCTTCCAGTCTGCGGTAGCTCCGACAAGGGACTTAGAAACATCGGACCGACTCCATAGCCCAACACGAACAATGTCAGACCTAGAGTGGCAGCGACACGACTAACCCCGAAGTCCTTGCTCACATCCAAGATACCAGCAGAATATATGGAAGAGCCAATGTAGACGGAAAAGGTCAAGAGGCAGATCTCGAAGGTAACCCAGATTTTCTTGAATCGGCCCCAGTTTCGAGGATTTTCTGGATCGTCAGGACCGTACCAATCCACAATGTCTGCATCCCGCCCTCTCTCAGGGTCGACTCTTGTGCCACTGAGAGTATTGACCAGGACATTTTCGAACTCGTTGACTGTCGATGCCGAGCCCGAAGAACGGCGAGAAGGCCCTTGAAAATGGGGATCTGGATGTCGAGGGGCGGACGTTAGGTCTAATTGTTCCTTTGCCTCTGCTGGGATAGTGGTCTGGTCGTAATTTGACGGCGTTTCTCGTTGCTGCTGCTTCTCTTCCGTTGGAGGCGTAGGCGGATCGGACGAGGATGCACTAGAAAGTTCTTTTTCTTGTTGAGGTGTGGCCGTGGTGCCATGGATAGCCATGTTGGCCGACTTTTCGACGTTGAGGTATCTCTGCCATATGGATGGATCTCGCTCCTCAGGATATTGGAGAATCCTTCTTCCAGTAACAAGCCGCAGTATTTGCCCGACAACCGTATCTCGAAACAGGTCTTCCATATTTGTTGTAAGCGGCAGAAACACAGGTTCAAGGTCAGAAAAAGTGTTTTGAGGAGATACACATTGCTAAGGGAGGGGGGAGGTATATCGGATTTAAAAGACGTCAGTACCGATTTTTCAGCCTCGAGGCGTCATGATGGAACGGGGCATCCTGCATATCTGCACGCCAACACGACTTACTGGAGCATAAGGGGATCTCCAGCCAAGTAGCCGATAGACTCAAAAGGCATCAGAAAGCGAATGAATACGCTGCCGATTGTGTAATTGAATCGGCATGTGAAGCATCCGGGATCCAGAAGGCGAACAAAGAGACACGGGATCGTGCATTCGGCGATCAATCGAATCTATGACGCGGGAGTGGGGGATGTTGGTCTTGTATCGCAGCCTCCTGGCCCACAGCCTTGCACGTGCTTGGCGGGTGAAGATCCCATTCCTTTGTAAGCCACTCGGTTCGTTCTGGTTCCGACTTTCTCATCGCGTGGTGCTGGCGGGACCAACCGTGCCTTTGCAACCCATATCTGAATAATAATCATGGTCCAGACCGTGTTGGTCGTCCTATCACACGCATTTGCTGGCTGGATTCAGTACATTCGGAGGGCAATTACTCCCAACATCGGAGAGAATCAAAATCCTGGCTGGTAGCTGTTCGGCATGTCTGCAAATTGACTTATGGTCTTGATGTGTTGGTCTCGGGGATCTAGGCTGCTGGTCGCTCCACGGTTCTGCTTTCGTTATCCTTGTGCAGACCCTCGGAGCGATGGTAGATAATATCCTCCGCGCAGGATGATGCGGCCTCTGTACAATTGCTTTGCTTACTGCTGCATTCCGAAGCCATAGACAGAGTTAGGAAGTCTCATATGGTGTGCTCTGTGTCGATAGTTTCCCCGATCGCACGGAAAGTCCTGAGATCGCGCGAAGGAATATCTCCATGACTGCGGGCGGCATGCTGCTGTGTCTTTGAGGATATTTGCGGACAAGCGTAGACGGCCTGGGGGCCCTGACTCTGCCGAGAGATGGTGGTATAGTGTTTTCACGTTTCTCTGCCGACAATCTTGGTTACAAATGCATTCCGTCCCCGTTGTTATCGTTGTCGTCGCCTCCGAGCCGATCCATCATCTGCCGCCGCAATTCCTCGTCGGTCAATCTTCCACCTGCGTTCCTCTCCGTCTCTGCTGTACCACCGGACGGCTCTTCTGATGCCCCGTTCAACTTTCCATTGGTGTCAGCTTCGTGCCATTTCCCTCCTCTTCTCTCCACCTCACGTTTCAACAGCTCTACTCTCTCCCTCTGTCGTTCGATCACAATATGGTTCTCCTGAATTGCATCCGAGCAGTCTTTGTCCCCCTCTTGCCTCGTACTTTCTGGTAAGCTGGTGTCTGATCTGATGCTATCAATATATTCTTGCAGTTGTCTGTTGGAGCGTTCGAGGTGGGCGATGGAGTTTTCAATTTCTTGAGCCTTGGAGTACAAGTTCTCAGCAGGAAGGTCTTGAATAGCTAGAGCGAAACGGTCTGCTGAGATAGGCTGGGATTCGGCCGACATTTCGTTGAGGTGCGAGCTGCAAGGTGGAATAACTTGGAAAGAGATGTTACAGAAAGTAGTCGCTGTGATCTCGGATGTTTCTACAAGTTGTTCGTGTTTGCGGCGATGTGTCTGTGTTGTGAAGCGATCAATGTGGAGAACTTGAACCCCGCTCTGGATTTCCCGCGTGCCCGCCTCGCCCGCGATTAATACGGTACCGAGCAAGAACGTTTCTACGATGCACAGCATAGAGACGCTGCGGCTCAACATGGTATTCTTCTTCCCACGAGGCTTGGCTTCAACATCTATCGTCAACACAAGACTCTCATAAGGCTCGACGCCTAGAGCGGGTCTTTCACACGAAGTACTGTCCAAGACTCCAAGTACGAGCGACGAAGGCGCATTCGGGTGGATATAGAGCACCCAGGATAACTCCTAGGGGATGTATCAAGGTTTGCATTCAGGCAGTGACTTTAGTTTACTGACGGACTCAAGCCCGAGATGGAATCTCAAACTGGGCAAGCAACAGAGAGCTCAAATCAAGCCCGCCAGCCCTGCACAAATTCATGGAGTCTATCAATGACCACTCCAAAAACAGCATTGACACTGTCTGCCAGCACCTGATCCAATGCCCTTACTGCCTCTTCTTCGCTGACGTCAAGATTGAATCTTTCCCTCACTTTGCCCACGGCGCCGCCCATGCCTCCCATCTGTTCTTCCATCAGCCTAATGTCCGTGACGGAGCTCTGGACCATCAGACTGAACAGGTTCAACACCAAGGAGCTCGACTTGCGTAGGGTCGTATACGCCGTGAAGCAGAATTGTTTGAACTGCGCGTACTGTGGTGAGGTGGTGCCACCCAGACCCTCTACCATTTCTTTGCACAGCTTGATGAGTGGTGCAAAAGGCTTCGGATCCCGTCCGAGAATGAAGCCGAAGTCGATGTGGAAGAAGTGGCCCGAGGGCTGAAGCAAGAGATTGTCGAGGTGGCGGTCGCCGACCCCCAGGATGTACGTGATTACACAGTACCCGGCACACGATCTTATGTAGGTATCCATTGTCTCCTTGCGGACGCCAAGAGGTCCAGAAGCGTCGGGGTTGTTGGCGCGCAGATAGGCCAGTACCGACCCCTTGTATTTCGCCGAGATGACAGAGAGCGCAGTGGACGGAATGAATTGGACAGCACCAGCCGATGGCGAGGTGGCGAGAATGCGGTATGGAGTCAATTTCAGGTCCAGGTTCTCCTTGAGCAGCAGATTGTTCATCAGTGTAATGATCTGAATGACGAGTTGATCTTGCCGCAAATCATCGCCTGTCTTAAAAATGATGGGATATTTGCCGTGTGTTTGCGTTCGCTGTGTCGATGCGCTCGAACTTTCAGCGGCGCTTGCGACTTTGAAGTTGAGGTACAGTGGTGACAGTGAGGACTTGAAGACATTGGCTTCTTCAGGATAGATTCCACACACTTGGACTTCAGGGTCAAGCGCCAGTGGAATAGGCGGCTCAATTTTGACAAGTTCGTTCTTGGGATCAGCCAGAGTCTTCTTAAGCAACTCGATTTTTTGTAGGCGATTGGTCCTGCTGAAACGGATTTCCTTACTGATGCTCGACAGGATCGTGATCAATTCGCCTTGTCTCAACAATGTCTTGCGCAGACTCGGATCACGCTTTTCCAATTCCACCATAAAGTAATACTCCACTCTTGCAAATACCGCTCGATTTGCGGCGCTGGTGTCGCTGCCCTGATCAACGCATTCGACCATAAGGAACCAGTGCAGGTAATTACCGAGCATAAAATTATTGGCAGCACGATCAATGAGGAATTTGGCCAGCGACGAGGCAGGAAGCCCTTCTTCGGTACTCTCATACTTCTCGAATTTCAGCGCTTGGACGAGTTGAAGAAGGTATAACTGCAATTCGGCGTCCCCAGCTTGCCGAAGTCGGTCAACGGCGTAGGCCCGGACAACGGGGTTATCGTAAGTCGGACCAAGTAATTCGAGAGCTGCATCGACATCGATCTTAGCCCACCTAGGGATCAATTCAACAAGTTGGCGAACCTCGTTTGGATTGGTGAAATCGGTCGCTTTGACAACCTTGGTCAGAGCTCGTTTATCACGACTTAAGTGCCGTCGGAATGTCCAGATGACATCTTTGTCTTGCGCACTCAGCTCTTGGGTCGGTCCAAATGACAGAATCTCATTGAGTTCGTCCCTCATTTTGGCATTCGGCTTTTGATCACTGTCGGAAAATGCATTCCTGTCGCTTCGGACCAGGCGACGGTGTTTGCTCTCACAGGGATTCTCCCGTTGAAACTGCTCGGGGTCAAATATTTGGACCACCGGATATTCCTCGTCATCAACGACGGATGTGCCTGGAGCGATACCTGGTCCATATCGGACTTCTGGCGGCGGTTTCGCTCCCACTGCTGAAGCCGACGGAGTACTTTGAAACTCCTTCATCATCTTCGATGGTTCATATCCGAAATCTTCAAAGATGACGGGGAAATCCCACCGGGGAAAATCGACATAAAGAGTGAAGCGTTCTTCATCATCCGTGTCGTCGTCAGAGTCATCATCAGCGTCAAGCTCGGCGTGTCCGTTCGCAGTATCATTCATCCCCTTAGATGTCAACTGGCCTGACTTGCGCTTTGAAGGCTTATTGACTGAGGAGCGTTTTCGTGCTGCTTCTTCAACTTCGCGGGCTTTCTTGCCAACATTTTGAAAGACCAGTTGATCTAGCCAGTCATTCTGAGGAATCTCGTTCATTTCATGCTTTTTGAAGAGTTGCTCCAGCCTTTCTAGCTCCTCCTCCTCTGGAAGAGGCGGAGGTGGCTGCTCATTCGGCTTCCGACGCTTTGGGCGGGGAATGTGAGGAGTCCGAGATGGCGACTGACCATCGGCGGATCGTCGACGATAGACTTTGCACTTCTGGCGACCTTTCCTCAAAGTACCATCTCCATCAAACAATGGAATGGTTGTGCCGCCGAATGGCACAGCGTGGTCAATGCTACCGTTCTCTGGACAGGGCGTGATGTCCCATATGGTGATAGCAATCTGTGAGGAAATGGGGCAGTCCTTGACTAGAACGGGTAATTCTAGCCATTTGTTCCAGGTCCTGTTATTTTTGAAGAACGTATGTGGCGTTTGCATAGAGACACCCAGCGGCTTGGATTCGGCCCATAGCTGAGCAGTCACATACAGCTCTGAATTCGGGTTCTGGACCGATCCAACGTGGCGTATTTCTGGGTGTTTCAGAAGGACAGTATACGGAAAGGAATGCTGTTTGCCCTCCAACGTATTGCTATGCGCAAGTTAGTGTGAAGAATCCGTCTTAGTCGGGGATCTGACGGCAACAGGCCGGACGGATTGAGAAGGGTGATCGAGGGGGCCAAATACTCACATTCTGACACAGACAGGGAAGTCTATCTGGCGAGAGGTTGCGAAGGTGTATGTATCCATGATGCAAGGTCAGAGGAGCCACTGTCCATGGTGTTGCAAAGCTGGAGATGGATAAGGCGGCGAGTTAGCATCAGCAGATGGACAATCGATGCACAGCAACATCCAGACAGGAGTGAAGCCTGGTGAATGATGGGAATGATGGACAAGGCGGGCGACCAACGGGCGACCAACGGGAAGGCTGAAGCGCTAACCAAGAGTGGATTAGTTTATCTCCCAGGCGCGTTGAGTGTCACTGCGCCGCGTCTCGCTGCGCCTCGTCCCCTCTCCATGTGAAACCTGTTCTCTGTTCGCCTTGTCTCGTGCCTTTCCCACCCTCGGTATTCTCACAGTTAGTGCAGTGTGCCTTGTACCGTGAGGCTGTGGACGGGAAGCGCCCTCCTTTCCCTCAAAGTCTAGGCAGCCCCTCGCCCCCTGCTGAAGTCCATCGTTAGCGACTTGCAGCACACGATAGTCCTTCTGGCCTCGCTTCTGCGGAAATGCGCCAGTCATGGCCCGTCTGAATACCCAGGCTGTATCGTCTGATACAGAGAACGAGAGGCTCACAAGCTCCCCAGCCAGTCATACAGACGCTGCCTCTCAGACACGCCCCTCAACCATCGAGGCGTCCGGCTCCGATAAAGAGAACGAGCATCACACTGCGAGCAGTCACAAGAAGAGAAAGAGTGCCACAGCCCATATGACAGATATGACTCCCGGCGGCTCACGAAAACGAAGAAGAACGGGCGGGCAAGAACCACAAACCCCATCGGCCCACCAATACTATGATCCTGACCAGAATCCCGAAGAACGACGCCAAGTCCGTAAAGGTCTGCGCAGTCTTTTCGCAAAGCTACATGATTCCAGGGCAGAGTATCTTCGGCCTGATTCAAAAGGCCTCGAGGAGACTCTCAGGACAGCAGACGAGCTTTACAAGAATGTCAAGCAAACGTCTGAGGCAACCATTGATTCGCGGCTACTTGTCGAGACTGCAGACCTGTCTTACCGAAAGATCAACAATCTGACGCTGGGTGACGGGACGATCGGCATTGATGTCGACGATTTCGTCACAAAATGCATCATGTTCATGAAACAGGGTCATGAGCCTGAAGCGGCCTACCGTGATGCCCCTCCCAGCACTCAAACTCAACGGCGAAGACGGCGTCATGATGCGGATGAAGAGGATGAGGGTGATACCATGAACTGGGAGTATTTGGGGAGGAGCGGCTGCTTCCTGTACAACTCACGCCCTTGCTTGACCGGCTTTCTCCTTGGCCCGCTGTCGGTTCAAAAGAAGGCTCGGCAGCAAACCCAGCGGAAAGCTCGCGAGGCTCGTACTGAACTCACCCAAGCGGTGCGTCCGGTTCAGCTGGGCGACGAAGACCTTGAGAAGCAAGAATCGGCCAACCTCACCGAGATCTGCACCGAGATTGCACGACTCTTGCAAAAGGCTATGTTTACTGGAATGAAGAACGCAGAAAAAGAAGTCGACGAAGCAGACGAGACTCTTTCGGAGGAGCAAACGCGAGAGATCCTGCGAAGAAATGTAATTGCCGACAACGGGTGTGTACCACTATTCAACTTCTGCGTCAACCCAAAATCTTTTGGCCAGACCGTCGAGAACATGTTTTACGTGAGTTTTTTGATCAAGGAAGGAAAAGTTGCCTTAGACTTTGACAGCCATGGACTGCCAACACTCGGCCTCGAGCGTCCCAAGAGTCTCGCAGAGAGGCAGGAAACACAGCGCAACCAAGCCATCTTCACCCTCGACTTCGACGTCTGGGAAGATATCATTAAGACTTTTGGCATCGAGAAGAGTGTCATTCCTCATCGAAGGGAGGAGAAGTATGATGATGGAATACTCGACTATGCGCACATGGAGGATGACGCCGACCGCAGGGAGGAAGAACAGGAAGATTCAGATGCCTACTCCTAAGACAGAGGTTGGTTTTATGGATGTTGGGTAGATGGGGTATGGTGCGATTTTTGTCTTTTTGCGGCGAAGCAGGCCATATTGTTTGTTCTCGTGCCGTGGATTCGGTGCTTTGTCTTTGCCTTCTGTTTAGCCCTCAACCTGTCATGAGATGAATGAAAGAATTCGGCACACCGCGAGCCGAGCCCCCAGTCTGATACTAGCTTGCAGGGCATGGATGTTACCTACCTCGCCTCGACAGGTATACTGTACCATAGCCTCTCGTGTGGATAGTTGGAGAAGTGATTAGAGGATCCCCCCCTGGCCATAGATGTTGCGCTAGACGGAGCAATGCATCAATAGGCTGGCGAGGCTCTTTTCTCCGCCTTGGTTTTCCCCGCGCCGCCCGCAGTTTTCCCTGGCAATCCACCATCATTCCACGTATGATCTTCATATCACACCCCCATTCTGATCCCTCTTCTCATATGCCGACGTGCATGGGTCCCTGTCTCAGGGCTTCAGGTCTTGACCCATGTGTGATGCAAGACGAACAAGCCGGGCATGACGGCCTCATTGCCGATCGGTTGAAGTCCGTCGGGTTGATCTTCTAAGATGTCACGCTCCAAGGGGGAGGAGGGGGGGCGATGGCCCAAAGGCCCATGATATAAGATGGGAGAAGGATACGATGTACCTGTGGTGGTCTCTGTCTCATTCCATCGGAAGAATCCCCAAAACCAGGTAGGTGGTCAGCTCAAGAAACTGTCTCTTTTTTCCCAGCAAAGATGGAGAAATCACCGCCCGCAGAGCACCACGAGGATACATTACCAGAGGTACGCAGTTCACTTGGGTAGCCTGAGCCTCACAGACGCGCCAGCGGGGTTTTTCTAAGACGTCGTGGTGTCACAGAAAGCCGTCATCGAGTCCCCGTCGAGCGACGAGGGCGCCTATGCCGTCGACCACGTCGAGTACGAGAAGCGCAACCGCCGCCTCAACCGCCGCCTCGACATCCGCATCCTCCCCCTCTGCTGCTGGGTCTACCTGCTCAACTTCCTCGACCGAGGCAACATTGGCAACTCCAAGGTCCTCAACTCGGAGACGGGCGACGACTTGCTGCAGCAGACGCACATGACGGCCAATGGCTACGCCGTCACCGTCTCCCTCTTCTCCCTCGCGTACACGCTCTTCGAGGTGCCGAGCAACTATGTCATGAAGCACTGGGTCCGGCCGTCTCTGTGGCTGGCATTCCTGCTGTTCGCGTGGGGTGCGTTGACCATTGGGTTTGCCGGCGTGCAGAACTACACGACGGTCGTTGTGTTGAGGTTCTTGATTGGCGCTTTCGAGGCTGGTTTCTTCCCAGGTAACTACGCTCCACCCCCCTCCTCCACGTCCGATCGAAACAAGTGTGCTGGATCTCCTACTCTACTCTGATTGGCACCAGAGGGAAAGGACAGAAAGAATGATCGACGGACGTGCCGGGGATTGATCCTGCTACGCTCTCGCTACATGATTGCTGACCCTATATCCCCTTCCTTTTCTAGGCATCGTCTACTTCATCACGATCTGGTACCGCTTCAACGAGCGCGCCGTCCGCATCGCCTGCGTCGTGGCCTTCTGCAACCTCGCAGGCGCCTTTGGAGGCGCAATCGCCTACGGCGTGGGCCACGTCAACGGCACGGCCGGCCTCCAGGGGTTCAGGTGGCTGTTCATCATCGAGGGCATTATCACCCTGGTCTCGGCGTCCTTTCTGTTCTTCCTCCCCGACTATCCCGCGCGGGCCAAGTTTCTGAACGAGTCGGACAAGCGGTTCGCAGAGGATCGGCTGAAGGAACGAGGCGGCGGGTATCTCAGGAGCCATGCCTCGAGGAAGGAGGTCCTCGAGACGTTCTTCAGCCCCAGGATGCTGGCGCATTACATTGCATACGTGAGTTCTTTTGTTCTCTCTTGACTTTCCCGTCCATACTTGCTGTTAGCATCTCCCTATACTTCTATACCGCCTTGTGACTATAGGGATATGGCCGTCTCGAAAGAGGATCTCGCACAGAAAGACTAATTACGCACACACACACCCCAGATCGCCGACGTCGTGCCGCAGGGCTCCTTCACATTCTTCACCCCGACCATCGTCAACGGGCTCGGCTACACGTCGATCCACGCGCAGCTGCTCACCGTGCCGCCGTGGTGCGTCGGCTTCGTCGTGGCCATCACCCTGTCCTACTCGGCGGACCACTTCAACGCGCGCGGCGTGCACATCACCCTCGCCTCGCTGGTCGGCGCCGCGGGCTGGCTCGCCGCGGGCCTGCTCCCGCCGGACGCCTACACGGCGCGGTACGGGTGCCTCTGCCTCGCCGCGTGCGGGGCGTTCCCCGTCGCGCCCTCGATGGCCAACTGGGTCGCCTGCAACACGCCCTCGCTGCTGACGATCCCCTTCGCCATCGCCCTCAACAACAGCTCCGCGGGCATCGGGCAGATCATCGCCCAGTGGATCTGGAAGGCCGACGAGGCGCACAAGGGCTACCCCACGGGCAATTTCACCTGCGCGGCGTGCGGCTTCTTCGTCGCGGCCGTCACCGCCGGCCTGAGACTGTGGTACGGCCGGATGAACAAGTACGGGGTGAGGGACGCCAGTGGGGCCGAGAGGGTCTGGGCTCTATAAGGATAGAGATCCTCACGTGTATGCATGTGAGGGGGCCTTCACAGATGTCTCGAGGATATGTGAAACCATGCGAGTCACAGCGAAGGAACAAGGGCACGAAGGAATGCGGTACAATGTTGTATTGTAGCGAGTTTAAAGTTTATCCTCTCTTGACCACCGCATTGTCGGAGTCTATGCAGCTTGACACATGTGTAGATAGCCCACGCGAAATTCTTGATCTCTAGAATTGCAAAGAGGTGTAGCAGCACGCTAGCAAGTCTAGTCATGCATGAAGCCGAGCTTGCTCCATGCCATTCTTTTCTCCATAAGACCGTCTAAGCAACTTCGAGGGCTGAAGAAGAAGGGGATGCCGGCATAATTATATCTTTTATCTCATTGTCACCAGTTCCTCAGCGCTTGTCTGCTGTTTGTAAGTAGTGTGGACTCAAGGAAGGCACAGGAAGATAGCAAGGGGAAACATACTGGATGGATAGCAACACAGCTATCGAAGTCTTTCTTCGTCGCGCCCATTTTGACCGCAACCCTAGGAGATTGCGACGTTAGCCACAAACCAATTGAGACAGTCTTCTTGTATGTTCCTTCAAACCAGGCCCATCCAAGGGTAGACTGGGAATTGGTCAGAAGTACTCACCCAAAGCCTTGCATCATCTCATCAACGCCCCGGCCCAGAATATGCAGCCCCACGATCTCCTCGCGAGGCCCTTGACACACAATCTTGAACTCTGTGGGTTCTTTCTTCTTCTCTTCGGCAGGGTATCTGGTAAATACCATTAGCTGAGATTCTTGGGCCCTTGATCCGTAGCGCTGCTTCCGGCAGTATTACTTACACATCGTAGAACATCGCTGAGAACTTTGTATGATACACTTTAACATTCTCTTTGCCATACTTTTCGATCGCTTGAGGTTCGGTGAGCCCGGTGGCGCCGACTTCAGGGTGTGAGAAAACCACGGAGGGGATGCGATCGTATTGTAGGTGCGAATCTTTGAATTCGGGAGGTCCAAAGAGGCGGTTACCAAGTTGGCGACCGGCGGCAATGGCAACGGGTGTGAGTTCAGCCTGGCTCAATTGTTAGAAGGAGATGTATTCGGGCTTTCCGCAGCTCATATACCTGGCCTGTAACGTCTCCTAAGGCATAAATACCCTCAACGGATGTGTTCTGGTATTTATCCACCACAATGTGGCCCTGTTTGTTCGTTTTCATGGGGAGTTTCTCTAGTCCCAATCCTCTTGTTTCTGGACCGCGACCAATTGCCCATAATAGTTCATTGGTTTGCATCTCGGAGCCATCGTTCATTATTAACTTGAGCTGCTTTTCTCGGGGGTCGGAGCCGTCTTCGCTACCGGGTTTCACTTGTATAACTTCCTTGATACCGGGGTGGTTTCGATGCACGTGGACGCCAATCTCCTCATAATGCTTGGTCATGGTCTCCTGAACCATCGGATCGAATTTTCTCAAAAAGGTGTTGCCACGGATGAACAGGTGCGTCTCAACACCGATGGCATTCATCACGCCTGCAAGCTCGACTGCGATGTATCCTGCGCCAACGAAAACCATCTTCTTCGGGAGGTGTTTGATCAGGAAGAACTCGTCGGACGTAATGCCGTACTCTGAACCCTTGATGCCTTCGGGCTTTGTCGGAAACGACCCAGTCGCAATGCAAATATGCGGCGCCGTAACCCTGAATGCTTCGCCTCCATCCTTGGGCTTCACTTCCATCTCATGCTCGCTGACAAATGTCGCTTGGCCCTTGATCAGATCAATGCCTTCTTTAGACCAATTATTCTCATAGGCGCCGTTGAGGACTTTTATTCTGGCATCACGCTTCTCGACGAAGGTCTTGAAATCGAAGGAATTGCCGTCGCCAAATTTGTAGCCGTAGTGCTTGCCTGCTGCCATGGCTTCGCTGATGGACGCGAAGTTCCAGGTCATTTTTTTCGGTACGCAGCTGGGATGGGATATCAGTACATGTGCCTCTTTTCGTTTGTATGGCTTTTTTCTTTACCCGACATTCACACAGCAGCCTCCCGAGACACCTGCATCGATGATACATGTCTTTGCCCCGTACCACCCGCTTGCTCTTCTCGCAGCGCCACTTCCACCTGATCCACCTCCAATGACTATGTAGTCATATTGCTTCGTGACGGGAGCCATATTCGAGGAAGAGGAGGAGAACTGTTTGGTGAGACCTGCAAGTCTAGACACAGACGCAGGGGACGAAGCGGGGTCCGGCCGCAACGGTGCAATGTGCAGAGATCTTCCAGACGCCAGAATCGGAGTTCGGTTGAGTGCAGCAGAAAGCCTAGAGAGTCGGCCGGTCCCAATTGACATGTCACGGAGAGAGAGGGAAAGAAAACTGGAAAGGAAGGCCCGAGCGCTTTTTATCGCAATCGAGGAACGGTTTCTCAAAAGCCCGTCGGGACTTGGATCTTGGTCGCGTAGGTTTCAATGGTGGGCTGCAGGGCTGCTGGACAGTTGGTTGATGATGTGATCCGTCGCCGTGGGAAGATTCCTTCAACACCCCCCCACGCCGATGTTCCGCCAATGGCCTCCAACAGAGCGTACACCAAGCCCCGATTGCTTACCAAATCGTACAGCACCGATGGTGACAAGGTCGTTGATGTGTTTGGCAAGATGGCTCGCCAAAAGGATGACTGATCTAGCTGCAGCTGGCATCTGGGTTCCTTTTGGCTCAATAAAGGCACGCACAACCAATTGATATCTGGTTTTGGTCACTGAATCTGCCAGAAGAGGCAGGTTAACATAACTCAAAGCGAGATTCACAGGGCCAAGAGTAACCACTATCTGATGCGAATTCGTTATTCAAGAAATTCCGATCCGAGGCTACACGAACAAACTCAAATCTACAGCTTGGGCTTGCCTCTTGGGTCTGGCCCCTTTTCGCCAATATCGATCTGTTCCCACCAGGGATATGCAGCTGGGGCATCCTGAGGCAACTGCCCGGTGAAGTTGACCGGTCTCTTCTCCAAGAAGCTCTGAACACCTTCAAGATTGTCCTTGCTCCCAAACAAGCCGTGGATGACCTTGGAATCAAGAAGATGGGCACCCTCTGCACTGTCCGCTCCTCGGTACATAAGCTCCCTCATGAGCTTTGTCGAGACGGTCGATGTATTCTTTGCAACCTCATCCGCAAGCTCGAGTGCTCGAGCCAAGGTTGCCTCTGGCGTTGGACATAGCTCAGAGAAAAGAGTGCCAAACAGCGGGCTCTCTGCAGGATACACGGAGCCGGTCGTGGTCAAATGCAGGGCTCTGGAATGGCCAATCAACCGCGGGAGGAAGAAGGAGGAGCAGGCTTCCATGATGAGCCCTCGTCTACTGAACACGAAGCCAATCTTGGCTTTCGCATATGCGATTCGGATGCATGCTGGTAGGCACATGGTAATGCCGACACCGACAGCCGCACCTTGGATGGCAGCGATGGTTGGCTTGGAACAGTGGTGGATTGCCAAAGAAGTTCTCCCTCCGCTGCGTGAACAGGTCAGCATTGGCCTTCGTATATTCAAGGGGCCTCCCTACCCATCTCTGTGATCTACATCACGTTCTGTTTTGGGATTCTTAACCTCGCCAGTTGTATCTTTTGCTCCCAAGAATCCAATCTCCAGATCAGCTCCTGCGCAGAAGCTCCGTCCCGCACCGGTCAAGACAACTACCTTGACCCGTGGATCAATGTCGATGAGTTCGTAAACCCGTTCCATATCTTCCCGCATTTGATCGGTGAAGGCATTGTGTTTCTGCGGTCTATTTAATGTTATGATAAGCACCGGTGTAGGTGTTGGCGAGGATTCGGGGACGTGAGAGACTTTGATCTGCTTGAGAGGAAGGGTAGCGTAGGAATCGGGGATCTGCAGAGGTGGGTGAGGTCTGGGAGGCATTTTGGATGAGACGACCAGGCGCGTGGAGTTGTGGATGGCAGAAAGTGGGAGGAATACACAGAGATGTCAAGATGTCTTCGGTATCCTTCTCGTTGGGTTTTTGGACATGTCGAGTATTTGGTTTCGATCAGTTACCCTCGGCTTAAGCTCACAGCTCACACCGCGGCTCCTAGGTACTTGGTGGACTTGGAGAGCTCATGCGGGGGGTTAACCGGCGGCTTGGGCCTCTCTCGGTCACGGTAGCAGCAGGCTGCATTCTCGATGAAGCCGAAATCTTCGCTATATCGGGTCAGGCCCCTAATAGGCATTCCGGTGGTTGTCGTGGTCGGTTGTCCATGGGAGCTGCGTCGAACGAGCAGTGTTAGCTTGATGATGCTTGCCTGCCTTCGTTGAGAGCACACCGCTCGTCATGGAGGGTGGCTGGAGGGTTTGACGCAGGACGGTGGCCCGAGAGTTGGGGATGTCATGCTATGCCTGCGGTTGCATCTTTGGTAAGGCTAAGCCTAGGCGGATGGTGAACTCGTCAGTGCTGTAGTTGTGCTAAGTATCTGTGATCTTTGTGTCGATGGAAGAGCTTGAAGCTCTCTGATGTAGGTGGTCTTTTAGCTAGATACACACGAACTACGAACTTCCGATCTGCCTGCGGCCAGCCAAAACATGCATAAACAATCCCTTCGCACCTAGTTGTGAACATCACATCAACGGATTTGATTCGAAGACCTTGCTGATCGCTCCTCAGAGCTTACAGTTGTTAATTACTCTGCGTTCACTTCTCAACAATACGTGCAACATTCTCAACAATTGGCAGCGCTCCAGGGCTGTTTGTTGCTGACACCCATCACCAACTCCCTTTTCAGTTTCAATTTCCTCCGTCTGCCCAAGCGTGATTCTACTTCACAATCCAGTCCAGAAAAATCTCTCTTCTCCAAAGCTTTGCTCAAGGCAAATGGACAATGATGAAAAGGATGGAAGGAGCCAAAAAATACGCGGATAAGAGCCCCGAAGGACACTTAATGGCGACATCCACCGCGATGTGCAATGCAGGGACACCGCCATAGCAAACCCACTTCTTGAGCTAGGTTGCTCCCACAAGGTCTATCATCATGTTAGCCATTTGCATTGTCATCATAGTTAGGGGGTGGTTTAGGGAGAACGCACAAGTATGACTTTTTTCAAAGGGGACTGGGGGAAGCAAGGTATTTAAGCAAAAATTCTCGCCAAGCCTCCCCCCTGTCAGTATCGCCCATGCACTGCAGTCATCATCACGCTAAAAGCCCAAGACTCACTAACAACTGACCCTTTGCTAGCGCCTGTATTCGCTGCTATGGACATTCACGCCTCATTTCTCGAATTCCCCCTCCCATGTGATGCCTTTCTTGAATATTATTGCTGTTGCAGCTTTCGATGAGGCGGAAGCTCAGTCTTGGGACAGATTCCTTACTTTTTCTTACCTTTACGTACTCAATGCACTACAAAGTCCTTGTGCTTGCATTTCTCGTGGCACGTTCCTCCTGAATGCCAATCTCCGATGTGGACACCGCGGGGGATTAGTATGGATCAAGCAGGCAGGCAGATCACCTTCAGACGAGTTCTCATTCCCGTCGGATCCTCGAAATACTACTACGAGGGACTTTGGGGACAGCAGCGAACTTATTCGTACATAGGTCATTGGCTCCAACTCCACCACGTTTCAAGTGTTGCAGCATGACCAGCGTCAGCACAGGACACTTCAAGAAGTCGGTTGGCGGGATTCTTCAGCGGCAGGATCCAATACTGGCTGTCGACTCGGCGTGCCTTTGGGGGGCGGCACCGCGATGACAAATTGAGACCTCTGGGAGGTGTCCGTGACTATGAGAGGAATAATGCGACGGCACCGGGATGCAGATAACACGGTAATGGTATACCAGACTCTACCGTGGAGTGAGAGTATCTTTGCGTGGAATTCTCAAAATTCCAGGACATCGCCTGCAAAACGGCTTTCGGACTGTCAGCGTGACAAAAGCAAATTACAGAAAACAGAGACCAAGGTAACGATGCTCTCTTCCCCTCGAAAGCTTTGCACAGACAAACGCATTGATAAAGAGCCAACCCGATTCTGTGACGAAGATGTTGAGTATATGGTGTACGACTCCAAATGTCTCGAGCGCACCGGCGCAGCAGACAGCCAACATGAAGGAGGGTACCCATTCTCTTGCAAAGGTAATGGGCCATCACTCTTGCCTTCACACCGACCAACTAAGAGTCCAGCTACCAATGGGTGGCTCTCAAGGTTTGTTGAAAGAGATTCTCCGTATCATGAAAGTCAGGCTCTGGCGCAGCTGAAGAACAGGCACAACAGGGATTCCACACGATGATCTGGGTAAAAATAATCCGGTTAGCAGCCTCCTCGCTTCTTGGCTGATGAGAACACAAATGAAAAGACATCTCGGAGACACTTGCGATGCATCGATTGTTCCACAATTGTATCGGCGTTCATTTACCCAACATTCATTGAGCACGATAGTTCTTCAGTCACACGATATGAAAAGAGAACAGACCCTGTTCCCTCTTCGCATAATCTCTCGGAGCCGTCTCGATTCATCCTTCGGTATTGCCCACGGCCGCTGCCTCCAATCAGTCGGTGACTTCTCATCTGCTGGAGCTGTGAAGAGCATCCTGAGCAGGTGATAGCATTGCTTTCAGGGTCCTAGTAGAGAGTCTCACTGTCGGTATTAGGCACCCTAAGCCACTATTAGTCCCAGCTTGCTGCCAGTGGTTATGACGTAATGCCGTAAGTGGAATGTTTCCCGAGTCGCCTCCCGTTGTTGGACCGCGAATGGATGGACCATGGACGCGACCTGTTACGTGTCTGTGACATGGCAATTCGCTGAAAGTGGCAAAGTACGCATCTATTCCAACTGCTACTCGTTCTGCCTATTCAATTCACGAGGGCACTCTTCTCTGATGCTGTCAAGATGACTTCCCTCTACCAGGGACAGTCATCACTCTGCGCACAGGGCTGAACACATACAGTTCTGCTTAGTGTCACCCTCTCGACAGGCAACGTTTGTCCTTGTATGAACTGTATACGATTCACCGAGTGCGCACGGTATAAAATGGCTCCTGGATCCAATTCTCAGTTGAGCGAATCGTGGGTGGTTGAGGACGACGGTGACGAGAGGATCAGTTGGGACGAACGTTCTGCAGAGTCGGAGCTGGACGAAGAACCAAAGGTTGCAGTCCAAAACGAGCACGAACCCAAGGTGACCAGAGTTATTCCGCAGAGACGCAAGTCTCCCAGACTGTCCACGCCGACAGCACCAGAACCAGAGTTCATTATGCCATCCTTGGCAACCAGTGTCGCGCCTTCAGAGAAGATTGTGCGGAGAGGGAAACCGTCGGTCACGGCCAAGGTGCTTTCATCAAAGCAGCAGACAGCACAAGTCCGCTCAAGTCGAATGAATCAAACACAAGCGGCCAACACAACGACTTCGCCGGTGGCGGACAAGATAGTCCTGGTGCTGGTGCATGCTGCGGAATGGCTGCTCGATATCCTAGGGCAGACGCTGAAGACCTTGAAGCGGCCCATCTCTTGGCTGCTCGCGGCATATCTCTTTTTCGGCATATTGATGCTTTTGCAAAACCTCCTGACCACCTCCATCTATACGGCGCTATCCCCTATATGTCGCATTCCCGGCGTGTCTCTTCTCAATCTTCCACTCTGTCAGTTTGCTTCATCCAACAATGACAAACCGACTCTCCCTGATGGGGCTTCTGCGCCCGTCGAGTTCGACGCCCTCATGAAGACGCAATCCCACTTCGAAGAGATCTTGTCTGAATCTGCGGCCGGTGTTGCTTTGCCTCTGGACATGAAACGATCCGAGACTTCGATTCGCGATCTGCGGCAGATTGTGCGGTACTCGCAGCTCGCCTCCCGCAACGAAATGGTTCTCGAATTCGACGGGTTCATCGAGACCGCTCGCATAGCATCATACGACCTCCAGAAATTCAATTCGCACGTCGGCCGCGGTGTGGACATTGTTCTGAGCACAGCGCGTTGGACGCAACGGGTGCTCGATGACATGGCAGTCAAGCAATCTTCTCGAGGCATCATCCCGGGTTTCATACAAGACAAGCTTCTGGCTCCTTTCAAGCCGATACAATTCACCGAAGCAAGGCTCCTCGACCAATATATCTCTCACACGCGGATAGTATCCGAAGAGATCGAGCGTTTGATCGAAGAGGCCCAAGCTTTACTTTTGGTCCTGCAGAACCTCGAAGATCGACTCGACGTGATCCACGCGATCGCATTACGCGACAACATCGCCGCCCAGGCTGGCAAGGATGAGATCCTCTCGCATCTCTGGACCCTGCTGGGCGGCAATCGGGCCAAGTTGGGCAAGTACAACAACCAACTGACACTTCTAAGACAAGTGGGCCAGTATCGGAAAGTTGCATGGGCGCATGTTTCAGCTACGATCCTTAAGCTGCAGGCCATGGGTGCAGAGCTGGAGGAGCTACGTACGAGGGTGTCAAGTGCCGAAGTACTAAGAGGGCACAAGGAGATCCCGCTCGCGGTGCATGTAGAGAACATAAGGTTGGGAGTGCAGCGGCTCGAGGAGGGCAGGGAGAAGGCCAGGCGGCTTGAGCAGAGCCATGTGAGAAGGGTTATCGAAGGGGCGGACCAAGGGAATGTCATGGCGTTAGGACAGGCTTGAGGGCAGCGAACACTGTCAACGATTGTAATGATTTGATTGCGTGCACATTCAGCGACAACAAGGTTGCAAGGGGACGGATAAGGATCGGTCGGATAATGTATCAAAGCAGGTATCACATGGCAGATGGTCTGGCCCTACTCGGTATACGAGTTGTGAATGCAGCTTTATTGTGTTGTGGTAGATTTTGTTTTTGCAGCCTCGTGTTCTCACACTCTTTGTGTCTCGTGTTTTGCAATGGAACGGGTTGCATATTACACCATTAGAGGTGGAATATGCCATGGCACCCAGCACTCATTCCCATTGTCGCACAGCACCCTTCGCAACCCCATTACCTCCCAGTCCACAGAGTCACGCCTGTCCCATTTCCACTCCTCAACTCCTCCAACCTAGATCATCAATCTCTCCACGCGGTTCTTCAACTCGCGGATTTGGGGCATCAAATCACTGGACTCGTTGGTCGTGATGCTCGCCGCAATAACCGCCCGCGAAACACCACAAGCTCTGCCCAGCGCCGTCTTGGAATTAACATAGACATACGGCACGTTCTTGTCTTCGGCGAGGAGGGGAAGGTGCAGGAGAATCGCGAGCGGAGAAGTGTCGGCGGCCAGGACGATGAGCTCGGCGGTGCCGCGGTTGAGGGTTTTGGTTGCTGGTGCAGAACAGGGTCAGTATACCAGGAATGAGATCGGGGGAGGAAGCGGAGAAACTCACTTTCGTTTGCGCCTTTTCTCAGCTGGCGGTGGTGAGAGGCCTGCTGGACGGTGTCCCTGCAACCTCGAGTCAGCGCGGTGTTGTAAGGACAGCGGTGGAAGGCCTTCTGGCGAAGGAGAAGCAAAGACTTACAGAATCTTCTGCGACAGCGCTTCGTCGGCCAGAGGCCACGCAGCGCTCGGGTTGTCGGCCATTTTTGTGGTATGCGGGTTTGATATTTCGAAATTGTTCGATCGAGCGGGACGCAACACACTGGTTGCTGTGGGAGGATCGAAGTTTTCGGGAATTCGAGCTTGAAGGAGAGTTGTAGTCTAATAAACAAGCTTGTAGCAAAGGGTTCCTTGCGTTGGCTCGCCCTTTGCTTGTGCGGTGAAGAATGTCACACTGAACGACCCTGAGTGTTGGTGAGTCTATCAAAAAATTAATTCTCGGGGATCTTAAAAGTTTACGCGGAGGCACAGAAGAACTCGGCCGACTTTCCTTTGCGGGAGGCCGCCAAGTTGGAGCTTCCCCTTCGAACTCGACCTTCGAAACATCATCACCCATTTCCTGCTCAGCACTGAAAACCCATTCCATTCCTGCTCAAATCCATCATCGCCGTCAAGCTCTTTTCGCTTCGTCCGACTATCGCAGCACCTATTGATCGAATTAGGAGCTATCACGAGCGAATCAGGCAGCCAGTCAAGATGTCTTCCGATCTCTGGTATGTGTTCCTGGTGCCCCCCATGCTCCCCGATTCCCTTCAGCCTGCGCCCGTCTCCACGATAAGGTGGATGGAGCTACTACTCAACACCGCCTTCCATTCGACTTCCTTCTTGAGATATATGGTACTGACATGTCTGCTTCTTTAGTCCCGTCTATGCGGTATGTTATGCTTCCCTACGCGATATGCCACCTCATCTACCTTGACGCTTTCCTCTCCCACTCTTTGTTCGTCCGAAAACGCTTTTGTGGAAGAGAGAGCTGACTGTCTCAATGTTGACTAGCCCTTCTTTGGCGCCATGGGTTGCACATCTGCCATCGTCTTCACATGCTTTGGCGCCGCATACGGAACCGCGAAGTCTGGCGTCGGCATCTCCGCTATGGGTGTCCTTAGACCGGATCTCATTGTCAAGAGTATGAACTGCTGAAGCTCCTATGCTCCTCCGCAATCGACCAGGAGAGCTGACAAGTACAGATATCGTCCCCGTCATTATGGCCGGTATCATCGGTATCTACGGCCTGGTCGTTTCCGTCTTGATCTCCGACAACCTCTCCCAAAAGGAAGCACTGTTCACCAGCTTCATTCAACTTGGTGCTGGCTTGTCCGTGGGTCTCGCTGGTCTCGCTGCCGGCTTTGCAATTGGCATTGTCGGTGATGCTGGTGTTCGTGGCACCGCCCAGCAACCCCGTTTGTTTGTTGGCATGATCCTCATCCTGATTTTCGCCGAAGTGTTGGGTCTCTACGGGTTGATCGTTGCGCTTCTGATGAACTCAAAGGCGCAGACCGATGTAACCTGCTAGAGTGGGAGAGGAGTGTGAGCAAGACCCCGGGGAAGAGAGGATTGGCGGCTGCAATGGAGCGCCATGAGAAGGACGGAAGACAAGAGGGGATGGAGATCGAGATGAAATGAGACCGTGGATGGTATCCATCAAACGAGACTGACAATTGCCAATATGTCCTGTGTCAGCCATGAAACCAACGTCAATTACCACCGAGAACCGACAACCACCACGGCACCCACATTAGGGGCAGCCATTTTTGCAAAGACTTGTCCTTGAACCCGAATGCTTGTTATGTATGAATGCTAGAGCTTTTGATCACAGATCAGGCGGCGCAAGTTGATTGCTCGCTCGCAGGGCTAGGGCTACGGATCGTATAGTATAGTGTATTAAACCGGATTAAACCTCAATCCCTGGAGAGAAAGGTCCTTTTCATCTTTTCCTCTTTTTTTAAATACAATCTCAGCCCTGTTTGCTACAAAAGTACCCGTGGCAGGATCCCACGACTTGGCGATGTCGTGTCTCGACATAGGATCCAAGTTCACACTCGCAACGAGCTTGACAAAATGCATAGAAGCGCCAGCCAGGTACTACAACTTAAGCCCACCTACCCAACTATGCAGGTATGTATTTGCACAGAGGACGGATATCCTGTGCAGAGAGGCTGAGCTGTTGGAAAGCAGTAGTTCCGTTTCGTCCGTCGACGGCGCGGCAATGCGGACTCGGTTAATCGTTTTACAGCTCTACTATAGGCACTCATGCCTCCTGGAGTATAGCTACGTACAGTACCGAGCTGAGTGTTAGGTACCGAGGATACCTAGCCATCTTCCTTGCTAGCCACATGCATATGTCAGAGTAGTATCCTCACTATCAGAAGATTCCTCGCGAACCAAAAAACCCAAGTACTCTATGCGGATCGATCGCAGGGGATGGAGGAAGCCCTTACAACCTTAGCCCCGACGGGTTGGTTGGCTGAGCCTCACCTAGCACTCCCAGGGGTAACACACTGAAATGCAAGCAGAGCGCAGGTTGGCCCCTCGATCGATCGACTACACCTACGTCTCAACCGAAACCTGCTTCCGACCATCGCCTGGGCATTTGCGCTGCTGCCAAACAATATCGCAGCCGACATCACCGACTCGAAGACCACGTGAGTATATATTCAGGAATGCAGGTTTACGACAAAGAGTGTTCTTCCTTGCAAGATTCTTCGGCGGATTCAGTCCTTGCCCTTCCATTGACCAGGTACTGAGCCATACCTCTCTGGTGCTCGAACCGCTGGGGATCGGGATTACGTGTTGAGGGTTCATAAGCTGGTGTCACCGAACCAAAGGAAACAGCGCCCGACAGCTGATCTCCCCCCTTTCCCCCACCTCGCCCTACAAAAAAGGTGGGAAAAGAAAGCACTACCTATACAGAACTGGTCCCTGAGCAAGCGGCACCACTAGGAGCCGCAGAAGTCTCCGCGTCGCCAAAATAGACGCAATGAGGCCCTCGCTTTGCCAGCAGAAGCCACCCACTCATTTCAGATGTTCAGGACGTGAGCCGCAACAAGAACCCAACTAGTAACGAGGATGGTGAAGCTCGCTCGATTAATACCCATCATCCCCAGGAAATGAGCCAGGAAACTCATACGATCCACCTCAACATCTGCCGCATCGCCTCAGCATTGTACCCAGCATTTGCACCGGCATAAGTGATGGTTCTTTTTGGCTTGCTATCTGAAGAATGGTGGGTGCGTGCTAACAACCAAGCACCTCACAGCGGCTATGCTCTCGATTTAGGACTGATTGCTCCTGCCACGGGCCAGCACGCTGGCGAATCAATTGGTACCTCGAAAGCGAGCTCACAAATGTGCCTCTGCAGGGTGACACGAACGTACCCCCCTTCCTTATTTTTGTTCCTGACTTCAGCCTAATCTCAACATTAGGTGTCTCAGGAGACTCTGCACGGGGCTCCTCTTCTTTGTAGGACCAATAGCCTTCCTATTGGGGTTAGGGCAACATTTTTGTTGTTGACGTTGCAACGCATTGTTTGTTCGGACACTCTTGTTGGAATGCAGGATTCTCGCTTTGCCTGCTCTTGACCGCGTGTGCCTTTATTTGTTTCTATTCACTGTTTCCATGCTCAGCACATCCTAAGTTTGAAAGGCCAACGCAATCGTCTCACGTTCGTCGCTATGCCTGGAGGAAGGAAGACAAAGAAGGCCCCGCCGGCATCAAAATCTGGAACGAAGTCGAAGAGGTCCAGACAGGTCACCTCCCGACCCGCTCACAAAATGGTAACATACAAAGCTCACCGCATGTTCAATTTTGTTTGCCTTGTCGCCACTGGAAGTTTGTGTTTTTCCCTGGTGTGGAATGGTAAAGATCTCTTGAGGTTCAATTTCTGACGCGTTGTATCTACAAAAGGCTTCCAAAGACACAAATACCACGCCAATTCCTTCCCCAAAGCGTGTGACGAGATCTAGCCTGAGGTCTCACCTGCCCACCAATCTGCCAGACAGACCCACGGAAGACGATCCAGAGGCGTTGCTTCGAATATCACGCAAGAAGAAAAGAGAAGCAAAAGCTGCTGCAGAGTCTCAGGAGGTCCCTGAAAAAAGCCAGACCAAAGACCAAATCAGAGACCTTGCTCAAAGTGCCGAAGTTGCTTCCGCAGGTGTTTGCGCTCGTGTTCACGAAGACAATACTGACGACGAGGAGGGCTCCGAAGAGCGGGAAGATCGCGCTGCATCACAAGATATAGACGAAGAGCAGGGGTTCAACAGCAGCTGGGGCTATCCACCTCCCTTGGATGACGACGAGGACTCATCACAATATAGAGAAGAGCAGGAGTTCAATCGCAGCTGGGGCTATCTACCTCCCTTGGATGACGACGAGGACTCATCACAAAATATAGACCCAGAGCAGGAGTTCAATCGCAGCTGGGGCTATCTACCTCCCTTGGATGACGAGGCTGCAGCGATCATCGAAGCTATCATTGCAAATCCCGACATGGCTCTAACGCTCTCAAGGATCAACCCAACTCACGAGGACTTTAGCGAGGGCCTCAGCCTCAGAAATGTCCTCTTAACCCAAAGCACAGATCCCGACCCCTATGCCGACCAAATTCAAAACCTCAAATCACCCGTACTTGTCGAGGAGACCGAGGCAGAAAGAGATTCTCACGGACGGATCTGGGCATTGGATCGAGCGAAGATTGGCCAAGGCTCGAACGAGGCGCTCTTTCAGAGAACGCTGATGATGGACCTGATAGGCCGACACCTTTTCATCTACAACAGAGAGCGCGCAAAGTCCGATTATCTCGATTTCAGCGTCGAAGAATTATGGACTTGCCCGCCGATGCCGAGTCGAGCCTATTATCAAGGAGATCCCTTCCTGTCACAGCCTAAGCCAGATCTTGCGGTTTGTTTCCGTAGAGAAGCAACCATACCTAACAATCTGTGGTTTCTACTTCCGAAAGCAACAAGGGGACTTGCCTGCTTTGAGCGCAAGAACGCGACCGGCCACGGCAAAATATTCAATTTTCTCACTATTGAAGCCAAGAAGGACAAGACTTCGACCGATGACGTGGTCGGAAAATGTCAAAGTCTGAACAATGCGAGTCAGGCTCTACACAATATGTTCGAATTCTTCCGAGAAGCTGGTCACGAAGACACCTTCTTTGCCAAAGTGAGATTCTTCTCGGCGGTAGCTAGTTCAGAAGGCGTGCTGATTCGCATTCATCGAGCAACCGAAGAACGGTCTGGACAGGGACTCATCGTGCCGGGAAGACAAGATTACCCTCTCGAGTTCGAGTTTCAAGATTTTGCGCACATCCCCAAATCCCAGTTCGATCGGGCCACGGTTCTGAAGACATTCGAAAAGATCATGATCGGGTATGGGGTGGGGGTACTCCGTGACTTGATCCAAACCGCGGCTGCAGCTATCGTTGAAAAACTAAAGAGCGATCCCAAACAGCGTAAGCTGAGAAACAATCCTCATTTCTATCGATATGATCAAATCTTTGTCAGGCCTAAGAGCGGGATTCCATCATGGCTGGAAAACCTGGACTCGACACAGGCGGTGTCCACGAACGCGAGGACATTCGAGGCGCCCAGTCACGCATATTCTCAAGCGAACAACTCCACTGCCAGGACGCGAAGTGGTTCAGCAACTCCAACGCAAGACCAGATTCCGGGGCCTAGCCAACCGACCACAGGTAGAGGGGAGAAGCGACCAAGATCGCCGCCTCCGGGTAAGATGTCGGCGTCTGGACCGGAACGAAAGCGAAGAGCGAAGGGTCGACTTCCTTGAATGCGCCAGTCGAGGACGTCTGATGACTTGCCATGTCGGGCGCCGGAGGGTTGAAGGAGCCATGTCCACGCTCTTTTGGTCGAATGTTGAAGGAGGCCATGCATGGGCAGGAGGTCACGCACGGGCAGGAGGCCATGCGCGGCACCATTGAAACGTCCCTCTAGATTTGGGCATGCGAGGCTGGGATGGTCGTGGTACGGGTTTGGAAGGCTTCCAGAAACGGTCTTACGCGGTTCAAAAAAAAGATGTCGGGCAATGGCAAGCACAGGCGCATGGTGTTGAGCGAATCATAGGGATGGATGGGCGACTCAAAGTGGCATTAGCTACCGGTTGGGAGGTTTCTTGGGTCTATTTTCATGCAGTTTGTTCACCGCGATGAGGAAGGTTGGATGGCAGCCCAATCAATCAATTAATTAATATTATCATCCTCATCATCATTACTTTCTTCGCGAACCGGACTGAAACCCCCCAGGCTCCATTTGAAATACGGGTTCGATCCCTAGAAACGAAGAGGCCCCGGGGGGGGGGGGGGGGGGAAGCGAAAGGTCGCCCGTCGCCTTGACCCGGTCTTAAAGCGGGAGAGAGTCAAGTTCTGCTCGTCAGGGCTTCGTTCGCAATCACAAAGGGTCCCTAACGTCGCTCGCCCGGGGGCAAAGATGATCGAATACCCCGTGCGTGCGGAGCGAAGTTTAGTTCGAAATCGGTCCGATTGAAGGGGCGCGCGGGATAGTCGTTGTTTCAAGCCGCTGCTGCTGCTGCTTCGGTGCCTCACCATCCTCACCATATCAAACCCAGAGAGACGGAGACGGAGACGGTGTAGAGAATCCTGCAAAATTGCCAACCAGCCCAAGACAGCCGGCTACATGGTCTGTTCAGATTCCACGGGACGGGCAAGCGAAGGCTGTTGTCGGTCGGTTCAGGCTGAGATGGGAAGGGGGAGGGAGACGGGGAGAGGAGTGGAGCGACAAGGCTGTGGTTATTGGTCCTCTAGGCGCCATGCCATGTATATTGTGTACTCCGTACTCCGTACTTACCTACGTATGCACCGCGCACTAGGCCGGTATGTATCTAGGCATGTACGAGTACGGAGCATGTAATAATTAAGGGATGGAATGACGATGCGTGCCGACGTGCGTCCGAAGTCGGCCCTGGATCCGAGACCTTGGCTGGACTCGGTACTTCTCCTCCTCTGGAGGTCCAAGGTAGGAAGGAAAACGAGGGGAAACGATCGATCCGAGAAGAGAGCGAAGAGATTATTCTGGGAGGGCCACGTCTGAGGTTTAGGGACCTGGTTCGATCGAGGCGGTACTCCGTATATAGTTCTGCGTTGCGAAGATGGAACTGAAACGATAAGCTGCTACTCGCCGACTGCGTCCCGCCCAAAGTCGAGGAGACAACCAGGACTCTGCAAGACCCGCTTGAAATGCAACGACAATGGAAAAAATCCTCATGTCCAGATGTGTCTAACTCAGGTGTATGATCCTTGCAAGCAATGCGAACTGGCAGAAAAAAAGGGTAGACCCTCGCGTCCCGTGCAGGTGGCATTATATCTGGCCCAACTTCCGCCTCAAGTTCCTTGTCTTGCGCATCAACTTCTTGTACTTGTGCTTCTTCATCTTCAAGCGCCTTTGTCTCTTGACACTGATCGCGTACATTCCTTCTCTTCTCTTGGATGGAATAGAGCCGATTTGCCTTCGGTGGCCAATGATCCGGCTTCGTCCCAAAGGTGATTGTTGTTCAATCTCTTGCAGGGACGATGAGGCGTCTGGGTTCTCGATTTCCCTGATAGACGCACCACGGCTGGTGAAAAAGCCCTCGCTTTGCAGATCCGACGAGTCTCGCGGGACGTTGATAACCACCTGTTGAATATAAGGGTCATTATAATCCTGTTGTTCTATTTCCACTTCCAGGGCCTTGGCTTGCAATTCTTCCCCCCTCTCTGCTTGGGCTGCAGATTGCTCTTCGCTCGCGTTGATCTCAGCATCGCTGATGGGTCGGGGTACCGGAGGAACATTGAATGGCCGAAACCTTCGCTGGATTTCTTGGATGACTAATTTGATATTGCCTCCCGCGACCTGAATGGTTTGCGGTGCACCGTCGAGATGATGTGTTCGATTCGGATCAGCGGGGGCCTCATTGCGCTGCATGAGGGCTTTGATCAGAGCCGCCTTCTGCTCGGCCGTATTTTGTGAGGGCTGATCTGCATGCTTTTGAGCAATATGCTCGTCTAGGGTTTCCACCGCGGAAGCAAGGGTGTAGATAACATCCTGAGACGAAGTACGTGATCTCGATTTCGGCTTTGGCTGGAAGATTTTGTCAACCGCTTCTATCGACGCCTCGGGAGGCACGGGTCCGGTGATAGACATGGGTCGATGGGTTGAGAAGAAGGAGGCAACATAAACATCTAACAATGTAATCAGCCGAGGACGATGTGACTATCCGCCATGCAGACCTTTTGGGTTCAAGTGCTGCAGACTAGGCACCGCAGGTAGTTTTGAAGTCCAGTCATCCTGGGTTTCCTTGTTCTCCGCCTTGTCCTTGGAAGACCTTTTCTTCGAAAGGCGCGACTCAGCGCCCGGTCGCTTCGACTCAGATCGGGGAGCGCCGACTTGTTTCACAGAAGCTGCTGGGATTGCCGGGGAGCCATTGTTCGGCGGTATGGGTGGCTTCGAAGAGGAATGCCGCCGCTGGTGAGCGTTGGAGGTGAAGGAGGCTACCGTAGGAGTAGATGGGCGAGAGGGTACTGCCGGGGCATTCGTACAGGTGCGCGCCACTCGGCGCAGAGAAGTATTGAACATGTGTCTCAGCACCCAGAGAAGGGAAAAGATGGGCAGGGGCAGGACGTCCTGGGGGACAACGGCGGCGGGGTGGTGAGTCGGAAGGTTGAAGCTGATAAAGAGCAGAAGGGATCCAAGATCGGAGTTGAACGTGACGGCGATTCGAATGCCAAGGTGACTAAAACTTGCTCGCAGCTCAGCCTGTTTCGGCACAATGGTGGTGCCGCCCTATGCTCATGCTAGTTGCGTCCCGAGTCAGCGTTATCACTACAGCCCTCGTATAAGTATTCAATAAACTAATTTAGATTTCGCTAGGGACACTTCACATGTTCTCAAGCAACTCATCATAGAGGATTAAGGGTGATCGATATAAGCATTTTTTGGAGTCCTATTGTTCCTTATCTAACCCCTGACGCTGACAATACATAACTAGGTCATTTCTACCATAGTAATTAGTAGTGGAGAGAGAGAGTCGTGCCCAAGAGGTGGTCGAAATGCTTATTGAGGATGGTTGATCGTGTTTGTGGTTTTCTCCGAGCTTTGTGATTCAGATGTGGAGCGATTCGATTATCGTGGCGACCTACCTACATTGCTCGAGGAAAAAGAGGTATTCGCCGACGATGATTCGACACGTGTCAAGGGACTCCATCGCGTCGCGAACAGACTTGACGAACAGACTTGAAACTAGGTTGAAATGGAATTAAATATTCATCGAGTGAAACCAGACCAAAGCGCAAATCACCTCCTCTGCTTCCGTTCATCGTCTGTTCTCTTCTCCCTCCGTTCCCCAGAACAACCTCTGTATAATTAGGCCGTCTGGACGTAGTTGTAGGAGCCGCAGTTGCCGTTTGAAAGGAAATACTCTGTGTCGGCCGGGAAGGAGCTCGAGTACTCGGCGCCGAAGCTATTCTCGCCTTCGGTAGTGCAGGCTCCGGCGCCGCCACTGGCAACGAAGTTGAAGCACTGTTCGCCAGCGTCGAAAGCCCCGTTGAATGCTGCGGCTGCGCACGCCGGGTTTGTGATGCACGAAACACAGCAGTCGTAGGTAGTTAGGTCTTCCGTGGTGGTGAGACCGGTCGACGCGCCGGGGTACACTGCGTCGTAGACGGCGTAGCCGTTGACCGTGCCCACTAGGTTGGGCGTTGCGCAGGCGGCGTAGATGATTGTCGAGGTAGATGCTGTGGTGACGACGGTGGTTGTGCTGGTTGTCGTTGTAGAGGGTGTAGTAGTGCTGAAGGCAGTGATTATGGTAGAGGTTGAGGTCGTCACCGTCGTGGTGTAGTTGGCGCTTGAAGGGGTGATGGTTGCTGTTGTAGTCGCCGTCGAGGTTGAGGTGATGGTCGTCGTAGTTGTTGCTGTCGTCAAAGTTGCCGAAACCGTCGTGTGCGCTGTTACCGTTGTGACAATGGGGGAAAAGATCTCCACAAGCTCCTGGCACTCCACCGCCGTGGGGTATTGCGCGCATGTGTCCCATACTGGCTTGCCTCCGCTTGAAGGCTGGTGTGGTGAGGGTGCTTTGCATTGAGTCGATGGCTTCTGCCCTGGCAAGGTATACGACGACCTCCTCGAATGAGCCTGCTTCCATTTCACTGCCCGCTTGCGCTTCTCAGCCGAGCCAGGGAGTGTGCTGATAACTGGGAGGAAACCAGCGGAAGTTGGCACAGTGGACGTCAGGGTGGTTGTGGTTGTGGAAGTGCTAGTCTGAATCTCCGTTGCCGTGGATGTTGGCGCAGTAATAGTGCTGGTAGTAGTGGTGGAGGAGATAAGTGTCAGTGTCGTGGTGAACGTCTGACGAAATCAGTCATGGAGCATTGATTTGTTACAGAAGCTGGTCCTAGAGACTTACACTGGTGGGTGTGGCAGCCGTAGTGACGGAGGTGCTGGTGGTGGTAGTACTCGTGGTCGAGGTGACTGTGACTGTGGACGGAGTTACCGTGACAGTGGGTGTTATACTGGAGGTGACATGGACTGGAATGGTAACGGTTCTCGCGTGGGTGGCGGTGGTCACCGATCGCACGTAACTTGGTTGTCTGATGGTTGAACAATGTTCGATGGTCAGTGTCTCAGACCCAGACAACGGTGTGTAGGGGCCGAGGGCAGCAGCGAACAATGGCCACAACGCCAGGAGCGAGACGCTGGGAGCCTTCATGGCGACTTAACCGATTATAGAGTGAAAAGGTCAAACGAGGGACATGAACGTTGAAAGGGCAAAGAGCGACAGGAGGAAAACGAATGGCCAAAGGCACCGGACTGAGAACGAGGACTAGGACGAGGGTGAGAATGGGGATTAAGGAATGCAAGAGTCTGCACCGGGTACTCCATACTTCATATATATATCGTGACAAGCACTCCGTAGACGCGCAAAATAGGAGTCCTGGTACTCCGTAGTTCATCCCCCTGCTCTGACTTACATGGCGTCGACTGAGCGCTCCGAACTGCTCGGACACGGATATAAAATAGTTAAATAGTGGGCGCCCGAATTGTTTGAGATGGCCGAAAATTAAAGGTCGAAGGGTGTTGTGACGCTGAATCGGCCTTTTTGGGGATGGATTAATCTCGCATCAACCATCAACTTTACCTAAATGAGCCAAACTCTTCAGTGCTTGGTTAGAAGCTTGTTTCCAGCCGCATCGCCCTTCCGCTAAAAGAGGACCCGTGGTCTCGATACGTCTTAGACATCTGTAGTGAGGGATGTGCTTAGCTCCTGCGGATGATGTTGTGACTCGTCTAATACCGACCGTAGAAGGGTAAGAAAAGAAGGTTCCCCGATGGCTAGCTTTGTTAGCAAGGTTGCTCAAAGTCAACACGCGGCGGCAACGTGACCGTCCAAAAGAGAAAGAGAAAAGTCCTTTGATGCCTTGGACAAAGGAAACAAATCAGTGCTATGCCACTACGCACAGGAACATTTGCTTCCCATCCAGGTGAACTGACGCGACGTCATACCCACCAGGGGCGTTCCTAGCAAGGAGTAGTTTGTGGATTCAGGGGAAGGAGGAGGAAGACTGTTCGGCTTAGGTAGAATATGGAGGAAGCGCCCAGGTAGAAGGGGAGCTGAAAGGAGAGCTGAAGGGGAAGTGGTATTAACGGCTGGTCAGGACTCAGGAGCGGAAGATGGACGACTAATTAGGTGATTTGTGGGGTTTCCCAAAAGCGGCACCGCTGGGGTCAGGCGCACGTGAGCTCCGAGTAAGTCTCCCTCTTCCTTCCGAGCCAAGATGAGTCAGGCTCCGCACACGTGACCGACTCTCATCCGATGAGCACGGCTGAAATGCGGGGTGAATTCCGTCCATCGGAAAGCAGACAATATACTACATAAACAGCCAGCAGACCTACACTCATTGCTGACTTATGTACGCTACCTCTTTATTTTCTCCCCGTTGTTTACAGAACACCCGTGTAGCTCATCTCCTCTTCTCTTTCTTGAAAAGACACGGCAGCAGCGGTCACCATGTCATCCAAATACGTCAAGAGGGTCACCCTCTTCAAGGTGCCCAAGGAGGAAGACATTGATGCCATTCTCGCAGAGTACCAGGTCATGCGAAGCACCGCACAGAAGGTAAGCTTTACACTCACTCCTATCCTTCCTACGTCTTCGTCTGTACGTCCAGTCCAGCGAGACGCCAAACCGGATTGGTTCTGACCCTGCGCCCAAACGCCTGTCTAGGATGGACAACCGTACATCGTCTCCAACGAGGCCAATCGGGTAATCAACTCGTCGGAAGAGCGAAGTCAGGGGTACACCGTGATTGCAGTCACGACCTTCAGGTCACGGGAAGACGTCGACTACTACGACAAAGGGTGCGCCGCGCACAAGAAGCTGAGGGAGTTCATCACCCCCAGACGGACCGGGTTTGCTACGATGCACTACGAGAGCGATCTTGGATCTTGAAGGTCGCCCAAAGGTCGAGTAAAATATATCCAGGGCACAATACAACGAGATTTATTCTTCGACTTCCCTCGTCTATATTACCGTCCGCCTCCAACGGGTGTGATGGATGTCTTAGCACACCTACCCTAACTTCTCTCCTCAACGGTCCTGCTGTATGCCCAACTTATACATCTGCAGACGGCATCCTGCTCATAGATCGGAAGTACAAGAGGCCCAACAGGTACAAAGACCACACGCGCCCATCTAACATAGCATGGGTCATACGGCTGTTCTTTCGCATTCTCAACGCGGAGTCCTCACAGTGGAAGTTGCCCCCTCCCTTCCAATGAGCGTAGTTAGGCGGCTGTGGCTTTCCCCTGCGACACCGCAGAAATCCATCATCTCAGAAACCCCCCTTGGTCTGAATCTCCGTGCCGCTTCGACCTATTGTGGTCGCGAGGACTATTTGGTTCTAGTTATGTAGGAGCGTTTGACAACTAGACCGACCGCTTGCCGATTCTCCGTCCTCATAGACACGTCGACGCGACCGCAACTGGGCCGTCTTTCACATAAAAGAACCAATACATCAACGACGGCCAGTCTGGATATGATAAGGCCACCCAATCAAAGTGAGAATATTCCAGGCCAGCCAAGACTGCATCTTGCCATTCTTCAAGTGTCGTCGTAAGTGTCGTAGTATTCGGATGACGAGTCCGAGGCACTTTCAACATCGGACTCTTCCTCCACAATTTCCCTGATCGGTGTTGCGCCTGGCAATAGCTCGACGTGCCTATCAGAGCCGTCAGCCTCGATGTCCTCACTCCAGAGACTTTCGTCACTTTCTCCCGAGTTCTCGGCGTGAGAGAACCCGGCGTCGTCGGTGGCATCGTCGTCGGCGCAGCTATTTAGAACAATGTCATCCCCTCCATAGAGATCATCAGTTTCTGACTCTGGCACGTCTTCCGCGCGTATATTTGGCGTGCCAGGGTGACAACTTGATGTTGCCTCGGGGCCGGGACAGAGCAAGCCCTCTCCTCCAAAGGGACATGACCCATCTGGTGAGGTGCTCTGTGGACACCAAATAGGCGGATCATGGTAGTACGGACAGGCATCTTCTCGGCCTTTCCACAACTGTTTTAAATTTTGTCGCTTGTATGACCAATTCCCGGCGTCCGGGACAAGATCTTCCGGCAGTCGATGGTAACCATGGCGCATCTGGCGTATGTCATACCCACACTCCGAGAGTGCTGCATCCCATTTGTCGCCTAAGCAAGAGTCCTTTTCTCTCGGAGGAATTCTGTAAGCATAGTCGGGTATAGAAACGCCATACTCGTCCACGTTGTGGATGTCTGCACCACTTCGAATCAACAGGACGACACATTCGCGGGTTTTATCAATGAACCCCACACCGCTGGATGATTCGAGCACGAGCTGAAGACAGTTTCTCCCATGTCTGTCTCGAGCGCTGATGTCGACGCCTTTTGCGAGAAGAGTACTGATCGTGGCTACTGGGTCGTGCAACCGGGAATAATTAGAGGCCAGAGAAAGTAACATTGTGCGGCCTTCAATGTCCCTGGTTTCAAAATCAAAAAATGGTATTGGGTTGTTCAGTACTAGCGCAAGTCCTCTCTGCAATGGATGAGTTTAATGCGTATATCTCCCGAAGAGGCGAAGTTGCTTACGCCGTCAAGAGTCATATTGAATCGGACGTTTAGATCGTCTACCTCGTCATAGACCGAAGAGTAAGGATCTGCTCCAGCATCCAGAAGAAGACGAATGTGCTTTCGATCAAATTCGGATAGATTTAACCCATTAAGTGCCCAACGCAATGGCGACCCGAAGCTGGGAAATTTAGCAGTCCGCTTACGTGGTTCTTATGATCTTCCATTCATGGGACAACTTACCAACGATACTGCGAGAGAGGATCCTGCGCAATTTCGTCTACGTCTGCCCCGTTCCGAATGAGAAATCTGACCATGTCGTTGTATCCCTCTGGAAAATAACTCCTAAGTATGTACTTTAAGGCATTAGCATCCTACACGCGTGAGTTCATTCTCTAAATTCGCTTACATGTAAGAGAGGAGTTCCCCTGTCATCCCTATCTCTCAGAGTCCCTCTCCACGCGCAAGGAGCCTTTGGAGTCCTTCGACGTCTCCGTCGCACACGATATCAAAAATAGCAGAATCTCTGGGTAGAATTCTGCCGATGGAAATCACAGGATTCAAGGAAGAAAACCCACTGCCCGATCGGAGTTGCCGCAGATAAGCAACAAGAACAGCTGGTGATTCAACATCCTCGATAGATGCCTTGACAGTGGCGAAAAATTCTTCCTCACATGGATCTGTGGCAAGCCGTCCTTGTCTGGATGGATTGCAGAATTTGTGGAAGGCTCTTTTGCTGACAGTGATGGTGGTCTTGCAGCCTGGCAGTAGGAGCTCGACGCTGTGGCGTGTCTGGACGATTTTCCCACAATTGCTTGTCGTGAACCGTTTGGCTTTGATTTAGTTGGTTATCTGATCAGAATTGCAGAACAGCAGAGAGAGACTACTCACGACCTTGATTTACGCCTACAGCGGCAGACGCTGAAATAAGCCCACGCATCCGTTTCATGTCCCGGCGTGTAACCGCTGCGTCTTGCTCTCCCTCTGCCTTCCTTTTCTTTGCCGAATTAAGGGTTTCACTTCCCTCGAGCTTCAGCAGTGCGGACAGAAAACATTCCAGATCCTCGATGATGGTTTCTGCTTCTTCGTACAGCATTGTGCTCGGGTCCCGCGATCCCAGTTTGCATAATCTGGCAAGGCACTCCATTGGTTCCGGATGTCCCCCAATGGGCTCGCTGGAGTGAGCAGACATTGGCCTGTCATCCTGTGGCAGAGCTCGGCGGTGTTGGGGAAGAGCAAACCGAGTCGGGCTTCCCGAGACTCGGGCTTGAAGCGCCTCCAGCAGAGTAGATATGTTCTGCAACTGTGCAGTCGTCGCACCTGAGGTCTGGCCGATGGTTTGGTTGACGTTCGCGACCGTGCTCCGGACCACCTCTTCCACCGAAACTTTGATGTCCTGCACATTTTGATTGAGAGATGAGACCTGTAAGGTTCCCGCAGACAAGGTCTCTCGGATTTGGTGGATCTGAGATCTGCAATCCAGCGTAGCATCACTGTGATGTCGTAAACGGTCACTCCATGCGCTCGATCCACATCCCACAGTCGTAGTAACTCACCTTTGCAGAAGATTGAGTTGGAATTGCAGCACGCTACAGTGATGATTCAACTTGTGCCACATGGCAGTGAGTGGCTTCTCTGCCAAAGTTGCTCTGACCCGCTTCCATGCCTGTTGAAGTTTCGGGACCGTAGGATCATATTGTACCTTGTTGAGATCTTTCTTGAAGCTCGCTATGTCTTGCGTACAAACCTCAAGCAAATTCCTGACATTCTGTAGGTCGACGTTGGGCTCCGCTAACGCTCTGCAGTCGCGGAGCTGCGTCAAGATGTTCTGCAAGTTTCCCACGGCGGAAACAAGCGATGCCGTCTCTCGTGTCGCGTGTCGGAGGCCAGAGAGCACATTGTACAAGGACTTTGTTCCTTCCAGAGCAATCCCTACGAAGGCCAGCACACTTGCGCCAGCATTCAGGGGCTCCATGGCAAACACCAAAGCCGGATGGAATCAACTAGGCAAGAAGAACAACCACGGCGCAGGACAAAAGAGAACAGGGAAGAAGACAAGTTTTTGGAATTTGGAGGTAGGGTTGGGCTGGCAACATGGCGAGGACTAGGCTGCTTCTTGGTGCCAGTCGACTTTGCTTGGGGCGTTGAGGCTGAGGCGCAGTAGCTTGCAGGATGCCAGGGTGGAAGGTTGTTGACGCCTTGCAAATGCGTTGGTCTTGCAGTGTGACATGCGGCCATCGACTAAGCCTTGCTAACCAACCCAATGGACGACCGCCAAACATTTGCTGTCTTTTTGATAGGTGCTATTTGACATCCTTGGTACAGGAATGCCGACATGTGCCTACCCACGCAATGGAGTTGCTGGCGTTGAGATTGGCTATGCACGTATATTGTAAGGCTGTCTAGTAGTCATTTCCTTCACTCTCGAAGCTAAGCTACAAAGCTCTCTGCAGCCAGCTTCGTGAACCAGCCCCTGGCCTGTCTTCACCACAGGCGGATTGGAGATGAGAATCAGCCGAAACCCCTCTTATCCAACATCGTCTGCCACAGCCGCTCCAAAATTTGCTTGGGTCTCGTAATACGAGATGGCGAGGCTTTTCTGGTCTCCAACTTGTTTTGCAGAGGTGTTATGAACCGGCAGACTCAGGGACCCACGCCTGCTTCTTGTGCTAGAATACTCTTCCCAAAAGAGGGAAGCTGATCGACCACAGGCTTGAGAACGAGGGTCATGCGCTTCTAAGACGTAGATAGACATGGCTTCTTCTCGAGGACGGAGCTGGAGCATGGTATGTGTCACCACTGTGCATTCATGCATGGGCTTCAACCTGATTCGCCGGCAGAGCAGTCGTCCACCAACTAGAAGACATGACCGTCTCATAGGTTTCCAAAGGACCGATCCGTGGCTGAAGCCGAGGAGTGGAGTGAATCGGCATAGCCCATTACCTCGTGCCTCGTCAAGGACACGGCACCACGGTTCCGTTGATCGAGCATCCTCCGACGGTGCTGGCCATGGTCGTCCACAAACGATCAAATCCGATGAGGAGAGAGGCCTGACAAAGCCCACGTACCTCAGGCTTTCGAAGCAACAACATTCCATAATGGCAGGTAGCTTTCTACCTGTACCTCTCGTATGCTCTCTCTTCATCCAGGCGCTTTTTGACTTGCGAAAGGATGCTGTTGTCATACAGGGCTTCTGGGTCCATGTCCCCCTTCAAGACCAACTTCTCGTGCTTCTGCGCCTCCTCTTTCGTCACAAGCACCAGGTCTGTCAGAGGCAGTTTGATCATCTTCTGTCCTTCTTTCTCATACTCAGGGTCGACTTTGAATCCTTCCGCGGGCTTCCGCCATCTGATCAGAGCGAGTCTTGTGCTTAAGCCACTGATGACGCTTTTGCCACGGAAGACTTCTTCGATAAGATAAGCAACATCGTCTCGGCTCACTGGTATCCGGAGACCAACAGCGTCTTGCCCGTTGGTTGACCGGACAAGTCGTTCCTCAAGACCCAGCAAAGCTGACAGGATGGCGTCGTACATCTTCTCCCTGCCTTTCTCGCCTGTTCGGTAGTCCATCGGATATCCAGCAATACTGCAAATGACGTGGTTGGCCACTGTATAACCGAAAATGGCTGGCATCGTCCCAAGGACAGGCAAGATCCTGACCCGGAATTCAGGAAGCACACCCAGCTTGTCGACCTGGCCTCTTTGGACTTCTTCGTCCGCTATGGGGAGCAATTCAGCCTTACCCTCGCCAGGTTTCTCCGTCGAGAAGACCACGGGAATGCCACTGTTGATGCCCATGACCCGTAGCCGCCGCCTCGTTGCCTTCGATAAAGGGTCCTCAACGCTGGTCGAGATATCACCCACCTGTATCCTGGTGGGATCACTCTTGCAACCCGCGCCCATGGCACTGATAACTTGAATGCCTCTTATCGCACAATATTTCAGCAGTTCCACCTTGGTGTCGATATTGTCAATCGCATCGACCACCCAATCCACCTCTTTGTCTTCCTCGCCTTCCCGTAACTCAAAGTCCCATTTCCCCAGCAGGCCCTCAATCGACCGCGACCCCAGCAGCTCATTCCGCTCGTCGATCCGGACCCACGGACAGATCTGCTCCAGCCTTTTCCTGACACAATTCACTTTTGGCGTTCCCACATCCGCCAGCGTCGCAAGGGCGTGCCGGTTGAGACTGCTCAGCGTGACCTGGTCGAAGTCCACAACCCGGATGCGAGAAACACCGCTCCTGGCCAGCGCAGCGACACAGTGGCTTCCCACCCCGCCCAATCCCACGACAATCACATATGCACCCCTCAGTTTCGCGAGGCCTTCATCTTTCAGAAACACCCTGTTCCGGGCCAGCTGCTCGAGTATCAACTCTTCATCGTAGTCTCCCTTCCTGGCCCTCGCCGCTATCTGCGCGGCACGCGTGTCTTCCTTGTTTGTGATCGTGGGCCGACTGGCGCCCCCGTACTCCGTGAGCTGCAGGGCTCGGTGCTCGCGCGAGATCTCGGGAATGGATGCTTTAAGCTCTTCGGTTGCCCGGCGGCGGTGGACTGCGGTCGCGGTGAAGATCACTGTGGTGGCCGCGACTGCGCCTAGTGTCGCAGCGAGGCCGATCTGGAAGGCTGTCGTGGAGGTATGCCTTTGAAGCCATTGCGACATTGTGGGAGAGGTAGATAGATATCACAGATATTTATCACGAGTATTTGTTGTGATGAGCTAGGCGGCTGGATAGCGACATTACAGCATTTCTAGAAGAATAAGTTATGCCAAATCGCAATACATTACAAAAAAACGCTCGATATCTATGTCTTCGGACCTAGATCTGCGGATAGAGGGCTCGAGGGTGGCTGGCGTGAGAGATGTTAACAAAAGTCCTCGAAAATGTTTCCCCCCACAAATTTTTCCCAATCACGCATCTCCGCATCGATTTCCGCAAGTCTTCGTGGACCTTTCATGATCCACTCAATCTCTACCAGTTTTGCCAACTCAACCAAGTCCCTCTGCCCTGCCAGGCCGCGTCTGCCACGACTTTATTCCTCTGGAGTACACGAGCCTCCCCACAAATCACAAGCGCCCAAGTCTACGACTAGACCCTGCGCGCTTCAGCGCATTCCTCGCTGGTGCCTCCGACTCTGCAACCTCTGTTCGACAGCAAACCTCCACAAACGCAGCTGATTCACCACCGCAGCCATGGCGCGCAACTCTGAAAAGGCGCAGTCCATGCTCTTCCGGTTCCGCGCCGCGCAGGCCGCCGAATCTGGTCTCCTTCCCTCCGCCAGCCTGCGCCGGCCCAAGGCACCCTCCACGGTAGAAACGGTCCCCCTGTGTGAAAAGTGGCGCGGGCAAATCCTCAAAGAAATCTCGCGCAAGGTGACAAAGATCCAAGACGAGTCGCTGTCGGACTTTCAGATCCGGGATCTCAACGATGAGATCAACAAGCTGATGAAGGAGAAGTGGGGATGGGAACGGCGCATACGGGAGCTCGGGGGACCGAATTACATGCGGGGCGGAGGCACGGTCTTTGACGACCAAGGCCGAGAGGTGCCCGGTGGAGGCAAAGGTTATAGGTACTTTGGGAGGGCGAAGGAGTTGCCCGGTGTCAAGGAGATGTTTGAGCGCGCGGCCAAGAAGCGAGTCCGCGGCGACGAGGAGGAAGACGCCGCCAAAAAGCCGCAGCTGGACATCAATCGGAGGCACCTCGACGCCCGGTATTTCGGTTTCGGACCGGACGAGGAAAACGGGACGCTGTTGAAGTATGAAAGGAGGAAAGAAAAGGAGGCTGTCGAGAGGGTCGCGAAGTTGGCTGGCGCGGAAGACGAGGACCCAGATTGGGAACCCTTACCTGGCGACGCCGGCGATGGTGTGCGATGGCGTCTGCCCACGTTGGAAGAAGTTCAGGAAGAGTTGGTCGATCGAAGACGCAGGCAATTGCTCGACAGGCTTGGTTGACATTCTGAGAAGTCTTCGATTACACTTTGGAAGCCACGTCTTGCGACACTGGACTGTTGAGTTCGTGGCATGACCACAGATCCTTGGGCTTAGGGACCTCGAGCACGAATGAATTACACTTTCGGATTGGTATTTTACCATACTGGAAGTCTCCTCTACCTCATTCTTTGTCGCAAGAAACTCAGCCAGTATGTTTCCCCTCGACAAGAACCGCTGTCCGACCCATGGAGATGGGTTGGACATGATGGACAAAACTCCCGCAGCCGTGTTGGATTCTTCTGGGAGACCGCATGGATTGAACAAACAACAAAGCACACACGTTGGTCCAACAGGTCATCTACCCTTGTGGCCTCGAATTGGTCAGCAATAGATGTGCTGAAAAGACACATCTCCTGTCCCGGTATTCCTCTTCACCCCAATGTTCACCTCTGAACTGTAAAACACATTATCCTTCTCCGACACAAGTTCCATGTTTGCCGGGATCAACTGAGTCCCGCTACTGCCAGCATTTATTGAGGAATCGGCTTCGGTGTTGAAGACGATCTTGACGTCTCGGGTTCCTGTACCGGAGGTGCTGAAGCCGGTGCAAGCAAAGATGACGTCTACGTCCTTGTTCCCTTTTGGACCACCGATGTAATCGAGGACGTTTCTGCAGAAGGTGCTGAGGTAGAATGGGTCCGGTGCGCTCTGAACATTGATGTTGGCCTCATAGATCCCACCACAAACCGGATTGACTATGTCAGGATCGATGTCGAGGGACATGGTGTCTGAACTGGCAGTGGCGTTTCGCGGGACAAAAGTCTGCGGCCAGCGATGATTCGAGCTGCGATTCTTCGACCGACGAGGTACCGACACTGCGCTGGTGAAGTCGAGTAAGGCCAACAAAAGCATGAGGAGGAAGAGCCGCATGTTGGGGGGACCGATGGATGTTTGTCTCAGGGCTGGTAACGACGCACAGATCTCGCTCAAGGTGACCCAAGAGTAGTCAACAGCAAAGAAAGGTGTTTGAGGAGGTTTGTGAGCGTCACAAGTCCGAGAAGGGTCTGACAAGTTCGTTGTGGGTTGTGGGGGTTCATACGGCAGAAGAAGCATCCTTTATATGATTGGGAAGATGGTTCTCAGCGAGCCCAGGCGGAATCAAGCCAAGACCATCATGATGTGCAGATCTCAATGCATCGATTATACCCATTTCTCCCTCCCTTTGCTCTTCTTTTTGACGACTATGAAGTGGCTGTCAAGTCCCTGGGACCGACTGTTTGTCGTTTTGTTTCTGAACCATCTGTCGTGGCAGTTCCAGAGCTCTCAACCATTGGTGTCTTGCGGCCCGTGTGGTCATACAGAGGGATGCAATAGCTCTTCCTGGCGTTGGTGGCCGGGCACCAGGACCCTCAGCTGCTAGGCGTCGTTGGCAGATATCTTGTTTCTTCTTACAGTCAATATAGACCAAACTAGAGGGGAAATTACCTGTTGCTGCACAGCATAGGCAACGTTGCTCATGCCCATGTTTGCTCCTCTGCTGGGTCGCCATTGATTCGACGGTCTTGCATGGGATCCTGTACGCTGCATCGTGCATCCATGCAGGTAGCCTTTGGTGGTCCATTCAGCTCGTGACGATATGCAAGTAGCCATCCACCGGTGTGCAGACTTGCAGAAGTTGTTCCTAGGACAGACATCAATTCATCTACCGCAGACCTTTCTATCCACCTATTGCAGAGACGAGCCTCTCTCTCCTAGAATCCAGCTTCTCTCCAAGTTTGCTTTTCTCTTGCATCGAGCCTAGTGATTAAAATACCGCCTGAAGGATGGCAGTCCTCTCGAGCAGCCGACGAGTCCTCGAGGTTCAATGACATCCCATCAAGTCCTGATAAGAAAGCCAGCAGACTGGATCCGGGGCAACAACTGTGGGATATTCCACTCCTAGACCATACCGTTCGTCAAGCGGAGCAGTCCTTGACGAGAAGTATGTCAATTAAAGCTCATGTGCAATATGAGGTTGAGGAGAGAATCTCATCTGGTCCGGGAGGTGCCACATCATAAAAACCGCAATTTTCATTCCACCCTGGAACCGATCTCTCCTCGCCCTCTATCCCCGATGATCAGGGTAGGAGTCGCCTCAAGCAATGAGTCGGCGCCCCGCAGACGCATATGCTCGAGAAACTGGGGAGGGAATGTCCTGATTCAATCTACTGCTCGAATGATTGCAATTGTCCTCGAAGTCTGCCTGCATCTGAAGCCTGTTGACCTGAGGCACGGTCGGCACGATATTTTTCCGTCCCGACTCCTTTTCCATCAGCCTCAGCCCACTTCATCCCTTCAAATTAAGCAGAACCAAGACATGTCAAACGGCCCCGAACACTGTTTCCAAAGCCTCACCTTTGGCTCTTCCACGATGCCCTCATCTCGCAAGCAGATGGCCCTCGTCCCTTGCCGTGGCCATGTTACTGCGATCCTACCGTCGTTCCTCCCTCCAACGTCGTCTGCTCCGGCTTCTCCTCTACGCCCTGTTCGCATTCTTTGTCTTTGACTTACTTACCATCCTCAAACACCACCGCGAATTCACCCGTAACCTCCTCAGCCACACATACACATCCCCGTCCGTTCTCCCGACCCCAATACAGAACCAAAAGATTTTCATTGTTGCGCAATTTTGGACCAACGCACGTGTCATCTCTGAGCGATGGGGTCAAGCGCTTCTCGATCTTGTAGGAGTACTGGGAAAGGAGAATGTCTACGTGAGCATCTACGAGTCAGGGAGTCTGGATAACACAAAAGAAGTTCTGAAAATGCTGGACGATGTGCTTGGGCAGAATAACGTTCCTCATCAGACGGTCTTGGATCCAACTACGCACGAAGATGAAATCAACGTTGGACCACTCGATGACCAGGGAGTCCCTCGGCAAGGCTGGATCCAGACCACGAGTGTGGGAACGAAATGGGGTAAAGAGCTGCGAAGGATTCCATACCTCGCTCGCCTGCGGAATACATCTCTAAAACCTCTTTTCCGGCTCCGCAATGAACAAGGCCAGAAGTTCGACAAGGTGCTTTTTCTCAACGATGTCGTCTTCCGCCCACAGGACGTCCTCACACTCTTAGCCACGAATCAAGGTTCCTTTTCTGCCGCATGTGCCCTTGATTTCCATTTGCCGCCAGCCTATTACGATACCTTTGCGCTAAGGGATTCTGAAGGACTGGGCACAATCCAGACTATATTTCCCTATTTCCGTTCTCAAGACTCTCGCGAATCCATGCTCAAGGGCCTCCCAACCAAAGTCTCATCATGCTGGAACGGCATGATTGTGATGGACAGCACACCTTTCTACGACGGACTTCAGTTCCGTGCACTGAGCGATAGTCTTGCGAGCAAGCATCTCGAAGCAAGTGAATGCTGTCTTATTCACACAGACATGAACATCACTTCTCCCGGCTCCGCTGATCGCATCTACGTCAACCCGTCGGTCCGCGTTGGGTACACTGTGGACGCCTACAACACCACACATTCCGGGTCCGACGAGAACTTTGTTTCTGCAACGCAGTACGTCACCGGGGTATGGACAAACCGTCTTAGAAGGAACATTCTGCCACGCGAGACGAAAACTATGAAGGACGTCAAAAGGAAAATGGAAAAGTGGGTCAAGGAAGGAGAGAATTCTTTGGAAAAAAGAGAGGAGACTGGCGGTTTGTGTGTTATTGATGAGCAGCATATCTTGATCTGGAATGGGTGGAAGCATGTATAAGTTCTCGTCCGCGAGGCTGGCATTCCCTTCGATTTATGTTTCTTGCAGGTGCAGGGATGGGAGGCAGGCCACTGACATTTGAACCGGGATTTAAAAAGTTGGGACTAGGGGTATGGTTTTATGGCACATCTTCGGAAGAAAACAAAATGCATTGATTGAATTGGCGGCACAACAGTTTGGGATTTTGTTTACACGGGCAATCGGCATAGAACGCACCTCCATACATGCCGCTGCGTGGCAGTCTCCCTGGCGGATACAACACACTTGTATATTTTTGGATAGCCACAAGAGCTGCCGAGGGACTTCATTCCGCTCCTTGAAGGGGCATGAACTAAACGCGATCACTCAGTTCGTCTCATCGTCGTCTTCGATCTCAATGAGTGCTCCCATGAACGTATCCACATGCGTTCGACGCAATGGTTCGATGAGATGCGGAGATAACTCCTAGGATTGCACCTTCTCGCAAGTCCGCTGCAAGATTGCCTGTGGCCGGGAATTTTCGGTCTGCTGCATACACGGAGTACTCGGGTTCGTAGGGGATATCTCGAGCCTCCATGGGCCGTGGATTCCTTCTTCAGGCGAGGTTATTCCGGATCTTACGATGGATGGTCGAATCCAACCTGTGAACTCTTCGTCGATGAGCCGAGTTCATTTTGCTGGACCGCGGTCAACAAGAGGCGAGGGGAGAGTGACCTGGCAATTAGAGGCAGACCCAGTCGCAAGGATGCTCCTCACTCCGAGGCAGTATTGGCAGCTTGCTCTTCTCCCTCTTCATTCAAGTTTTGGGTTTGGAACTCCGTGCTCGACAGCGCTGGTTCGGCAGCTTCTGACGAGGCCTCTGAACTGGGATGCGCGACGGGCGAAACCCAGGCTGACCCGCGGACCGCCGTGGTCGCGTCTTGTCCCACTCCCTTTTGAATCCAAACCTCCCATTTTTCCCACGTCACCCCGAACGCGGTCCTAAATTTCGTCCCTTGGGGTTGAATATCATGCAACTTCTTGCAGGCAATCGTGATCTGTTCATTCACGAAAAGCGGGAGAAGATTCTTGTACTGGAACGTCCGGACCGCGAAGGTATACGGTTTTCCGACCGTGTGAAGAGCGAGAGCCTCACCAAGAATATCCAACATGAGGACAGAGGTAAGCGGGCCGTGTACAATGAGTTTTGGAAGACCATAAACTTGTCGGGTATATTCTGCATCGAGATGGATAGCATGGGCGTTTCTTGACAGTGCGCTGAATCTGAAGAGCAGCGTTGGTGAAGGTGTCATACTTTGGGAGTATACGGGGTTGGAAGGAGGCGTCAATCTACGTGGCGTAGCCGTCGATTTCAGACTCTCTGGGATTTCGCGCATGAAGCAAAGATATTTTTCTTCTTTAAGCACGATGTTGTCCCTTCGGTTCGTGGCGCGGAGGCCCCCCAGCCTTCTACGCACGGGCTTCCCCCGGGCGTCCACCATGGCAGGAAAGAGAGTCCTTGTTAACGTGACGAAGACTTTTGCGTTCCCACCGGCGAGATCGCCAACGAGCCGGGTGTCTGTAATCCGTTCCTTAACAGCGACGAATTTCGGTCGGGCGGTCCATATGTTGGGTATCTGAAACTCCATGTAGCCTCCAGCCCATACTCGATACTTCCATTCGTCACTCGGAGCATGGCGCTTTTCAGCACCGTCGTGGCCTAGCTCATGTTCGTACGGCAGGCTGTTGAATGACACTTGATGATAACCTGGAGGGACACTGTTTGCCGGCTGCAAGTCGGAAAGTGAGAGGTGGCTCTGAAGAGTCTTCCGCAGAGCGCGAATATTGAAACCATCCCAGGGACCCTCATCAGTTGGCATGTGGCGGCTTTTCATGGATTCGAGCTCTTGAGCAAACGCTGGAACGGGCTCCTGTAGAGATCCTGCTGCGCCATGTTGCAAGCGAATCCAAGTTGTTCTTGATCTGTGGTTAATCCATAGCCTGCAGGACGATTTTGTGCGAGCAAAAGAAGACAACAAGGAACATGTACAAGACATAGGAGATTGGATAAGTGGCTTATTAGCCCATGATATAGAACCAACAGAGCAAGCGGATGGAATAAACCCAACTGACATACAAGATAAGATTCAGTCGGAACTTATGCAGGAGCTTGTGTCACGTGATCTCGCGTCGCCCTTGGCTGGCGAGGACGCGTCTGTTTGAGACTTGAACATCTCCTCACTGTCTTGTGGGACAAACACATCTCTGACTCTCTTGACATCAACTATTCCAATATGCCCTCTCAATCACGGGCTTTGAACGCGACTCAGCCCTCCCAGACCCCGACGCGATATGCGCCCTCCACACCTCATGCAATCCGCGCACTACAACAACGAAGCGGCGCAAAGACCCGCTCTATACGCAGGAGAAGGGCAGTCAGCGACACCGTCCGACCCGATTCAGCTAGGGGCATCTTAAGACAATTGGCTAAGATTACTGCGCCTGTTACCAGGAAGATAATACCTACACCTGGAACTGTGCGGGGGAAAGAAAACAAAGTACCAAAGGTTGGAAGACCGGTCGATGACGGACAGGATGAAGGGCAAAGCGTCAAAAGACCACGATTGGCTTTGGATATTGACGAAAGTCTGGAGAGCATTGAGGCGCCTGAACTTAGGGAGGAGGATGACGAGGACAGTGAGCTCCCGGCGGCTCCTACGCCTTCTATCCTACCAGAGGACGACGACGGAGAAAGCGAGCTACAACATCAGAATCCAACGTTCACATTCAGGTCAATTGATTACAGGAGCCAGGCGCATTCACCTGATGACAGCCGCCGCATGTCAAGACGTTCCTTTCCTGCATCAGACCCTGTCGGACAGGCCAGCTTTAATGGCGGAGACGAGGAATCAACATTCCTGTCCGAGAGAGGCAGAAGGGCCGAAACAGTTGACCCAACAGAAAATCTATCGCGATACGACTTTGGGGTCCTCGACATGGAGGGGTTTCATTCTGAGCTCGAGATCAGAAGAGAGTCGCATTATCAGGGTCTGCCCGAGAGTCCGGAGAAAATTGGACACGATCTGGCGGAGCTCGATCCAAACTATACACCTCTTAGGGATGGTGGAGGGGAGACTGAGGTCTTGAGGGACCTCCAACATCTTCAGAGATCTCCCTCCTCAGCACCGCCTGACGAGAGCAATTTGCATATCCCAACATTGGATGACTCGAACTTCCAATTGCCTATCCCTGATGTGGAAACAGCTTCAAAATATGCACAACATGCTCAAGAAGCAAGGCTCGTCGAAGTATCACCATCAATGGAAGATCGACATTCACGACAAGAAGCCCGGGAGTCAGCAGAAGAGTCTGAAGATGGACAACCGTCCGAACAAGGCTCTGTTGGGGAAGAGGCACCGCGACCAGCACCTCAGCAGCCCCGTCGGAAGAAACTAAAGTTGACCCGCCATGGCGAACTGGTACCCTCCTTGCCCTCAAGCCTCATTAGACGGGTAGCCATCGAAGCTCAAACCCGCCTCGGCAATCGTCGACCTAAACTCGGAAGGGACCACATGCAAGCCCTCGAACAGGCGACCGAGTGGTATTTCGAGCAAATTGGCGAAGACCTGGAAGTTTACTCTACCCACGCGCGGCGGAAACGCATCGATCAGAGCGACGTCCTAATGTTGATGCGTCGGCAGCGGTTGCTTCAGAATGATGGGGAGCTTCTGAAAGCTGCGAAAGAGTTGCTTCCCCAGGAGATTGCGGCTGGCTTGGATCCCAATGAGTTGTCGGATCAGTGATCATCGTTGGACATTTTACCAGTTGGTGACATGGCGAACCCGTCGAGCTCTGTCGATCGGTTTCTTCTTCAGCAGCAGCCACATCATGAACGTTGTGGCGGCGGATAATGAGTACCTGATGGATTAATGAGATACGATATGTTGCAAGCCAAGCGCAGACACTCACCATGTAAAGATATACTGCAAATGATTGTTCCTCAGATTGACTTCTGGTGCTCTCCCGATGGGAATCCCTCTGGCCTCTCGAGAGTAACTAACCAACAAGTCTGGGGTCATGGTCTCTTCAATCCAGACAGGTGCAGCGCCCACAACCTCTGCCATCTCGTGAACATCGGGGAAATAGAATTTGCCGTTCTCAGGCTGATTTTTCGGCGTGAAGAAGTTCTTCTTCCAAGGTTCTCTGAGCAGTCCCGAAACCGTGATCTCGCCCTTGGGCAAGCTTTCCGGATCTCTGTCGACCTGAAATCTCTTCTCTTTGCTGATCCACCCCCGGTTCACCAAGATAGTACTCCCTCCTTCTCGTTCTAAAGGAGTGACCACCATAAACCCATCCTTCCCATCCTGCGTCCTCGGCCCGATGAGCATCTCTTGGTCATGTCTAAACCTTCCGGTGGCATACACCCTTCTGTAATCGAATTCATGGATCGCTTCGGGGTCAATCCTCGGTGGGAGCGGTAGCGGTGGCCGCACGAGACGGTCTTCGTATTTTGCGATGAGCTTGGTCTTCCAATCTAAACGTTGGATTTGCCAGGTCCCGAGAGCAAAGGCGGTGACGGGAATGAGCGAGAGTAGGGCAATACCGAGTTTACTGTGTTTTTGGCCGCTGCGCACCAGACGCGGAGGCGCATCAACTATGGAGACAAAGTCCTCATTACTGTTCGCTGGTGTCGGAGGCTTCTCGGTTGCGAGACGACGAGACTGGCCCTTAGTGAACGGACGGGTTGTAGAGCGAGACAGAAGTGACCGGAGGAGCTTCAAGTCATATTTGGCCATGTCTTCTCCTCAGATTAAGGCGGTGCATGGAAAAGGAAGCTGAGAGAAGAGTCGCAAATTAATTTCTCGGAGCAGCTGCGCGTGTCGAATGACGTCTCCAAGATCTTGGGGACGGCGTTTGCACTGGCAGGTACTCCGTATAAAGGACGTAAAACCGCAGGGAGCTCACGTGCGGCTCACCCCGACCGTGCCGCTTTTAAAACCCCGTCGCTCGCGACTCACCCTCCCCTCACCCTCCCCTCACCCTCTACTCATGCTCGATCGAAAATGGGTCCTATTTTGGTCGCCCACCCATGCCTCAGCGCCTCCGCGCCTCCTCCCCTAGTCCTAGAACTGGGCACCCAGTTTGCACGATCGCTTACTCTAGGATACGAAGAGGACTACTAAGACGTTTGAAGATTGCAAGAGGAGACTGATTACACAGCCACAGCTCAGAGTGACTTAGTCATGACTCAGGTCAAGTGGGCGCAGTTGAAATGGACTTTTGGTATCGTGCTATATATCAGCGTGTCCGCTGCATCCCATCCTCGTTTGACTCCAACCCGATCCCGATCCCGATCCCGATCCCGCACCATTCACCATATGGACGAACATGACGAGACGAAACGAAACAGTTGAAAAGCAACACTGACGCCTGACCGACAGACTCTCAACGTCTGGGGTGCCCCACCTTCTAAATCTGCCATTGTTTGTTGGACACTGCATCTCGAGCAAAATGGCCCCTGTAAGGTCGAAGTGGCCCGCGAGGCTTGTACTGATCAGGCTGCTGGAATCCGTATCACCAAGTGCTTCTGTTTGGAGATTCCCTCATCCAGCACTGCGCCGACGACCTGGATGGATTTGTCTTCCAATCTGCTGTTCAAGTTCATGAGTCTCACGATCGCTTACTCTAGGATATGAAGAGGACTACTACGACGTGTGAAGATTGCAACAGGAGACTCGACGTCGTCAACCGTGGCTTCAGTGGCTTCAGTGGCTACAATGCTTCCCAATGCTTTCGCATCCTACAGGACATCATCCCCTCCACGTCCTGCGCGAAAATCGACTATTTTGTACAGCCCACTTGCCCCTTGCTTCTTGCCTCAGGAAAGCCTAGGCCAACGTTCTCAGCTCATTCTCCTGGGGGCAAACAACGCCTGCCTTCCCGGCACCACAGGTCAGACGGTCGAGCTCTCCCAGTACAAGGCATATCTTGAAGCTATCGTCTCCTCACCGGCCCTCCGCGCACACAGTCCTACCATCATCCTCTGTACTCCTCCCCCAGTGGACGAAATCCGCCTCACTGAACTTGACCTCGCCAGCGGCTGGGAATCCGTGACACGCACGTCCGAGAACACCGCCGCCTACGCGCAAGCCGTGCGCGACATCGCGGCCGCGGCGGACGAGAAGATCGTCCTAGTGGATTTGTTTGCCGCGCTAATGGAGCGGGCGATGAGCATGACACCGGACTGGAAGGCCGGAGAGGCTATTCTGGGGAGCGTGAAGAGCGGGACAAGGGGTGGGCTAGAGAAGTTGCTGCCCGACGGGATACACGTGAGCGGCGAGGCGTACAGGGTGTTCTACGAAGTGGTGGCTGAGAAGATTGGAGGGGAATGGAGAGACGAACGAAATGCAGAGAAGGATTATGAGCCGCCGAGCTGGGTGTTCCCGAGCTACTGGAGGGCAGCCAGGGCAGAAGAACCATATATACCGAGCTGAATTACCAGATATCTAAATGTCGCAACCGGAAGAGTCTTCGTGAGGATGTCAGCGAAATTGTCCTTGGAGGCGACCTTAAGGACGCGAATTTCGCCACTTTGTCGACCTTCTCGCCGGTGAAGTGGAAGCAAACGTCGATGTGTTTCGTCCGTTTATAAATAAGAGGATTTTCAGCAAGATCGATCTCAGCCTTGTTATCGATGTGTAAGGGGACACTCCCAATAGAGATGCCTGGAATGTTGAGATCGTTGATGACGTTACGCAGCCAGACAGCCTCTTTAGCTACTTCAGAGGCAGCCATGTATTCAGCCTCATAAGTGGAGATGGTTATAGAACGCCATCGCTGAGATCCATTGGTGGTACTGAGATGTGGACTTTAACACTTACACCGACTAACATCGACCGAGAACCCAAACAGTAGCACACGACCTGAAGAGCAACCGATTGCGACCTTCCTATCCGCAATTGCCGATATCGTTGACTTTGTGGGGCGATATTCCGGTGGCAGCCAGAGGACGTTCTCGCCATCTCATGTAATCCAGGTCCTATCATTGCTGAAGCCGCAGCCCGCCGACACAGAATGGCGACTATCCATGCCCTCAGTATTCTCCGACTCAGATACGTTGTCAAGACTAATGACGCCTCCGTCAGTGATAACTGTTAACTTGTCACCGGCCAGCGGGTCGGACGTATGCCCAACTGGGCAGGCCTGCCGCGGCGCCCCTGTGTTTGCATCCCAGAGCCGCACGGTACCGGCTGAGGATAGTGACGCGAGCCATTGGCCGTCGGGCGAGAAGGCTACGGACTTCAGCGAGTCTCGATGGCCTTTAAGCGTCTCTAGCAGGACGCCCGAATTCACGTCCCAGAGCCTCACTGTCCCATCAGCAGACGATGAGGTGACCCGTTGGCAATTAGGTGAGAAGCATACTGACCTAATCCAGCCTGTATGGCCTTCGAGCGTCTTAGAAAGTGTGCCTGAGATCGCATCCCAGACCCGTACGGTCCTATCAGCAGATCCTGACGCTAGCCATCGGCCATCAGGCGAGAAGACCGCCGAAAAAACCCAGTCTGTATGGCCTTCAAGGGTCTTCTGTAACGTGCCCGAATTCGCATCCCAGAGCCTCAGCGTCCCATCCGAGGATGCTGTTATAAACCGTCGGCTATCAGTAGAGAAGGCTACTGACCACACCCAGTCCCTATGGCCTTCAAGGGTCTTCTGTAACGTGCCTGAGTTCATGTCCCAGAGCCGCGACTTGGTATCAAAGGATGATGATACTAGCTGTCGCCCATTAGGAGAGAAGGCTACTGACCAAACCCAGTCTTGATGGCCTTCAAGTACCTGCCGTAGCGTGCCTGAGTTCGTATTCCAGAGCCGCACCGTACAATCATTAGACCACGAAGCTAGCCAATTGCCATCAGGGGAGAAAATCATTGATGTAACCGAGTCTTTGTGGCCTTGAAGGGTGTGCAACAGTATACCAGAGTTCGGATTCCAAAGTCGTATAGTACCGTCAGAGCACAATGACGCTAGCTGCTGGCTATTAGGCGAGAAAGTTACTGTTCTCACCGAGTCATCATGGCTTTTCAGGGTTTGTAGCAGCGTCCCTAGGTTCGCATCCCAGATCCGTACAGTACGATCGTAGGATGAGGACGCTAGCCATTGGCCATTAGGGGAGAATGCCACTGACCAGACCCAGCCTGAATGGCCGCTAAGGGTCTGCTGTAGTGTGCCTGAGTTCGCGTCCCAGAGCCTCACCGTGCCGTCGGAAAACCCTGACGCTAGCCGTTGGCTATTAGGCGAGAAAGCTGCTAACCTGGTCCAAACCCTATGGCCTTCGAGGGTCTGCAGTAGCTCATTCCATTGGTTTTCCATAATTGGCTTGGTCGTTATCCATTCCGGCTCATCCCTCCAGAATAGCTGTCGTATGAGGCTCTGCCTGGGGCTGAATATCAGGGCGGATGAATAAATCTGGAGAGGATAGATTTCAAAGACCGATCGGAAGTGAAGCACGAAACGACTTAGATCCTGAATGAGCGTTAGATGTTCTGGGTTTCCGTCAGGGTGTCTCTGGGCCAAATTAGAGAGCGTCGCGACAATAAGCAATATGATCAACCTACAGCAAGCTGCTCCAGTTTGGAAATAGCCAATCCCACATTCGTTATACCTCCGCCGAGGCTGAGTGCCTCGAGCCAGTAAAGGAAATTTTTTCTCAAAAATTCATGCACTGCGGTACCTTCTCGTCCCGTCAATGCTGAGACCTGGCTATCAGTTTTCAGGCTTCCCGCGGCATATAAATGGTCAACCCAATAAACGCATGAGTAGCGGATAGCAGCCAAGGGGTCGGGGCTGCGCTGCTTGACTTTATGTATAGGAAGTCCCGGGGCGCGCAAGCCGTATATGTCGTGTCGTAGTGTCCTAGACATGGCCAAGAGCGATCTCGAGAAGAGATTACAGTGCTCACTCTGGATCCCGGAAGGAAGTATGACATCAGATGCTTGTGAGAGCAAAAAGTCCTTCGCCGACTGATGCACAAAGTAAACGGCATCTCCTCTAAGGGTTAATAGGGAACCGCAAAACCCGATGACCTCACCCCATGTATCAAGATCGTCAGGAGTACCCCCTGGTAGCTCAACGAAAGATTTAAGCTCATCCAAGGAGAGCGGGCGGTAGACGGTCGCCACAACTGCAAGCACACGCCTGCACAAATCGGCATTATCCGAAGTGTCCATATTCTGCACCATTCGCTTGTAGAAAGAATCAAGACCGCGTGGAAAAGCAGCCAAGCTGGCCATAGTGTTCAAGCGCGAGGTATTCCTCAGGCTTTGACAGACTAAGGCTACCCAAAGGAAGGTACCGTTCGCGTCAGAGCACAAATGATTTTGAATCGCATTCCGGGTGCTCTCGTCGTACCTCTTTTGCAGCGCCAATTGATCCACTTTATAGCGGATATATATGTCAACAGCGGTGGAAACAGACTTCTCATTCAGCTCGAGGCATAATCTTCCTCTCTGTGTTGCAGCTTCGAGATGCTCCTCGATGTTTGGCCAGTTACGACTGGAGACGATCCACTTGACTCGCGAGGATATGGACGACTTCCCAACAATGAAATCAAAAAGGAGAGGCAGATCGGTTACACATTCGTCGAGTGCGTCGATGATTAGGTGTGTGCTCTTCAGGCTCGGATCTTGCAGGATGTTTGTGAGGATCTCTGACAAGGCCACCCAGGCATTCGCATCCTCGAAGAGCTGCTTCCCTGCACGGTCGTACTTCTTCCGGACGTATGAGAGGAGAGAATGTTGCTGGTTAGCGAGAAGGTAGACAAGACCGCGCAGTACTGCCGTCGCACTGTTAATGCGTGAGTCGGTGGCCTGGCAGAAAAAGTAGGACAGCAGCGTGCCGCCGACCTCGCCAGCCAGTTTCGTCGCCGGGCTCAGCTCATCGATAATGCCGCAAAGCAGCATCGTCTTGCCCTTGCCGGGGTCGCCCTTGATCCACAGAAGCCCACTGTGTTCATCATTGCGCCATCGCTGGAACTCGGCATTGCCAAGCACCCATCGGTACGAGTCTCGCAGCAGGCCGCCCTTTGTATCTTCGATGCGGATCTTATCGTGGCGTGGATCAGTGGAGCGCAGGTCAACCAAGCAGCGTTCCTCGGACTGATTCAAGGTCTGTTCACTCGCTGAGGCCTTGTTGATCTCCTCTCGCAGCCGTCTGAATGCATTCTTTTCCCCTTCACCATAGATAAGCGGCATTTGGACATCAAAGATGCCCAGTAGCGAGTACGCCTTGTCTTCTTTGCGCGTCGTGTCACGCTTTTCTATCCATGCCATTCGCTCGGGGATACTAAAATCAGACAGGGGGCTGCCTCGAAGGGCCGGGAGAGGGATTCCAGTAATATTGTGGATGTGTTTCTCCAGAGAACTTTTACTCCCTAGGCGTACCCCCCCTTTGGAAAAGAACTCAACAGACGCCGGAGCTATAAGCTCTTGAAGGGTCCATCCACGGGTGAACCATCTGCTCTTCCGAAAAGCCGATTCCCATGACGGTTGGCTGGACTTGTCCGTCGCATCAAAAGGATGGGTCGAGATATCCGCGAGATAGACGTAGCATTTGATCGAATTACGGTACCAGCGGAACATGGAGTTAATGGCCTCCTGAACCTCGGTGTTGTTCGATTTGTCGATGCAACAAGTGTCCACCCAAAAGAAATGTAAACCGTCACGCCAGGCTTGATCTCTACAGAACCGAATCTTGTCGTAGCCGAGTTTGTTCTTGGCAGTACCGTCCATCATGGCCTTAAAGCTGACCTCTTCGGTCCCCCAGGTGTGCGAAAGTATCGCATATCGAGGAACTTTCTCCTCAAGAAAGTCCTCGGTCAGGCTGATCTCGCCATTGATCTTACGTTCCAAGAGACGCATTTTTCACGAGATGAGATGTCGAGACCTATGACACCGGCAATGACACCAGGCTCACGCCTCTCTCGACAGCTATCTTCGCCGAGGATAGATGGATTTAGCCTTGCATCAATGTCAAGTAGGAAACCCGGGGGGGGGGGGGTGAAACGCGGAGTGAGGGGCGGCCCGCACCGTAGGATCTGCGATTACACAAATTGGAAGCCTGAATCATGGGGAGCGAAGAAGCGGGGATGCATTCCGGTAGGGGACTAACAGTGGAGTTAGTTGGCTTCCTAACTGCTAAATTGAGGCAGGGCGTTGCATGGATGTGGTGTGAGTTCAGCAAATGAAGAAAATGACGCATGCACCTCCAAACATGGTTCATTTTCCCATCTTTGATTGCCGCATCTTCGACCCTCGCTGTATGGGACCCGGAGGAGTAGGAGCAGGAGCAGGAGCAGGAGCAGGAGGGGTGGTGGTTGATAGGGGCCTCGATTCTCGTTCCTGCGAGAGTCAGCTCCTGGCCTTGATAGTCAAAGGGCCAACCTACTTGTACACTGCCGTCGTCCGTGGTGATCAATCACTTCCTGATTTCGGGTTTCTCCGCAGCTCGAGATGGTCCGATGTGAAACACTCAAATGCGTGAGTCGCACGGTGAAAACGGACCGTGATTCTAACATTTGACGGTTCGGAGAGGCTCCAGAAGCAGATTGTGAGTGAGGGACGAGTAGGAGCCTAGAGTCGACGACCCTAATCCCATGGCCGTTGTACGTCGCCCCTAATTTTCCTGCTGACTGATGTGTCGAAACCCGGCATTCAGTTCCCTGTTCGTTGCACTCCCCCTTCTCGCCGCCGCTCTCCTTTCCTCTCGTCCTGGCCCGGCTGGGTTTGAGTCTTCTCTTCCGTGTGGTATGTAGTCTAATTCCCTGCCCTCGAGAGTTGAGTCGATTCAGCCCACGGTGTCTAGTCTGGATGTGATTTCAGTTTTCGACCAGGGACGTTCAAGGATGCGGGGTCCGACCGCGTCAAGAGAAATAGCCATCACCGCCGCCTAGTCGCACATCCGATAACCTCTGCTTCTTTGCTCTCCTTCGATGCATGCATGCCGTCTTGGGTCAGTGGATCTGTAACGCGGAAGGGCCGTGCCGTGCGCGCGCGACCCCGGCGCAACCCTGGCTCACCCTGACTCGTGCGAGCCGGGGGTGAGCACAGGGCGGCATTACGCTAGACCGGAAGCAGGAAGCAGGGTGAACCGCCTGCAGATTTCTCTGGGATTGGCATCTCCGCCCGCATGGGAAATTCAGAATCCATTAACTCGTCCAGATACGCAAGACCTGGCCTAATTGCGATACACCCTGCTTTCACCATGTTCTATGATGGAGATTTGTCGAGTGCCATATCAACGGCTCTCCACGAAAGAAAAGCTGTTCTATGCTTTGTATCCGGTAAGCTGTTGACTGATGCCAGCGACGAACGCTGTAGCTAACCGCGATCAGATAGCGGCTCACAAACCAGCAGGGAATGGGAAACAGTCTTGAGAGATCCCTCCGTAAGGTATTCCCATCGTGTTCATCCAGCGCATTGCTGACAATCTGGTATAGATATCCCCTGCGGTGTCCTCCCAAACTGTTGCGGTGTTACTCAATGCGGGTTCTGAAGAAGCCAGCTTCCTCAATTCAATCTGCCCAATCAACAGCACGCCTGCCATTATTGTGATTAAGTAGGGGATATCTGTGAAGAGTTGGCTCCGTGTTGACAAGGGCAGGGATGCGCGAGTACAAGAAAACCTTCAGTCCGCAGACGTATCAACCGAACAGTTGAAGCCTCGCTTGTCTTCAGCTTTTGGCATACAAGATGGAGGAACGAGGTTGTCCCAGGAACCCGAGTACGCATGCATGCTGTCGCAGACACCGTTCGAGGCTGAACCATCAATAGGCCACAGCAATCTGAACCAGAAGACGAATCCACTGAAAACCTCCACCTTGAGTCCGCCTCTAGGGACCCTCCTCCGGCATATGCCACTACCTCCTCAGAGTCCCATCAATCTATCCCATCAAGCCCGTCGGCAAATCCAGCAGTGCCTGTGCCTGCGGGAGAACAGGTCTACACGCCACAGACTCGTACGACTCCGTCGTCCACCCTTTCATCTGCGCCGCGAAGACACGCCGAACCTCCAAATCCAACACTAGTTCCCGCCCACACGCTGCCATCATCAGAACCCAGTGCGGAAATGAGCGAAAAACAAAAAGCCCAAAGGGCAGAATACATCAAAATGCAACGAGAGCGCGAACAGAAACAGCGCGATGAGCGCGAACGGATCAAAGCTCAGATCAAAGCAGACCGGGAGGAGAGGCGGTTGTTGGATGAGATGAGAAAGCAAGGGCAAACGCAGGAGACTCCAACTTCTTCAACTCCCTCTTCGTACGCGCGGTCAAGAACATCAAGAGCGAACGCTCGAGGGGACGTCAGAGTTCAAGTCCGCGCATTCGACGGATCAACTCTGCGCAACACATTCCCTTCCACGTCAACGATCACGAAAGAAATTCGTCCCTGGATTGACTCCGCCAACTCGACCTCTTCATCCAATAGGACAAGCGGCGTGCCATATAACCTCAAACTCATCCTGACACCACTTCCCAATCGCACAATCGAAGCGGGCGAAGAGGATACTGAACTCTCGGACCTCGGTATTGTGGGGAGTTGCACCTTCGTCATGGTCCCGGTAAAAGGATATGTTGACTCATACGCTTCCGGCGGCATGGGGCTGGGAGGCGGATTGCTCGGAGGCGTCGTGACAGGAGGGTACAACCTCGTCAGCGGGACGGCGGGAATGGTCTTTGGCGGCGTACGATCACTGCTTGGATATGGCTCTGGGAACGCGGAACAGACGAGCGGCGGAAGCGAGAACGCTGGCCAGACTCCCGGCTCTGGTCCCGGAGCTGGCAACAACGTCCGGATCCGGACACTGGCTGACCAACGCGCGGACGATGCTACGAAGCGGGACCAGCAATTTTACAACGGCAACCAGCTCAATTTCCAGCCCAACGACGAGGACCAGAAGAAAGACTGACCCCGAGGAAATGGGACTGGGACCTGGGAAAGTCTGTACAGCTTGTATTTTCACCAGGGTCGGCCGGGAATGTCTCCCCATTTTGGACAACAGACCAGGAAGGACATTGTGATTACGATTGCATCCGAAGGGTCGATGTATTGCTAAGAAGCGGTGGTATTGCGCCCATGAGTGCATGGTTCTGGCGCACACAGCGAGGAATCACGCAATGATGCTATCCCCAATGACTCAACTTTGATGCTGATGGCAAAACCAACTCCTTATTACTATTGTATTCTGCTCCATCAGGTCCGCTATTGCACCCGTCTCTGTTCCACATTCTCATGTGCCCCCGTTCTTGTTCTGCGTTTGTGTGTAGTCCTGCCTGGGAACGAGCATGAACGCATGGGGCCTAGGAACGCTGAGAAGCAAGCGAAAGGGGATGTTCCTGGTGCTATATAGCACGCGTACGGAGGACGTATACATATCCATACATATCCATCCCATCCCTCGCTTCTTCAGCGCGCGGGAACAATCTCCTCAATCCAACTTACATTCAAGAAACGTCGCGTGATCTATGTGCCTTGTAACTATCGCGTCGGAGCTGAAAAACGCTCGCTCGGCTTTGAGAAGAGTGCGTGAGCAGAAATAGTACATATCAGCATAGGCAGGTGCTCGATTTTCTGTTGAGGGAGCCAATCCACATGTTGTGTGAAGGAGGCTCTACAAACCGGGGCCAACGACCCCCTTTCGCTTCCTCCTCGCTCCTCGCTCCGCCCGTCTCTGTCTCGCACTCATTCTTTCGTTGACAACAGATTTTTGTGCGGCAAGGTAGAGCCAGAGCCTCGCTCAGATATATGTCCACAGGAAGTCTCACGCGTGAGGAGGCGGCGACCGCGAACGAGGCAGGGTGATAAGCGTGGTCGGTTGTCCTCCCGCGAACCCAGTGCTCGGGAAAGTCGTAGCCACTCGAGTTTGTGCTCGGTCCCGCTTCGTTACTATAGTGTAAGCAGCGCTGTCGACGCCACCGTCGCGCCAAAGGCGGGGCATCGCACTGGCAACCCCGCTCGCGTGGCTCGTGATCGCTGGTGTCAATGTGCAGCCTTGAGGGGCGGACGTTCCGAAGATGAGGCTGCACGCCGGAGAACCGCTCGGACGCGCGCTCAGGGGTGGAGGAGCAGGGTTCGCCCCAGACAGCGACGCCGCAGGGGCTGTTGGAAGCGGATTTGTGGTTGGGAGCGAAGCGGTCGAGCTTGGGGTTGCTTGTGGTATTGGAGTATCTAGATCCGTAGACCCAGATGCCGGCGTTACAGCTGGGCCAATCCCAGGCCCGCACTGTGGTACGGTGCGAGTAGCGTTTCCTCGTGCATCGTAATAGGTGACTATAGTTGTAGGCACGCACGTCGTGGTGACGGGTCCCAGAGCGCTCACGTAGTGGGTGGTATTCGCAGACACATAGCCACTGTATGAGTAGACCACTCCGTTGGTCTCTGTCGACAAGAACACTCCGCTGGGTAATTGAAGCGAAAGGGACGGTCCAACGTTTGAACTCGTTGTGGCATTGACGGCGGAGGACGGAGTATGAACACTAGCCACGGATGTCGTGCTCGTGTGCGGGCTGAGATTCGTTGCACCAGCAGTCGACACCATGCTTGAGCCGGAGGTCAGGCTATTCAGCCTTGTCTCGGTCGATGTGGCCAAGACTGTCACAGTAACTGTTGTCGTGGGCGAGTCTGTTAGCAAAGGAGATGTGGCATACACCGTGACTGTCGCCACAGGCAGGGACTCTCCCTTGACGGTTGAAGTTGCCGAAGGTGGACCTGATGAGAACATATTCGGGATGATTCGTGACGCTGTGGAATTCATCCACGCTGGCCAGGACTTGCTTGGACTGGGGGCACCATTTGTCCAGTCGCTCCACATAGGATTCGCCAGTGTAGTATTCAAACGCGGCGCCGTGGTAACACTTGTCACGTACAGTGTCGTCCTAAATCGTGTCGTGAGCGTCGTAGTAGTCTTACTAGGTCGAAATGAATCGGCAATAGCTGATGTGGCAAGCGAAATGGGACCCGAGGGAAGAGCTGAAGCAACAGTAGAGCTCGTGGAGGTGGGCAAGTCTGATCCTTGGGTGACGAAGGAGGTACTTGTAACATTCTCCCACAGTATCCCGGTGACTGTCGTCAAAGGCTGAGAGCTTGGGACCGAAGATGACTGGCCATCCGCAAAGGAAGGCATCGAGCTGGATGGAACCGCCCAAGAAGTGGTTGTGGGAGTTGAGACAATGTTCTGATATGTCATTGTCGATAGTCCTGGTCCGGTCAAGGGAGCCACGGAGACGACCACAGCAGCGTTCTGATTCGGACTGTCCACCTCAATATTGGAAGATTCGCCGAGCGCAAGCAGCAATGGCATCTCCAGCAGGACGGCTCGGGAGAGAAGCCTCGCAAGCGATCGACAGCGATTTGATGCCAGCATTTTCACACACAGTTTTGACTTGAGTTGATCAGAAGAATGAAATCTTTGGCCGGAAGTGGTAGAAGATATCTGTGAGAGACTCTGTTGAGCCGAATCAGTAGAAAGGACTCCTATACTTATTTCAGAAAGTGGCTGCGCTCTGAGGGGTTGATCAGTCCTTCCAGGGCATACTCCGATCTAAACAAGAAAGAGACAAAAAGGCAGCGGTCAGAAGAACGAATCCTTTATGGCATATCGCTAACGCACACGCACGGCACGTCCCAACGGCTGGTGACGAACAAACCGTTTCCCTGGTCACAAGAGTCAGCTCGTAACACTGCCAGGCCTCAAGTTTGGTGCAGAAGATAACCGCCAATGGGACCATCTGATGTTGAACGACTGTTTCATTGAAATTTGACGCTTCACTGAAGCCATATTGTCACTGTAAATGCGATCGGAGACTGATTTCCCGATCCTGAAAGCTGCATTTGCAGAAAGTCAAGGCTTCATATGAACAGAAGAAGCACGAGACAGAGCGTCCCCAGAATCGCGGACCAACTGGTGAGGTCCATTTGGTTTCCACCGCTTTGATATACGACCACAGTCCCCGGGCTTCCACCGCTACTTCCGCCGCCAGACTGTCCACATCCAGGGGGTCCTCCTTGATATGGGTCGCCGGGTGGTCCCCAGGTATAGTAGTACCCTGTCCATTGAGCGCAATCCACCCGAAAACCTTGGTCGTTCCAACAACATTGTCGTTTTTCGAGAGGGTTTGCCGACAAGGGCGCAATAGTGATAAGAGCTGATAATTGAAGGTGGGATCTAGTCGGAGTGACGGTCGACGTAGCTGTCCAGAATGTCGTAGGTACAACTGATGTGACGGTTTCGGTTAGTGTCGTGGTCGGGGCCAGCAGTTCTTCGGTCTGTCGCGGCAGTGGTGTGAGCGCGAAGCCGTGCACCATTTGAACAAAGAGAAGAAATGTGAACCACTCCATGTTGAATAGTTGAAAGTGCTGCGACTTGCAAAACGCCAGGGTGAAAGCTCGATCTTCAGGTTAAGAGGCAGAGGCAGAAGGAGCTCCGCCAGCCAAGCTCTCGACACTTGCAAAATTTAAGGTGCATGGGCCTGTGGCAATGCGGTGACTTGATTTGTGTGACCCCAAGAACTTCTTCGGGCAGCAATTGAGAATCAGGCCATTCAATAGAGTTTCCTGTTCCTGGTACCTGCTGCTGCATGGCTGATGTCGGTGAGCGCAAGGCGGCCAAGCGTGGCCACGGCTGATTGGCTGCCTTGGAAGCGATTGAGTCCGCCCAATGCTGCACCTAACAGGCCACTGTCGGCTTCACATTGGTCGAAGGGAGGTGACCAGAAACTTGGGAGAGTGAAGAATGTGATATGCTGCCGTCCAGAATGCAGAAACCGAGAAGCTGCTCGAAGTCTTCCTCTTCCTGCATCAGGTTTGCATGCACCATGCTCGCTGTTGGTCTCCACTTGCTCTAGAACAAACAGCCGATTCTGGTGTGACGTTGTTCTCTGGTAAATGGGCCCGTAAACCCTTGAACTCGCAGCTTGAACTATGCTTCCTCTTCGGTTGGTGCCCCTCGTGTCAATAACATCTTTCGCTCAATCGTTGCCCTGAGCTTGTGGCAGGGCATCAGCGACCAGTGAATCACCTAGGATCTCCAATGTTCTTTTGTATATCCTCGATAGTCCAAGCGATATGGACATGTTCTGCGGTTGATCGTCCTCCTCCTCTGTATCCTTGTCCTCGTCCTCTGTCTCCGTCTCGGAAAGATCGTGTGTGTGCGTATCGTGACCACTCTCCGAAGCTGCGTTCACAGCCGCGACCCGGGTCTCCTCGATCAGCGACTTGATGCGAACCTTTTCCGTCATTGAGACGTGGTAGGGCATGGTGGTTGCGGCGGTGCCGTTCTCCGAGGGCTGTAATAGAGTCGCAAAGCCCTGATCAATCTTGCTCGTGAGAGGAAACACCGAGGTCGAGAAGGGGAAAGCCTCAAGATAGGAACAAGCCAGTCCGGCGAGAGACAGGAGGTAGGGAATCTGGATGGTTGGCGTGCCACTGATCCACACTACATCCACGAGAGGATCAACATCGGCCACAAACTCGTCGTAGGTCGTGTAGCCGGGTGTGTCATCTTTCTCGAGCCCCTCGTGACTGAACTTTTTGGCATATCTCCGTGTGATCTTCAAAATGCGATCGTCCAAGTAGTTGATCAGGGCAATCTCTTTCTGCGACCCAGGCTGCAGACGGTGCGAACGCGGGGTTGGGAGAGCAGATGTTCGGTTCCCTGTCGAGGCGGTGCTCGTGGCAGGAGAGGCTGCGGAAGCAGGGGGAGTTGGTAGAGGATGATTCTGTGAACGATCCATTCTCGTAGGGAACAGGGTCGTCATCACCATCAGGTTGTGATTGGTTTCAAAGTACAGGTTGTCTCAGGTTAAATAGGATGTCGATAGCCATGGCAGACGTGAAACCACCCTCTTGGATGTCAAGAGTCTCAACCGTGAGCTATATACTCTCCAGACACAGGAAAACAGGGAAAAGATGGAATTGTGAAGCCAACAGAACTGCAGATAGTCAGGCCACCGCGGTCAGAGGACCTTGTCGTCCTTCCTCGGCGGCGGCGGCGGCGAGCGGCGCCTTTTCAAATGACGCAACAAAAGACACAGCAACAACACCGACTTTGCTGGGTCCGCGGACAGATTGAGTTCCTCATCAGCTCACCATTGTCCAGCAACGTTGAAAATTTGCTAGGTACATCGACAGCGGATGACCCGAGAGCCCCCCTTGATGAGGTCACATTTACAGGGCATCATGCAGCTTCTATGCCTGTCGCGAGGAAACAAGAACCTCTACAAACATTGTCCCGAAACACCGAAGCCCATGATTTAACCTCCGTGCCTCTGCCCAAAGATCAAGGCGAGGGGCTGTTGTGTGTCCAGCGAGCCCGGTACAAGCTGAATGTGCTTATAGGCTATGTCGTTCCTCTCCTCGACAGGGTCTCCACCTCATCCCTCACCTCAACGCTTACATTGTAGGTAATAGCAAAAAAAGAAGTCAGAGAATAGTCCCTATATTGAAGTGAGGGCTCTCCAGAATGTCCTCTCAGCAGGACAGCGGCGCTTCCAGATACATCGTAGACTCCCACATCCACCTCTACGCAGCATCGCACATCCCGTCGCTGAACTGGACCGGCGACCTCGCAGCAGACCATCCACTGAACCGACAGTACTCCCTCGACGAGTATCGCGGCGCCACCCGGGACCGATCCCAAGAGCTCCGCGGCTTCGTCTTCCTCGAGACAGACCGCAAATCAGGGCTGCGAGATACGCAATGGCAGGACGCTCTCGAGGAAGTGGACTTTCTGTTCAGGATCGCCCGAGGCAGCCCGCGAGAAGGCGAAGGCCACCGACCAGAAGACGGCGGGCTGGTCCTGGGGATCGTGCCGTGGGCTCCAGTGCCAGCCGGTGCAACAGCGCTCGCGAAATACGTTGGACAAGTCCAAGAGCGCGCGGGCGAGGAGTGGCCTCTCGTCAAGGGATTTCGGTATCTCGTCCAGGATAAGCCCGCCGGGGTGATGCTCCAGGAACAGTTCATTGAAGGGCTGCAATGGCTGGGCGGTCACGGTCTCACGTTCGACCTGGGCGTCGACGCCCGGTCCGGCGGGATACACCAGCTCCAGGAAGCATGCACGATGATGGAGCGAGTCTATGCCGGCGGGAACGGCCTGAGAATCATCATCAACCATTTCTGCAAGCCGAACCTGCGGCTGTCTGCTCGCGAAGCCCTCGCGAACGGCGGCCACCCGGACTTTACGGAATGGAAAGACTGCATCGAGCAGATGGGCCGACACGAGTCAACCTACATGAAACTCTCGGGCTTTTTTTCAGAGCTGCCGGAGCAAGACGAAAGCAGTCCTCCAGATGTCGCGGCTCTTGTCGAGCGCACGAAGCCCTGGGTCGACGTCGTCTTCAAAGCCTTCGGCCCTTCGAGGATAATGTTCGGCTCCGACTGGCCGGTGTGCAATGTCGGCGGTCCCGGCGTGGTCAAATCATGGAGTCACTGGCACGAGCTGGTGGAAGCGATACTCGCCTCGCAGGAGTTAACAGCCGACGAGCAAGCACAGATCTGGTCTGGCACGGCAGTCAAAGCATACGGTATCAATTTACCCGTTTCATAAAGTCACCCTGAGCCCCTATTTTTCACCCTCTGTAAGAAATGCGTACATGTGCGTCCACACATAAACAACACCCATATATCAATTCATGATGTCCCGCCACCACCTTCACTGAAAATTCACAAACGCCCCTCCATCCACCAAGATGGCCGCGCCAGTGACATAGCCGCTCAACTCGGGCTGGGCGAGGAAGAGGGCGGGCCCGGCCAGATCGTCGGGCTGGCCCAGGCGGCCGAGGGGGATGCGGCCCTCCATGTAGGCCTTCTTGTCGCTGCCGTCCCGGAGGTCGTCGTCGTTGAGCTGGGTGCGGATCGTGCCGGGGAGCAGGGCGTTGCAGCGGATGCCGTACTTGCCCAGCGCGGCGGCGGCGGACTGCATGAGGCTGAGGACGCCGGCCTTGGTGGGCGTGTAGTGGCACTGCTGGGCGCCGCCGACGAGGGCCGAGATGGACGAGACGCCGACGATGCTCCCGCCCCGCCGCGGCTCCTCCTGGCGCGCCATCTGCCGCGCCGCGGCCTGCACGGCGTAGAAGGCGCCCGACAGGTTCGTGTCGACGTGCCGCCGGTAGCTCGCCGGGGCGATCTCGAGGAACTCCTCGAACTGGCAGATGCCCGCGTTGGAGACGAACGTGTCGAGCCGCCCGAACCGCGCCACCGTCTGCGCCACCAGCTCCGGCCCCGTCTCCGGCAGCGAGATGTCGCCCGGCACCGTCAGCAGGGGCACATCTTGGAGGTCGTGCACGGCCGCTGCCGCCGCTGTCGACGAGGAAGATAATTGTTGGGGGGAGCGCGATTTGATGGCGTCAAATGCCTCGGTGCGCAGCGACGTCAGGAGATCCTCTTCGTCTTTGTTGTGCGACGGCAGGTAGTTGATGGCGACTTTGGCGCCGTGGGACAGGAACAGGATGGCCATGGCTCGTCCGATCCCCGTCAATCCCCCGGTTATTGCGCAGACTTGGCCGACGAGAAGGGGCGGGAGCGCCATTGTGGTCCTTCGTGATATGGTGTTGTGCAGGATAGTGTGATATTGGTGTGATATCCTATCCTAGGCGTGGATGAGTCGAATGCGTCCGAGATATATTGGATTTCTCACACTGTGTAGCGATCTAGTGTGGATAGATAATCGTCAGGCTTGATACCACGTAGACAAGGTCTGATGGCGATGATGATATGCATATGTTCGAATCACTTACAATGCTTGGATATGTATATATGTAAGTATATGGTTAGGAGACGTCCCACCGAGATTGGATCTACTCGGGACGGACGCAATTAATCACCAAGATGTGGATCTTTTGGCTTTTGTTGTCTGTGTGTCTCTTTGCCTTTGCTCCAGAGTTCGTCGAGTATTCGTCCGGGGCCTTCTCTAGACTCGTGCGAGGAGCCAGACTCTGCTGCATTGGTTGATGGAGAGACGAGGTGGCAATGGGGATGGTGGGAAGAAGTTGCCGCTCTCGGGTGAACATCGCACCGTCGACACCGAGCTGGTCTTGTCCCTCATTCTGCCCCTCTACGTCCTTCCACCACCGAGTCGAGCAACGAACAAACCACGACTTGGGTCCTCTTGCTGATGCTTCCAATCCGCCTTTGTTCCCTATCTCCTGACCGCCATGGCGTCATTCGACTGCAACTATGCCCTCCCGGACCACCAGCGTCTTGATGGGCAGACGATCTTGTCTTTGCACTTGTCCGAAAGAGCTCTCAGAGTCTCAGCTGTGACCAGTTGTCACAGACCAGAGGACTGTTTAGAGCTCCATAATCTCTGTCGTGTTCACCGGGTGTGCATCCGTAAAGCTGACAGAGAACTTCACATTCACCAAGGTTGGTGAGGAAGACTGACCTTGCAGAACAGATATCTCGACAACATGAGGGATGTGCTTTGGACCGGAGAATAGATTGCGTTTCACGTGTGGATGGTGCGAGTAAGAAGCAGTGGGGGAAAGGAGACGTAGTTGATGCATATCCAAAGAAAGCTTTCTTGTTTCTGTACCTCTGTCCAAGAACCAGGTATCAAGTTGAAGAGGAGAATTGCCCATGTCAAATTCCCAGGCTCTTACCAGTGTTGGACAACATCGACACCGTTGCCCACCCTACCCATGTCCAACACGTTCTGGCACAAGCATCGGTAGGAAGTAAGCCCATCGGAAAGACCAGGGACAAACGGTCAGACCATTTCGATATTCGAGTTCTTCCGACGGCCCAAAGTTCTGCCTCTGGGTCGCCATCAGAGTGAGCATTACCTTGGCAAGTTCTAGCAAATCCCCCTGTGTGTCTTGCCGGAACTGGAACTATCAAAACGCAAGTTGGCGGTTGATCTCACAAAGGGCGAACTCTCGTTTTGGTGAACGCTTTCCACGAATCGCTGAAGAGGTACAGTCCTCAGGACACCAAGTGCCGAAAATGTTTGACCAGTTTTCCATCAGCCTCACAACGCTTATGTTCATTCATTCGTCTGCAGGAATGGCGGCAACTGGTAGCGTCCGTATCCCCAATCGCAGCTGCGAATCTGCTTGTCCATTGGACCGTGGCATCCACGTCTTCGGCCAAGAACCATCTTCAGGAGCTGGCGGGGTTTCTTGCTGAGAGACCCGTTGCAGTGGTCTTTTGACGAGCCAAGGTCAGAGGGAGGACAGTCCGAGTATACCGCCCCATGAGAGAATCGCCCCTGGGATGGACATGAGCCATAGAACCGAGAAAGATGGAGCACGTAGGTACAAAGGATTTGGGCTTGCCGTGGCCCTTGCGCACCCAGATGACAAACCGCCGAGGCCCTCCAGGCTGGAGCGGAAGTAGCAGCAGTAGCCGACCCCAGATCAGGGCATTTGCATGCTTGAAAGTCGCATGACTCGATCTTTTTGACCACGTACCTGCGCTGCTGACCGTACCATAGCCAGCATGAGCGAGATAGGATTTTGGCCGGTCAAGCGAAAATATCATCTCGCTCATGCTGGCTATAATCTTGAGCCACAGCCACTACCTGGAAAGGCTGGGAGCAAGGAGGATCGGAAACCCCCAAGAGCCGAGGGATCGATTTAGTCTGGAAACATTCCAGTACAAGCAAATGTACATGCGGTACTGGGTCCAGCGGTGCAAGGTACCTCCGAATCCTGCTTCCTTTAGCGAGCACGGGAAATCAGGATCCCTGCCTAGGCTCAACCACTGCGGCTGAAGAGAGGGGAGCTGTGGCTTTTCTGAGCACTATTTTCCGCCCCCATCTGCTGCATCTTGATTTGGAAAAGCTGCGAGCACTTTGATCGCAACTTTTGCGCTCCGTCGTCGTTGCACTTCGGATCTTACTCTCTGTCTGGCGTAGTATCACTTGTCCAGTGCCATGTAGCGCCGTCCGAGGCTGCAGTAATATCCGGTGGATTGGATGCACCAGTAGTGGACATGGTCATAGCCGTGAGAGTCCAGCAGTGATTGATTCAAGCAAACGGCGAGTGGCACGGGCTTCGCCAAGTTGGCTGCTCTTTTATGCATTACTCCCGACTCGGGGAATGTAAGTGTGTCGACTCGAGTCCATGGGCGACGACGGCCGTAATGTGCGTCATCCGCCGTCTTGCGTAGGCCTATGCAGAGACACAAGGGGGACGGGGAGGAAACGTGCAGTGTGTGGCCCGCTCCGAGGAATCATCGACGTGATCAGTGCCTGTTTCGTGGCCTTTTGGCAGCCCTGTCCTGTCGTGCCCTCGTCCCTCGGCGCCTTTGCGGTGTGCGAAGATCAGATCCCGTGCTCCGTACAGGGCGAAAACCCGTCAAAAATTCCAAGCCCTGCCACTGTGTCGTGACTGCTTCAGGCCGAATCTGGGCTTAGGAAGCCTTGCTTGCTGCCTGTCCCCGAGTCGGCAACGGGACAGACAGATATCTAAAAGTAAAGAGGCCGTGGTGGTGGATTTGGTTGCCTGATGATTCTTTGCCTGTTTCGGGCATCCCCGGCCCAAAAAGATGTGCCAGACATCTCTGATACCAACTAATATCTCCGGTCCTCCGATTGACAGCTCCCGCTGGAGAGTAATACATATATCATATAGATGACTTAATCCCAAAATACACCTATCCGCAGTCGCTGTCGTAGACTTCATGCTCGTAGTAATCATTGTGGCTACGCCCATGCAAGCTTCCCTAATGCTCTGCATAAGGGAAAACCCCAACACCAAAACAAGATCACAGATCTCCAGGAAAGTACCCGGAAATAGCGCCCTTGGTTTCCTTTTCATCCGGTGAGATGTACATACTAGGAGACGCCTGCGCCTCGTGGCCCATACGCTCCGGCCCTGATGCCCCTGCGACACCGGGTCGCCGACCCGGACCTCGCGCCCTCGAAAAAAAAAAAGAAGAGTAGACTGTGACGTGTGTCGAGCGTAGGCATGGCGTAAGGTCGTCAAGTTCATCGAGTATGGATTCTCAAATAGCCATTTGAAGTGCGCCCTTTTCTGCCAATCGAAAATGCTGCATCATGCCGAGAGCTCCAGTATTTGTCATCCTCGCCGACATTGACTTTTTGCCACGAGCTCCCCAATGGGTTCGATGTTTGAGGCTCATCATTGAAGTCTCGGTTCAGCACAAACAGAAAGCTCGACCGCTTGTGGCCGCCCATTGTAAAAGAAAGCAACACATGATGGGTCATCAGTATCGACCTGCGACCGATGTAGAAAGCGAATGACATGGACATCCAGTTCAGGTGTATCTGCTCACTGGCCGGGTAGCGGAAAAGGAGTTCGTTTATACGTCCGGTCCACCGAGAGCAGAAACCGCTCGGGAAAGCTTTTTGCAGCGGGCTCAGGAGAATGGGTCCAACCTGAAAGAACTCGATGTTTTCACCGGCGGCCAGACGTTGAAGAATAGCCGCCGCTGGAGTACCCAGAATCGTGCCATGGACGACCACCCGAGGGTTTAGAGTTGGATGGCGATGATGATGATGATGATGATGATGACGATGCTTGGTCCGGACGCCTCTTCGCCGAATGATTTGGGCAGGCAAATCCGACCAGCACCGTCTTCTCGGTAGTAGAATGACCTCGTTGACCATATCGCTGGCACGGGTCAACCGAGTGCTTGTGATATAGACAGCGGCACACCGCGTATCTTTCGACGATCTGATAGCACATGTTTGCTCTGGTCGTGAAATAGGTGCAGGAATACTTGTACAACGGAGAGAGGTTGCGGAAAGGAGCAAAAACTGTTGCGGACAAAATCACTTGAGTCAGGAAAAGAGAAGTTGAAATATGTGCAGGAACGATTGAATACACAATGGTGAGGTGAAGTAGGCAACTGGTGCTTCCAGAGTCTTATATCATGGAAGTCATAACGGTAGCCTTAGGAAGCAACCAATCAGTCGACCGATGCAGTTAGGCGGGGAAAATAGGGAAGTAGCGACCCATGGAGTCATGTGTCGAGGGCCAAAATTGGTCCAATAGGATGACGGGAAGACGTGAATGCTCTGGAAGATGAGAAGTATTCTGCGTAGTCGGTATGGAAACGAACAGGATTCTGCATTTCTGGGTTGGAAGGGCGAAGAGCCAACCAACCCCCTGGTCGGCCACGTTTTGAGAATAGAACCGGTACCAATAGCAAGGTCGAGACGAACGATGTCGACCAAATAAGAATCCGGCCTGATTTCGAGGACTAAGCCCAGTGATGGCGGCGCAGGGAGGTTGGCATCGAACTCGGAAGATGAGGGGGGGCAACGCTGAGCAGAGCGGAATGGTGTTGTTTGCGTAGTTGGGACGAGGGGGGACGAGGGAATTTGGGTCCAAAACGTGGTGGTTGATCGATCACCACGCACACGAGATGGAACGTTTGTTTGATGCAGGAAACAGCAGCTATCCGCGTGCCGAGAGAGCGGGACTCACGTCGTCACCTACCCTGTCATGAACGCAGCCCGACGCAGTGGTCCCACGAAAGTTGCGGGTTTTTTCTCGATGCAGCATCTGGAGTGTGTTGCTGATTGGGATGGGTCTGAGGCTGAAAGAAGCTTGCACAGATTAGGCGTAGGGCGGGCGGTGCTGAGAGGTGGTTCTTTCACGACACGACCCAAGACTGAGGGTCTGCCTAGCAGCTAGCAGCCTGAAGCTCTTCATCCGGCCCAAAGAGATATCGAATGACGGCGGGAGGAGAACACTAGGAGCCAGGCCGATGGATGAGGGAGTCATTGTGTCAGTGGAACGGAACAGAGCAGAAAGGCCATCTGTGAGTGGGCATTGGCAGGGCAGAAGGGGGGCGGAAGACTGGGGGGGGACCTTGGGCCAAGGTACCTGCGTAGCCCTGAGCAAGTCTCGGGGAGGAAGACGTGACTTGCTTCGCTGAAGATGCTGCATGGACAAGGGACATGGGGGCATCATTTTGCCACATTGGGGGAGAGATCGAAGAGAATAAGGTCAGCAACTCAGTCAGAGCGATACAGAAAGAGGATAAGAATAAGAGACGGGCGATGACTGATGGTAAGGAACGAGGATGGGATGATGACACGCGGGCGGAAGTGAGAGAGACGATTATTCTGGCGCAGTGCGGTCATGTGATGTCACCTGACCGTCTCGGCAATCCGGAGTTATGAGTAGTACGTCATGACGCTAGTATGATTGCACGTCTAGTGGCGCTCCTAACAGCTGCTAGTGTGCACTAAAGTACTTTAGCAAGGGGCAATAGCACTACCTCGGGAGTACAAAGTACTTGTGCACCACAAAACTCTATCAAAGGGAAAGTGGAAGCGAACCGGAGCGACAAAGAAAGGAACACAGTGTCATCCCTCTCATCCTCGCTCATCCTTCCATCTCACCCTCGCTCCCCTGGCATCGCCTTGGACAAACAAATCCTTAGGGCTGAGCAATATTACAAAGTAGTTTTAAACACTCATGAGATCTGCTCTCACCCCCCCGCCATCTCGTCCCGTTGGTCGGCTCGTAATCTGATGGTTTCGGGGAACCTCTCAAGGCACGTCTAAGGTCACACATAACCGTGGCCATACCCTCATCCTCACCCTATATCGCAAGGCATGCTCTTTTGTTCATCATTACGACTACTGGGTACTGGCTTTCTCCTGGGTCCTGGCCCCGACTCAACCTATCCCCTTCCGAGGCCTCTTTGCGTCGCCCGATCGGGTATCGGGTAAGGCTGACTCGATTCAAAACCTCACCATAACAACGGGTACAAAAATACTATGGGCAGTGTCACGTTGTTCCCCTTCCCCCACCCCCGTCCTTGCTGACACCATCACACATTCGCTCAGTGCTGTTATTCCAGTCCACTGCAAACAAAGGCCTGTCTCATGGCCGTCGGGAACTTGTCATCCCGAACGTGTTGCCCCCTCGAAGGTGTGGTTTCGGTTTTGCCTCCCACCAGCCCTAAGGCTTGGGACCAGATTCCAAATCCTCGAGATGAGGCAATGAGAGCGGAATTGTCTTTCCTGACAAATCTGCGACTGGAGAAATGCCGTCTGGGGCCTCTCGGTTGGGCAAACCCACCCAGCCCCGGTCATATCATGGCACGTCACAGCACACGCAAACTTTGCCTCTCCGCCAATTCATGGCATTAATTTGTATGGAAGAGCCAATCAGCTTCCGGGTTAGGGACTGCAAAGTTCGGGATCATTCCAGCGTTCATCGCCGCAAGATCCGGGGGCGCAGCTTGGCCCAGGCCCTGTGCGCTTCCATTTTCCACCCCCTCCTGAGTCATGGGGACTCGGGGGAAGTTGAAAAGGTCAAAGACGTCGAGATACTCGAGTTCGTTGGGGGCTGGAGTGTTTGCTCGTGTCGGGTGGTATGATTTCACGGCCGCAGCGTGCGGCTGGCGGGAGATGAGAAAGTCGAGATCGTAGGCACATCTGTTTCAATGAACTTAGCCTGCATCCAATCACATTCCAGAATCACCTTACCGGCGCATGTCGGCGAGGATTTTGACCGTCGACGGAGTCACCCTCTCCCCTGTCACTCCACTGGTTCGCTGCGACTGACGATACTCCCCTAGAACCCGGCTCAGGATTTCGCTGTACCGTTTGGCAACAAGCCAATTCTCCCCCATCTCGGCGAGGGTCGTCACGAAGAAGTCAATGTCGGGGTCCACTTCGTGATCCATGGTTGATCCGTGCACCAACATGACCCGTGCCCCGACCCAGATGGCAAAGGCAAATGGGGGCCCAAGGCGGTCCAGCAGGCCACTGAGCTTGACAAAACGACAGAGCTGACGCAAGTTCTCGACGGCGGATAAACACCGCTGCATGGCGCTATAGGATGAAGAGAAGATCGGCGAACTCTGGCTGGGGTATGCCGCCGAAGAGTTCAAGCGAATGACTGTCAGACAATACGCCGCATGCAGCATGATCCAGCCACAATTTGTATTTTTAGCCGGCACGTTGGATTTTAGGAGCCGAGTGATGTTGGCGAACTCGTCAGGCAGACTGAAGTGCCACGCGTTTAGATCGCTGTCGAGGGCTCGGTACGAGCCTTGCCACTGCTCCACGTCGGTCAACGAGCCAATGTCCACGGGCCGTTTCAGAAACTGGTGGATATGGCCCAGAATAGCCATGAGCTCACAATGATAGGAGAAATGTCCATGGGTGTCGGCCATCCCTGTGGCATATCGAGGGCGCTCTGGCGGCCGAAACCACCTCGTCTCGACAGGCTTGTTCGCCGCGAACAGGTCGTCTCTGCAAGGCAGACGCCGGTCAACCTCTTTCTCGTCCAGCGCGAACTCGAATGCCGTAGCAATGGTGGCGTATCGATCAAGCAGGTAAACTGCCCAGAAGAGCCTACGTCGCTCTTCATCCTCGATCCAGGATTTGGGCTCGGGCAGAACAGAAGCCCTGAGGGTTGCGATGGAAGGATACATAGGTGAGGCAAGCGCAGAGCCTGATTCTACCGCAAGCCCTAGTTGTACCATGCTTCTACTGATCAGCGCAAGAAGATTCCATGCCGGAGGACCATTCGTCGACCCTGTCACATCCAACGCCAGAATGACGAGTGCTTGCAGAGCTCGCACATTCGAATTTTCCAATCCGAACAACTGAACACGTTGCTTAGAGGTGTCATGATAGTGCTGGCGGCCTTCCGGGGTTAACCGAGGATCCTGCGAGAAGCGTAGCGTAGTTGCTACGATGGCATGCAGCAGCACTCTGTCGGCTTCGTCGAGGGTCGAGGCTCCAAACAATGTGTCTAGAGTGGTTTTTCGGTCCAGCAAGGGCAGCCATATATTGATGTGCTTGAAATAGAGATCCACCAAGGCATATAGGAGGTCATACGGAGGAAGCATAGCCGAATACTCATTGTACATTTGGGCGCCTTGATATCCTGTTGTGGAATGAGGTGAGGTGAGTGCATGCGACTGAGCAGAGGGAGTGTAGTGGCTCTGCTGCGCCATTTGCTGGTCTGGAGCTCCCTGCTGATACTGTAGAGAGCCATGTCGCGAGGTGGAAGCATGCAAGTTGGGATCGATCATCTGTTGCTGGAGCTCCCCGGCGACATTGATCCCCTGCGCATCGTACGAAGCCCGTGACCGGCCGACGTCGGGACCTAAGCCTTGCACACTGTGCCTGTTGCTGGCAGAGCCGACACCGGCGTCAATGGTGCATGCTTCTGCGAGATGGGCGGCCAACTGGCGGCCTTGTTCATTCAACAGAGCCTCGAGGCGATCCAGTCTGCCCTCGAGCTCCCTACCATAACCGGCGCGAAGGCCGGGCTTCTTCCGCTCCTTGTATTCACAGGGATGATCATTGCGAGAGCACCACCCACAGGCAGGCTGGGCACGGTCGCATTTCACTTTTCGTTGCTGCTCCACCAAGTCAGTCAAACGCGATTGAATATTCCCGGACGCTTATTCAGACGGACCTTACAGGCTTCGCAGCTGTCGAACTCGGACATTAGTGAGGACGCGCATGACTATGGGACGATACGATGAAAAGGGAAATGCAATGGAGCAAAGTGGGAATGGACAGCACGTACGTGACGTTCATGGGCCTCTTGCGCTTTTTGGAGCCATCTCGGTCGTCGTCCATGCCCGAGTCAGAGTCGGATGGGGTGTTGGACGATGCGCCCAGGGTGCCCACAGAGCCCAGGGCGGTGGACGACACGTGGACATGGCCATTGCTCCCGGGATGATGGTCATAGAGCTCGAGCTTCGTCGCGTTCATGATGATCTGCTAGCAGCTGTGCGATGGTCTTCTGGCTGCCCGTCACCTGTGTGGCACTGGCGGCATTGCCCCGTACACCGAGTTTGTCGGTTGAGAAGAGGCCGAGAATGGAGAAAAAGGTTGAAGCAAAACCAGAATGAAAAAGCTGGGGAAACAAAGTCAGCAAAACATTGGCGCCGCATCACTCCACCGCAGTTTGGGTGGCGGGCTGCGAGTGGTGTCAGACAAAAAGAGTGACTGGTTACGACACAAAGCCAGATCGCAGGTTGGCACTGTAGATTGATTGACAGACAGAATCAAATGACCACCCCTACCCCGCTATGCCGCAAAACAGCGACCAGCACCGCTGTCTGCGCCCTGCTTCCCTTCCACCTCCTCCATCTCGTCTACCCTCAGATGTGCTCGGTGATGGCTGCTCGTCCGGCACAACTCGGCTAATGCACACAATGCACTGAGAGATCCGCCTTCTCGTCACATCCACATCCAACGGCTAAAATCAGAACCCTCTTCCGCCCCCTGCATGCTGTCACTAGGCGAGCGTGGCAAGTCCATCATTGCTCCGAGCCCGGCTGAAGCTGTCCCGATCAGCGAAATCCAGTCCTCCAAGTGACTTCGCTGGTGCTATTTTCTCTTATTTGTGCATTTCAACCCCTCTAGGACAGACCATGGCTGATTGTCTGCCGCTGTTATTTCCTCCTTTACTCTCCGCAAGCTTCCTACTGTCTCTCCTGCATCGTTTCCCTCCCTGACGAAGCGTCCCGAACCAAACTCGGGAAATACAGCAACCCCCTCAAGATCCCTCCATGGCTGGGGTCAAGTCCTTTCCCACTATCAAAGCCATCCGAACCTTCGTCATTGAAGGTGTGGGCTCCGGCGGCGACTATCACAATGTCAAAGGCGGGCACTGGCTGATTGACAACAAAATCGCAACACCCATGTCCAAATGGGATCGATATCGAACCTCCCGGACCTCCTTTGGCATCAATGTACTTGGTTCCTTCTGTGTCGAGATCGAAGCCACCGATGGCACCAAAGGCTTCGCCACAGGCTTTGGTGGACCGCCGGGCTGTTGGCTCGTCCAACAACACTTCGAACGATTTCTTCTGGGACGAGATCCGCGAGACGTGAACGATCTGTACGAGCTCATGTACAAGGGCTCCCTGTTCTACGGGCGTAAAGGTCTGCCAGTGGCCGTCATCTCGGTGATTGACCTGGCTTTGTGGGACCTTTTGGGCAAGATTAGGAACGAGCCAGTCTACAAAATGATCGGTGGTGCTACAAGAGACAGACTTCATTTCTATTGCACTGGTCCCGAGCCCGCAGCTGCACAAAAAATGGGCTTCATTGCGGGCAAGGTGCCCCTGCCCTACAGCGCCGACGAACCAGATAGCATCAAAAAGAACATTGCGTTTCTGAAGAAGCATAGAGACACAGTCGGCCCTGATTTCCCCTTGAGAGTTGATTGCTGGATGTCCTTGAATGTTCCCTACACAATTGAACTCGTGTCAGAGGCCAAGAGACAAGACATCAAAATAGATTGGTGGGAGGAAGTCCTGTCGCCAGATGACTTTGATGGCTTCCAACTGTTAAAGCGCGCACATCCAGACACCAAGTTCACGACAGGGGTAAGTATTCTTTGCTCAACAGCGCCTCGTACTCCCTGGGCTAACTCACTCTCAGGAACACGAATACTCGCGCTATGGATTTCGCAAACTTGTCGAAGGCCGCAATATCGACATCATTCAACCCGACGTGATGTGGCTTGGTGGCCTGACGGAACTTCTCAAGGTTTCTTCAATGGCCGCGGCTTACGATATCCCGGTGATCCCCCATGCCTCCGGTCCTTACTCATACCATTTTGTCGTCAGCCAGCACAACTCTCCTTTCCAAGAGTATCTAGCGAACAGCCCGGATGGGAAGAGTGTTTTACCCGTCTTCGGCGACCTGTTTCTGAACGAGCCGATCCCCACAAAGGGTTACTTGGATGTTAGCGAATTGGACAAGCCTGGATTCGGGCTCGAATTGAATCCCAATGCGCGCTTGATCGATGCCACAAATCTGCTGGGCATGAAGCCGCAGAAGTCGCTGACAATGCCAGTCGACAAAGAACAGGTCAAGATCAACGGATCTCATGCTAACGGCGATCATGGTCACGAACAGGCCAATGGATCGATGGTGGGGGACCATGTTGCTTGAAAAGATGCTAGATCCAGGTGTGGCAAGTGCGTCTTTTGGTCGCAATGGGGCATTTTCGGGCATCTGCACGTCTCTAAGGATTCCCCTTGAATGCTGTCGCATATACATATATCCATATATATATCTCTCTCTCCAATTGCATGTCAACCCTTTCTTTCGCCTGGCCGACTGCCTCCCGCCAAGGGGAGCACATGTCTTGACTCTTCCCGGCCTTGCGTTCCGCTCAAGGCTACCGACCTGCGCTTACCCAAGATAAGCAGGCCATGATGGATGGTGCATCTGCATTGCATGACCCCACAAGTGCCCATCTGTCAACCCCAGAATGTTCAATGCATTCATCAACTCCAACTCCACCACATCAGGGTCATGCGCGGCAGTTGGGGTTCCTGAGGCCAGCTCCATACCATCCACATAATGACCAGAATATAATTGTCGGGCCCCCCAAGACGGCATTACGGCAATATGGTGTATGCCGGCCATATTCGATATATTCGTCTCCAGTCATCTGGCACCGGAGTTAACCTTGCTAGTATCTGCTTACTGGCGTTGTCAACGTTGACTGGACATAGAGCCCTTTATCTTGCCATACTGGTTGAAGATTAGACTCCATTGGAATATACCCAAGATCTCGAACACTCGATACCCGTCAAGCGGTCTCTGAAGCATAATCACTATTTCACAAGGGTGCAATGACTAGCTTAAGCATGGAGGTCGATATCGCGCCATACGAACCGCGAAGCGTACTAGAAACGCTCCCATGCAGTTTGCCCATATCACATTTCCAAACCGACACTGACTTTGAAAGTATCGCCACTCCAATCGTACAATCGCTGGGAGACCTCGCGCCAGAAAGCCTCTCTTCGACATCAATATGGCGCGACGTCTTCGCCCTGACTGGCACTATGCGAACATTTTACTCACCCGACTCTATCGCGAAGGCTTGGACTGAAACGTGTGCGTCCAGACAGGCGTGCGATTTTGCCCCCATCGAGACTTCGGCAAAACCAACGCGCCTGGACAATGATATTGGGTGGGTGAATGTTTCCTTCACATTTCGCAATCGTGGAAGCCCTGCTTCTACCTGCAGAGGATTTCTGTCCCTTGTTCTAGAAGATGGACACTGGAGGATCTGGCTCATCAGGACTGTCCTGGAGCAGTTAGAGGGTTGTGAGGATGTCGACATCCTTCCAGCTGTCCAAGCAATGCCAAACGGAGTGAATGGGAATCATGTCCAGACGAACAGCACGAACGGGAGCCATATTGCGACGAATGGGGCCAACAACTCTCCCAATCACTTCGACTGTGTCATCGTAGGAGCTGGTCAAGCAGGTCTAGGCTCGGCAGGACGGCTCCAATCCCTGGGGATCTCCTACGTGGTGCTCGACAAGAATGCCCAAATCGGCGACAATTGGATGACCCGGTACGATTCCGCGAGGCTACACACTGCCCGCGAGTACAACCACTTACCCTTCGACCGGACATTTCCTCTGCCATACCAAGAATTCCTCACCAAATACGACCTGGCGAGAGGATATAAGGACTGGGTCGAGAAGTTTGGAATCGACAAGCACATCTGGTTCAACGCGACTCTCGAATCAGGATCATGGGACGAAGGACGCAGGACGTGGACATTGCTCGTCCATCGTGCAGACGGTTCAACTCAGAGCCTCACCTGTCGACACGTCGTCATGGCCACCGGTGGAGGAGGACAGATTCCCATTATGCCACAATACCCCGGCCGCGAAGTCTTCCAAGGCACAGTCCTGCATTCGGCAGAGTACAAATCCGCCGAACCCTGGCGCGGCAAGGCCGGCATTGTGATCGGCACGGCAAACACGGCTCACGATGTCGCCGAGGACATGGTGGAAGCAGGGCTCTCACAGGTCACCATGGTGCAGCGTTCCCGCACTTACGTGTTGCCGTGCGAATACTTCAAAGTGATTTCGGATCGGTCGTACAACGCAGATGTCCCCACGGTCGATGCTGACCGAGAGCAGTATTCGGTAAGGACGCTTGCCCTTTTTGAGAGATTGTCTCGTTCTGCACAGGGGCCCGATGCCTGCTCACTACACAGGCTGACTCGCATTTGCAGATGCCGTACGCACTAACGAGGCTACTGAGTCGGAAAGCATTGCATGGGATGGCGGCCAAAGAGCCCGAACGCTTTGACGCCCTAGAGCGCGCTGGGTTCAGAGTCGAGAGATATGGCGATATCATGTGGCATATCTGCGAGAAGTTAGGTGGTAAGTCACTGTCTTGCAAGCCTAGCCCGTGCTCAGACCGCCGAGGAGACGAGATAATCCTTCAAGGATGCCGCGAGCTAACTCATATGGATAGGGCATTACATGGACGTAGGCTGTTCGGACCTGATTGCGAAGGGATTGGTACGTTTGCCCCCCTTTTTTTTTTTCCATCGCTCCACCTCTACCTTCCCCCTTCGCGCCCCTTGAGCTTTCAGCTTACCCATTCCCGATTCTTTATTTCCAGATTAAAATGCAATCCAACGCCCTGCCCACACACTTCACTCGGACAGGCCTGGCCTTCAGCGACGGCAGCGAGATCCCCGTGTCCGTGGTAATCTTCTGCACCGGCTTCGTGGGCAACATGCGCACAGACGTGGCCCGCATATTTGGCAAGGAAGTCGCGTCTCGGGCGGACGACTTTTGGGGGCTGGACAGCGAGGGGGAACTCAAGGGGGTGTTCAAGCGGAACAGCCATCCGAATCTGTATTACATGGGCGGGACGATTGGGCATGCCAGGTATTTCTCCCGCCATGTGGCGTTGCAGATCAAGGCGGAGTTGATGGGCACGCCCCTGCCCGTCTACGAAGGGGAACGAAGGCCAGAGATGGGGAATTGGCGAGCGGTGTCGGACGGCAGTGAGCCGTGAGACAGAACCGAACATCTGCAGGTGTTGAATAGCTGCCAAACAAGACATTTCATCCAACATCTGCATCGAGATTACAGGGAAACTCGCGGGCGGGAGCCCCGATGGACAACGAGGGTCTCGCCCGTCTGGCACAGCGTTTGCAGATTGCGCTCTATCTCCTCTGCGGCGGCGAGAGGTATTATAATGTATCCCCACCAAACCAAAGCATGTGTGGTCCCCCATCGTCTTTTCCCAGAACACTCACTCCAAAAATCCCCAGAGGTTGTTGAGACTCTCGCTTAGACAAGGATGCGCGAAGATGGCGTTTTCCAACTCGTCGTAGGTCACTGGAGGGATATTCAGTAAACAGATGAATGAGTTGGTCTGGGGCAAAGCCAACAGAACAAGAGAAGAGGAAAGAGAAAAAGAGAGGAGGTGATGGGTAGAAAAGCAGTCGGTGAGACTTACACCCGCCCAACATGGCCATCTGGACCATGCTCATGATCTCCCCGCCCTCGATGCCCAGGCAGGCAAAGCCCAGGATCTCCTTGGTGTCGGCGTCGACGACGGCCTTCATGAAGCCCTTTGTCTCGTCCATCTCGAGGGCGCGGGCGACGTAGGCCATGGGCATCTTGGCGACCTTGACGTTGCGCGGGGGGTCGAGGGCGCGGGCCTCGCGCTCGGTCAGGCCGACGCGGCCGAGCTGGGGGTCGATGAAGGTGGTGTAGGGCACGAGGCGGCCGTGGATGGAGGCGCGCTCGCCGGCGTGGGCGTGGGTGATGATGTTGTGGCGCAGGACGCGGAAGTCGTCGTAGCTGACGTGCGTCTGCTGCGGGCCGCCCTTGATGTCGCCCAGGGCCCAGACGCCGGGGGCCGAGGTGGCGAGGTGCTCGTCGACGGCCACGAAGCCGCGGGGGTCGAGGGCGACGCCCGCGCGGTCGAGGCCCAGGGTCGCCGTGTTGGGCGTGCGGCCCGCGGCCACCAGCACGTGCGAGCACAGCAGCGACTTGGGGGTGCCGTCGCCCTGCGTCAGCGCCACCACGATCTGGCCCAGGGTCACGTTCGACACCTCGCGCACCGTGGCGCCCAGGTACACGTCGATGCCGGCGCCCGCGAAGATGGCCCGCACCTCGTCCGACACGTCCGCGTCCTCCTTGGGCAGCAGCCGGTCGGCGCGCTGGATCAGGCTGACGCGCGCCCCGAACCGCTTCATCATCTGCGCGAACTCGCACCCGATGGCGCCCCCGCCGACGATGGCCAGGTGGCGCGGCACCTCGCCCAGCTCCATGATGGACGTCGAGTCGAGCAGGCCCTCGGTGCGGTCGGCGTTGCGCGCGTCGAGCGTCGCGGGCGAGCACCCGGCGTTGATGAAGATCTGGTCGCCCGTGAGGGTCAGCGGGTGGGCCTCGTCGTGCGGCACGACGACCTCGAGCTGCTTGGGCGCCGTGAACGTGGCCCGGCCGAAGATGAGGTCGAGGTTGTCGGTGGCCCGGAGGCGCGCCTCGCTGCCGCTGCGGAAGCTGTCGACCATGTCGCGCTTGCGCTTGCGCACCGTCTCCATGTTGAGCACCAGGCTGGACCGCTTGAACTGCACGCCGTAGCTCTGCGCCCGGCACGCCAGGTGCGCGATGCGCGCGCTGGCCACCATCGTCTTGGTCGGCGTGCAGCCCTCGTTGATGCACGTCCCGCCCACGTGCGTCGCCTCGATCAGCGCCGTGCGCCGCCCGGCTTTGGCCAACGCCTGCGCCAGCGGTGTCCCTCCTTGGCCGGATCCTACGATGATGGCCTCGTAATGGCTTGCCATCCTCGCCGTCGCCGTCGCCGTCGTCGTGATGGATCGCCTGCTCTCGCGCCCGGGTTGCTGCTGTCCGCTGCGGCCCCCTTGCTGCAGAGCAAAAGCAGTTCGGGAGTCGAAGAGGAGGAGGAGGGCCTTACGAGCTCGCCAGGCCGTTGTCACGAGCAATTTCATCCAAGTCTCCCCCAAAAGAACACACTCTATGATCTCGTCTAGATCATGGACACGCACGTCGATTACTGCAAATAATCAACGAAAAGCCCATCCGTTCGTCCATCGAATCTATTATCTATCTGGGATCTTTTCGTCATCCAAAGATGCAATATGCTTAGTCACCGACCTGCTTGTGTAATCGGCTGAGCGGCTGCCTCCATTTGGAAAGGCAATGCTTGGAGCTGTTGCACTGGAGGGAGATGCAAGGCATACTATTAGGTGGGGGCAAGGGAAGTAAACCACGGCCCAAAGGATGGGTGGGAGAGTCAACTACCATTTTGTAGAGCAACACAGCAGCAGTGAATGCTTTGAATAGAGCTACAAACGAGGTTTCCAATTTGAGTGGCAGGGAGGATCAAAGCATCGATGCATAGATACCAAAAACTCCCGCTTGCCAAAACATCCTATCCCGTCCCATCCCATCCATCCTGTCACTGATACACAGACTTTTCCCCTGGCGTCTTGGTTGCAATTTGCCCGTTACATGTCCTCCTCACCGAAAGCAACCATGCTGTCTGCCCGAATGCCCTTCAAGCCGTGTCCTCCTCCATGTAATCTCCGTTCAATCCATTTGCTGCGGCCATGTCACTGTTCATGATCTGCTCCTGGATCCCCGGGACGCCAGTCTCGCCTGCGAGTTCGTCGGGTTGGTCCTTCCAGAGGCCGTCGTGGTGGACTTTCATGGCTGTGGGTTATCTCCAATTAGTAATGCTATTGAAAGCGACAAAAACCAACGCGGAAAGGGGGAGAAAGACTCACTGGTTGGGAAGGGATACCACGAACTCCAGTCCTCCAACATAAACACCTCCACGGTACCAGGGTTGGCCTTGGGGTCGCTGCTAGTAGGGTTGGGCGCCGGCACCGTCTTCTTGAGCTGGCCTTGTGGGCCGGGCGCACGTCTGAGATTCTTCAATTTGGCAAACACCTTCAGTTGGGCTGCCATGGCCACCTCCACCATCGGACGCCCGAGACATGCGTGTGGACCGTATCCGTGGTGGATGTAAAGAGATCGGTCGCGGGTAGGATCGATGGTGTGAGGGTTGGGGAAGACACTCTCGTCCAAGCCGGCCGCGATGAAGTCGACGTAGATTTGGTCGCCGGCCTTGACTGGAACTTTCTGGCCGTTGTCAGGGATGACAGTGTCGATGTTGGCCTTGCGAAGCAGCCCGAACGCCGCCGGGGCCAGGCGGTTCGCTTCGAGCGCGTACCCCTTGAGTTTCTCGAAATCGGCGGGATTGTTGGACCAAGCACATCGTTGAATCTCCGGCCAGTGCTCCTTGTATTCGTCCGACAAGTAAACATCCAACATCTGCGTGAAATGTTGAGCCTGGGTGGCAACGGCAGCCGCAGCGGTGGGGATGATGGTCGACACAACCTCCTCAACCGACTTGCCTCCTTCAAAGAGGCGTTTCAGGAGCAAGGTCCCATAGTCGCTGAGCAGCTCCCCAGTCGTCCCCATGGAGAAGAGGTCACGAACCCGGAGTATCCCACCCACTTTCACCGCCTCGCACACAATCTTGACAAGCTTCGAGAGTTGATCATTCGCCGTCTTGGCACCAGCACGCAGTTTGAAGGAGCTTGCGGTATCGAGATCCAGGAAGACGTACGCGAACTCGATGGACAACGCGAGGTACAGCTGATCGACTTCGACACCGATCGGGTTCAAGTCTCCCGGCTTCTTGAGCGGCAGATGGAACAGCCGCGCGACGAAGATAGCGTGTGACGGATTGCCGACGTCGCGGCAAGCGTCAAGCTGGTACCATTCGCCTCGAAGTCGTTCCGAGCGGGCAACCACAAGCTGGGTGGTCAGGTCTTCGTAGAATTTCTGGACCTGTGCAAGTCCGTTGACCGGGCAGTAGAGGGCGTTCTGCACTTCCTTCCGCTGTGTAGCGTTGGCAACGCTATCCCCGCTCAGCATGTAATCTTGATGAGTGAGGTAGAAAGTATGCGGGCCCCATGGCACGCCAAAGGACGCCTGGTCTCCAAGAACGCCTGTGACGGCCTTCCATGATCGAATCGAAGTTGGCACGCCGACGTACGAAGGTCGGTCGAAGTTGTAGTCCTGGTCTTTCCCAAGCTTGGTCAAGATCTTGCGGTTCTCTTCAGGTACTGTCAGTGGAAACATGGCGTAGACTGAATTCCCACGGTAGTAGAATGGGAGAGCCCGCATCAGCAAGGTATAGAAGCAGCCTCCTTGCGCGACTGTGGGGTCGGACTTGACTTGAGACCAGCCCCAGTTGGTCAAGTTCGCAGGCGTATAGTCGACGGTATAGAACCGATCTCCTCTAGTAAGCGCAACGGCATCGGCGAGAATGGTTCGAGAGATGGTATATCCGGGACATAGACCGGAGCCAGGCTCCAATGGATCCTTTGCGTCTTCGGCAACGATGCCAGGATAGAGCTCGACGTAGTCTGGGTGCCCATAGAGGGCCTTGAGTGAACGAGCGACTTCCGTGTTCTTGGTTATATCAGAGAAGGTCGTGTGAGGCTCGAGCTTGAAGAATTTCCGGAACTCGTTGAGCGTCGCCACGTTCCAGGCCCGCGCTTGCTGGATGCCCAGGACATCGATCAGCTTCATCACGAGGGGGACGTTCCGAGGCCCAAACGCGCAGGCGACGTCTTCGGTGGCTTCAGTCAGGATCTTGATGAGATCTTCATCCCGGAAGGTCCCTCGCTGGGTGCGTTTATATCTGCCCGAGTCAAGGTCCCATTTCGCAGGGTCAGGGCCGCGGTCATCCAGCCACTTCTTCAGTTTCGGCAACAGTTCCCACTCCGTGACCGTGGATACGTCTCGGCCGGGGAATAGAGACTGATACAACTCATTGGTCCATTTCTCATCCTTGATGCTAATGGCAGAGTGCCATCTGTAGACCAGATTGAATTCCACACTGACTTGGTTGCCTACCCCTGAAGGGATGCCGGCGCTGTCAAAAACATCCGAGAAGTTCTTCCGGGGATCCAGCGTCCACGTCGAGTTCGTGCGATTGAGATTGAGAATCGTGCGGACGTAGTCGTTAAGGATCATATTGACGTAGAGGCCGCACGTCACCAGTCGGGCAGTCTGAAACAGGTCGTTGTCGAGTTTAGCGATGGCGGCTGTGTCCTGGTCGTTCTTCGGCAGTTTGAACCGACCTCCCTCATTGATTTCCTTGAGCTGCATGGCAACATAGTTGTGGAAGCGGTTGAAGCAGACGATAATGGCAGACACGCCTGGCGGAAAGCCGAGAATGCGTTTCTCGCAGAAGCTGTCCGGCTTCAGGAGACCATCCTTGAAAGTCCTGATTTGGTTCTGCTCTTCCTGGCTGCTCCCATAAAGAGGCGCCAGGTCTAGATACGAAGACGTCTTGACCGTAGAATAGTCAGTTTCATCTGTGTGGAAACAGTCGTGGATGATTATAGTCGCAAGGTAGAAAAGCATGCTAGAGATTTTGTTCGGGTGCTCTCTAGGCTCTTCACCCCGGGCAAAGATGGCGTCGAAGATGACTCCAGGATCGGGGAGCACCCCCGGCTTGAGTGTCTGAGGAGTGACAGTCCTCGCATAGTAGGAGCCAGCCTTGCCAAGGTGCGGGTACATGATGTTGTTGTTGGACCCATCAGCTGTGCGATATTTGTAATCATCCCCCTGATATGACAAGGGAGGATGCTCCAAGTTCTCCCAGAGCAACTTGATGAACTGGTTGGTCAAGTCGTCTAGGGACTTTGACCCGGGAGGCAGCGAAGCTGCCAACTGGAGAATCTTCTCCATCTGCGGGGAGATCGGATTAGACATGATAAAAGGCATGCATTCTCAAGGACGCTCACTTGATACTGGCGATCATCAACGAGGCCGCCATCGAACAGCGTCGTATCCACCAAGGAACCAAGAAGTCCGAGGTTCTCTCCTATACGAGGTGCTTGAGATGCAACATCGGCCAGCACTCTGGCCAGAAGGGGTCGAGACTGTACTGTCGCGCCATTGATGACTGTACTGGTTGATTCAGAGCTCGACCCAGCAATACTTTCAAAGAAACTCCTGATAGTGGTGCTGATTCTGTACCCTGTGTTGTCGTCACCGGAGCCCGATGGAAGATCCCGCGAGCCATCCATTGCGTCGAGAGAAGTTGAAGAGAGCTTCCGTTTGCGCGCCATCGTGACTGGAAGAGGCCTCAGCTATATAGGCGAGACCCCGTCAGGCGTCGAAGGAATACAGGCTCCAGAGACTGGAGTAATGTCCGGATACGGCAGAAGCGAGTGATGTGTCGCAGTGGAAAGAGAAGGCAGCAAAACCACTACACGAAAAGGCCCAGGAGTCTCGCAAAAGCTCCCTTTGGACGAATAAGACTGAGGGCTGAGCCCTCGAGCTGAGGCTCCTAGGCCCACACGACCAGCAGGGGTTCATGGGGGGCCGAGAGCTCGTGGCCTGCAATAGCAACGCCCTGATTGGCGACGGCATCCTCCAACGGTGATGGACACCTTCAGCCCACGGACCCCTAGCTGGTCGACCAGCCCTCGGCAGCACGCGCAATGGCGCCTTCTGGTATCTTTAGAGACATTCGAGTGGAGACCAGTCAGAAAGTAGCCAGGAGAGAACGGGTGCTGCGACAGTAAGCAAGGGATAAGCCTAAAGGCACAGTATATCAACCGTCAGGGATAAATCTCGATTATGTCGTGCATTACTCTCTCGCTGGGCTTGATGGAAGCATCGATCGCAAAATCTGGCCGAGAACCATCAGCTGCAGCCCATGGTAAAAGGTCAATGGCGAATGCTGGATGTCCTTTTACTCGTACGAGGTACTTTGCCCATGCGACCAGTCCCGCTGCCAATTTGGTTAAACTTGCTGCAAGCCCAAGGGGCCATCCGGGGGGACTGATAGGAGCCGTTGTCTAACTAACCTTAAGCACACGCACGTCAACCGGGGGCGCTTGAAACACCAAAGATCCAGCGATCCCATTGTTCTTTTGTTCCAATGACGACCAGCAGATCCCAGGCATCTTGGTCGGCCTTAGCCTGAGAAGCATTGATTGTAGGTATGACTCTGCGACCTCTAGAGATATCGAAATAGAATCTTCGTCCGTTCCGCGTGTAACCGGCTACCCCGGTTGATTTGGTGATAGAGCAACACCAGGCTCCCGACTCGGGCGCCCACACGAACAATAGGCGTCGTAACTAGGTGGCTGCGTCACACCACAATGGAGGGTGTGGAGTACAATCTCAGCCAGCCTCTCCGTTGCTTACGGGACAAGAAATGTACTTGTAGGTCTGGAAGCTCACAACAGCATTGATCCAAGACAGAATAATCAAAAGGCGAGCCATTGAAACACCGTGTGACACTCTAGAACCCCTCTGGTCCGTGCCTGGCATGTGCTCTAGACTGCTGCAAGACAACAAAACAAGTAACCATAAAGCGCTAACAAGCGGAGCCAGCCTTGCCAAAGGAATGCAGGAGAAATCCTTTGAGGTGTTTCAGGGACGAGATTGGAAAGACAGAAGGACTCCTTCAACAACAAGTCTTTGTCTAGTCACGTCCAACGAGAGTTTGTCGTCCTGCTGATGTGTGTGATCCTAGTACAACAGCATGAATAAACCACAAGATGTCCATGGTCAGGCGCTGCAGAAGGCGTCGAGTTGCTCATCAAGTTTGAAGGCAGCATTTACATCGGCTGCAAGGCTTCAGGTCGGAAAAAGGGACAATGAAAGGCAGCTGCGGGTGCAGACATGTGGCCGCACAGGCTGCCGCCATGAGAAACATAATAGAACGATGGTGTTCCACACCGGTTACAAGATCGATCGTGTGAGTGCTGCTATGGAGCAGAGGTTAGAAAAGGTGCTGCCGGCCAGTCGTGCAAGATTTGTTCCAGCAGGAAACTACCCACCAGGAATGCAGTGAGACAATAACGCGACACGATACCAATTGAGCCGACCGCAATATGGATGGTATAAAGGAATATTGTCTGTAGAGAAACAGTAACTTTGTACCGAGTACCGACTACAGAGTGAACAAGTAAAGGGCAACCAGCACTATTTCACCATCGACACAAGAGGAGAACCGGCCAAAACGGGAAGGTGGCTTGTCAGACACTGTCATTTGATTCTCCGAGGCAGGCTCCTCAGCATCCAATAGAATCATGCCAAGCCAAAAATCTTGGCATTAAATCGCACACGAGTTTTGGATGGACCTTTTCAACATCATCGACCGCGGACCGCGCTGCAGTTCATTCTCACGAAATTTGAAGTAATCCCAGATATCACACAGCCGCCAGGATGTCGAAGCGAGGGTACGTGGCAGAGAACCATCTTTAGGCTTCTCTTCTAATGTTGAGGATCCCTAATTGCCTGGTTGACCTTGTGCTGCCGAGAAGAATTACACTGACATACTCAAACAGTCGCGGTGGTGCCTCTGGCAACAAGCTCAAGATGACTCTCGGTCTCCCTGTGTACGTGCCTCCCGATTTTCGAATTTCAAACCCAGGTTACTCTCCAGCCCGCCCTCTTGAGAGGCGACGCCGCCGCAGTCTACTTGGATTCCAATGCTGCAGTTGACTCAAAATATCCATATACTTGGTCATCAACGGCAATTCCACGCTAAATGGGATGGGGATTGATGAGAGTATACTGATGGAATATAATAGGGGAGCCGTCATGTCATGCGCAGATAACTCGGGTGCCCGAAACCTCTACATCATCTCCGTGAAGGGAATCGGTGCTCGATTGAACAGATTACCCGCCGCGGGTGTGGGAGACATGGTTATGGCTACTGTGAAGAAGGGAAAGCCAGAGTTGAGGAAAAAAGGTACGTTGTACAGAGCCCACGATCATGGGGGACAAATGGACTCACATTTTAATCCAGTCATGCCCGCCGTCGTAGTCCGACAATCGAAACCCTGGCGACGACCGGACGGTATCTACCTGTACTTCGAAGACAACGCCGGTGTTATTGTGAATCCCAAGGGCGAAATGAAGGGCAGTGCTATTACAGGACCGGTGGGCAAGGAGGCCGCTGAATTGTGGCCCAGAATTGCAAGCAACAGTGGTGTTGTCATGTGAGATGGAGAACTGTTGAGCATGGGAGAAACTTTTCGCGCCGACGGGAGGGTTTTAGGGAGCATTTTCCAGGTCACGATGGTGGGGGAGAAGGAAGCCCGTCTCCATGTCGGCGAAAATTGAGATGATACCACCAAAAACTTGGTCATGAGCGATGGACCATGAACGATGAATCCGCGAGAACCCAGACAATTCCAGGTTGGCGAGCCGAGAATCAGACAGCCTACCCTGCATAGAATTCTGTCACCCATGTGCTAGTCTGCGCATCAGTGGCACACAAATGGCACGGCGATATCCAAGAAAACCGGCATCTTTCGCCCCCAGGGGCTGAGATAGCACTGGCCAAACATGCATTTGTGAACGCTCGCATGTGATTTCAACACATCCCATCCTGTTGACAAGAAGAACAGCATTTCCGTGCCAGTCTAAGCACCGATTCTAATTGGAGAGGGTATCGCTCATGAATGTCGCGTGGCAGGTGAACACAGTAGCCCTAATTCAAGGTACCAGGCCTCAGAGATTTCCTTCGCACGTGGCGAGCAAATCATCTTCTCCTAACTGCAATCGGGCCACCCTAGGGCTCGTATATGGCTCATCCAGACAGTGCTGGCTCTGGCTCTTTCCAGGTTCTGGCCGCCGCGCTGACCCTGCCCACAGGGATTCTCAGGCATTCTCAGGGATGCACCTCGTGCCAAAAGCATGGTTCTCGAATCGCATTGAAGGCCGCCTGCTGCCTAGCTGCATCAATTTCTTTCTCTCAGTAAAAATGTGCATTGGAGCACAGCAAGTATTGACGAATGCCGCAGAAGACCAGCTGGATCAGCCCGCGTCCTCCCAGAAAGGCAGGAGCAGTTGCGGCTCCGCCGCCTGATCACAAGGACCAATTCGACTATTCGACTACCACGTCCCATGTTTTCATGTTTCCATGTTTTCAGCGTGGCTGGCACAGTATCAAGGTTTGGGACCTTCCCGGTGGCTTGCTAGGTGATAGGTATCTTTCGGGGTCCAGCTGTCATGCCATGGCTGCAGCACTGAGACAAATTGGATGGTTCGACACAGAGCCAAGGGAGTGGTTGGCACGCGGAGCCCGATCCCTTTCTGTTCAGCTGCATCTTGTCCGTCGGTTCGGCTTGACACTTTGAGAGGGTCCAGAAATCGTGAGGGGGAGGAGGGCTTGACTGGCACGCTCATGAGGGCTGTGAATGACCCCTCCCTTTTCACCCCCAGGAGTGTCATTTGGTGGCTTGCTCTGAACAGAGGCTAACTTAGACAGGTGTTTCCAAACCCACTGGCTGGGCCGGCTGCATTTTCGACTCCTCCCTCAGCCTGAAGCCGTCGATTTCGCACGCAACAACCGATGCCATTTCCAAACGGCCATTTCCGTCTCCTGATTCCTCCTGTGGCAGCGAGCCATCCTCCCCACATACCATCAAAGAGACATTCCAGGAAGCATCTACCTAAGCAGGGCAGAGTTTGGCTGTTATCTCGAATCGAGGCCGATCACGAAGGACGTTTGCGATCGGCGAGGATCTGGAGGGGCTAAGCGAGAAGCAAAAAGATGGTCAACCCTTGAGCGCTTTCGAAGACCACACTAACTGGGCGCTCAGTGGGACCAGACCCGTCCAGATTCCTCCTCACAAGCGAGTAACTCCAAGCAGCTCCAGGGTGTCCACACAGGCCAGTGTCCCTCGTGGAATCCAGGAAAGTTTGACAAAGTTAGCTGCTTTCTGGGGCTGGTGAGTCTTCAAAGTCATGGATCCTGTTGGGCGCCGACCCCGCGTCTGCAAAACTGGTTGCAGTCTATCCCAACTGCAGCAAAACCCTTGCGCCCGATATGGGCTGGCAGACTGCAGGTGCTGTAGGGTCGATGACATTCGACCTGGTCCATACGTTGTGGTTTTACAAACCGGGAATTCGAGTGCGCCAGGCATCTCGAGCCTCACACCATGCGATTTACCTTTCCCGCCTCCAAATGGTCAGCCCACAGTCGAACGAGTGCCACTCCTGAGACGACACGGCCATTGGAAGGGGGGCATAACGCAATCCCTCGCTGAAGCCTCCATGGGTGAAGGGATATCCCAGACTGGCGCCAGCACTTCTTCCAGTCTGCTGAGTCGTCATATACCCCGCCTTACAGATTGTAATAGTTCATTGACTTCCTCCGAGGGGCTGGTCTTCCCTTTGGCACTCCGTCCGGCTCCGAGTTTGGTGTGCGCTTTGGTAGCCAGTGGAGCTTCCGACCCCAGGAAGATCACCTTGCTTCATACAACGAAACCAAAGGGTGAAGGTGCGGTGCCAGCCTCAGCGATGCTACACTGTCCGAAATCTCAGTGCCAGCTTTATGTATCCCTCTGACCATCCCCAGTATGACATCAATATGGGCAGAAGAGACAGCCTCAAATCAACTTTGAGGCTCACCGCCCAACCCTGCACCATCTGGCCTAACAGAGACGAACGAGTGTAATCAGTGAGGGGGTCTGGCACACTACTGTCGAATGGGCTCAAATCGGATTCTGCAGGGACTACGAGCGAGCCCCAAGAGCTTTCAAACTCAAGCGTCCTGGCTCAACCCAATCAGAAACTCCATCACTCTTGACGGACCACAAACATGGCTTCAGCGGTTGCCCCTTTTAGTCTCCCAAGTGGATGATTTCTTCTGTCGGACAAGAAGCCACGAGGTCTTCAGCTGGCCTTGGCATGCGTTTCGCATCAAAGTTCCCCGGCGGCTTCTTCTCATCTCTGTTTCGGGCTTCATGATTCTCACGGCCATGGACCTTGACCCAGACAGACCTACCCACGCTTGACAGGGCTGCAGATGGCCCATGCGCTCCGAAATCTATTCGTCTTTCCAAAACGTGTACCCACCCTTGCAGTATCATGCATCATGCTGCATATCCAGTCATCATTTTCTAGCGTCAGGCTGATGCTCTTTGCGCTCATCTCATCAGGCCAGATTCGATCCATCAGACTGGTTCCCAAACACGAGAAAATTGCCCCCTTCTGGCACTTGGTGGGGGCCACCCATCCCCGGACCCAAAGAACTTTGAAAGTCAGCCTGGAGATCCCTTGCTTCGTCCCAGCATTGCGACCGAGCAGACCATGCAACCTGCTCTTCCGGACTCCAGAGTTTTGGCTCACAGCCTCTGAGATTCCCGATGGTGTGGCACTATGTTATCCTGTCGAAGCTAAGTCTCGGCGGGCGACGTGCTCCGTCAGGCCGACGCCTCCCAAGGTGATTCGATCCTAACCTGATTCCCATGTTCTAGTTTCCCACAAGTCATTTTTCAAGCAAGTGGGAGGGGTGAGAGAGAAAAAAAAAACCTTTCCCAAGGTGCTTCTAGTCTCACTAGGCCAAGCCCAGGAAGTGCCATCTGCACGGCGACCCGCGGGTAGCCTCTGATTCCCTCCACCTGTGAGAAGTGGCAGCCACTGAACAGTTGGGATTTGTCTTTGGTCTCTGGCCTGCTGGCTCCCTGAGGCCAACAAGACCAATCGTTGATGGTATGGCCGCCTTCAGCTTCCACTTCCGCAGGAGTTCGCGTTGTCCCAACCAAACGGTTCCCCAAGCCCAATAGCCTAGGGACAGAGGTCCATGGGAAATGCCGCCAGGAATCGAGGCTGAGTCGCTGGTTTCCCATTGCCTGATCCTTTTTCTGAACTGCAGCTCCACGCGATGCAGTAGCTTTGGAGACCGAAATGCATGCATGTCGCGACCGTGAGTTCTATTCCGAGTCTCGAATTCGTACTTACTGGCAATGACACCTCGTGGCAACCCATATTTCTCCTTTCCTTCCCTCCATCACGCCTTGGGTCCAGCATAGCGTCTGTTATGTGACACCCCATATCCCCTGTCCCTGCTGACAATCGGGTCCGCGAATGACGGACCTTGAACCGAACCTTTGTCATACGAGAGACTACTTCGTTTTGTTGCCTGCCCTGTTCTCTGATGCTATTTCCCCTGCTCCTCGGATTTGTCCAAGCCAACTACTGGGTGGGGTCGAATCTCTTTCAGCCTTGCCCATTAATACGAGAACATTTCCTGTAATCCGTCATTGTCTTGTTCGACCACACGTTTCATATATCGTTCAGAGGATCGGAGAGGTTTATCACGAGGAGAACAGGTCCTGACTGTGCTAGGACATTCAGAACACTCTCTCGACCAAGTCGACGTTCTTTGCGTCCGTGATCAACTAGTACCAGGACTATTCGGCCAACAGAGAGACAGCTGGGTGGCTCCCAACGGCTCCAAACATCTACAGCACAATATCTTCAATCTGGCTCGAAGAATGGCTGGTCCTGGAGGCGGCCCACCGCGGAAGAGCCATACAAAATCGAGAAAGGGCTGCAAAACTTGCAAAAAGCGGCACATTCGCTGCGACGAAACTTTTCCACAATGTCGAAATTGCACGAAACATAATTGTCGTTGCGACTATATGGACCTGCAAGTGGCAGGAGAAGAACCTCTGAAGGGCACCAAACCACCAGATCTCTTGATGTCGCCGGAACTCCAACTTCGACTTGACAACTGGCGGTTAACGGGCGAGTCTCCTTTGCAGGAGCTTCAAGTTCCAGACAGGATATATTGGACCCGATTTTCAACGATCGACTTGCGTCTCGTTCACCACATCACGACACTATCGACCGACATTCACAATTTGGGTTACAGCCACTGCACGGTTTGGGGGCCCAGAATGCCTTCGTAAGATAGTTCATATTCATTCGAGATAGTTTCTAGCTAATCTCCCTCCAGGCTCATCTCGGCGGCTTTGACACATGACTTTGTGATGAGTGCGTTGCTTGCACTGTCTGCATCTCATCTGGCGTGGAAAACGAAGAACACAGACACGGACAATTTAGCGTATCACCATCGCGGAGTCGCTATCAAAGGTCTTCATCAAGCAATCGGGACGTTCTCGAGAGAGAATTCCGAAGCTATCCTTGCTGCCTCGATTCTTCTTTCGTGGCAATCCACGGAATGGTGAGGTCAATGTTCCACACTTCTACAGCAGCTAATTGATAGCAGGCGCGGCTGGGCATCACTGCAACAGGGGGTATCGACGGTACGTCAAATGGAATCCTTTGACAAACAGGCCTTCTAACATGTTGCAGGTCTTGAACGCGATGAGGATGTGGATTCATGAATCAGAGCTTGCAAAGTACCTGGAAAACCAGAGGACTATGGCCAGGGCCGGAACACCTGCCACTCCCACAATGCCGAATGCCCAGGTGTCGGTTCCTCATGAAGACTTTCGCAGGATAGAACAAATCACCACGGCGCTTAACAACTTGAGACTGCGACTTACAACGACCGATGAGCTTCAAGAATATGCGGGACAATTAGTTGACTACCTGCAGGAACTACAACGAGACTTGCCCACCCAAGCGCCGGACGAAGCGTTCAGCCGCTTACAGCCACTACGGGACATGATCTTCTGGCTGCCGTCCCTGTTCCTGCGTGGCACCGACTCCGACCTGGGGCCATTAGCTCTGCTCTCGCATCTTTATGCCAGTGCGATCGCAGTCGAGCCCTTGTTCCCGAATATTGGGGGGCCCTACCTTGGAACCATGTCTATCGCACCCCTGGAGAGACTCCATGACCTAGTGAGAACAAGGCGGGTGGCCCAGCCCCAAGATACAAACATCCAAGCGGCGTGGTCTCTGGTGGAGGTACCAATACAGCTCGCGACTTCGTACAGACTGAAACAGAGACAAAACAGCCAAGGAAGCCATGGGATGGAGGGCTACCATCACTACTCTCCTCAAGGGAGTCCCTATGCGGGTCCTCGCATGCCGATTGCTACTCCCAGCTCAGACAGTTCCACAGCACCTATCTATCCCAACTCGCCCCTGCACGCGCCTGGGAGCCTGTCGATACCCGGATCGGCATATTTCCAAGCGGCTCTAGGGCCTGGGGAAGCACGGCGAGACTCGTCGATATCGTCGGCGTCGTCGCTCGGGCGTGCTCACTCAATGGGCGACCCTCGGAGTCTCCCGTCAAGCAGCCCCCACGCAATGGGCATGGTGTATGGATCGCCAGCCACACAACACCCGCGAAGCAGTCACGAGCTACCAGGGTCAAGAATGGACTACTTTGGGCAAATTCAAGCACCGTACAACCCATACGGCGGCATGAACATGAATACTCGGTTCGTCGCTCCTTCACAACTCTGGACTTGACGGACATCTTCCGACTGAGTATTCTTCTTTCCCACAGGACTCCCCCGGGCACGAGATCTCCGAATATGCAACCGGGGCAGCAAGACAAAGGGAAGGAGCGGCAACATTGACATCGAATCCAAGGAGGGGGATTGGCGATGACGTGAGACTGGAGATATCTGAGATCGTGTAATGCACGATGACTAGCAAGGCGTTTTGGGTCAGGCCAGGCGACAAACCAATGGAGGACGACAAAGCCCGCGAGCGAAAGTGGGCGAGGTTAACACTGGAAGTAAGGGTTGGTAAAATACCAGATATGGCAAAAAAAAAAAAGTCTCAAATAGGGCTGGTCCTGGATGGTGGTCATCTGGGCGGGGAGGAGAGAGGAAGGCTCTCCTTACCCTGACGCATACGAGGCATGGTGGATCGTTTGATTATGAAAGAGTCGTTGCGTTCCTGGGGAGGTGTTATCTGCAGGTCGGTGTATTCGCGACGAGGTCTCATCCTGCCTTGATGGCTCGGTGCTGCGAGGAATGGACTTGGTTTGCCAGGATGACTGCCATCTACTCTGGATGGAGGCCCTTTCAGTAGCAGCTTTCCTGGGGTGGGATTTGTGTTGACAGGGATCTCCAATGGTCCTCTCTCTTTCAACCGAGTTACCTCTTTGTGGGTTTAATGGCTGCCTTGGCGCATACCAGCTGGTACAATACATGCCAAGTGGAAGGCTGAGCAATATAGTCTCGTGTGCTCATCAGAGAGACGACCCTCCTCGTACTCGTGTGTATATTTTGGGAACACCGGGCGCATCGGTCCATCTGCCGCACACTGGAAAACCGCTATGACTCATGCAGACGCTGTATTACATATGCTCGTGTCGGCGGATGGAGGGTGGATTGTGGTCCGGGGGGAATGGATGCGACATCCAGGGTTGTATGAGTGCTCCATGCGTCTCACGAGACCCCAGCGTCTAGCGATCAAGACACGAAGGTCAAGCTCGTCATGCGAGAACGGCGCCTATGCGCCTCGTTGTTGAGGACTCATACTCTCTAGTGCACATTCCATCCGCATTGGCCAACGGGTTTGATGGTGTCAGAATCCCATCCGAAGATTCCATCCTGTGGCCAGGAACACGAAGGCGCACGTGGCGGAGGTGGTAGCCAGAACGATAAAGGGGAAGCTTAAAGCGCCATAAGCAGAGAAAACCCACGGAGACTGGGCATACCTGGGTCCAGAATGGTCTCGTACAAGAAAGCTTGCGTGGTTACAAAGCGTTGACGTCGCATCGAATAGCCGTCTCTGGATACGTGCTCCTTCTCGTCTGCTCTGCAGGGGACCGCTTGTATGTAGACCGTCTGACATGATGGATGGACTGCAAGGATACAAATCAAGAAGTCCGTGGGAAAACGATAGAAGACCCACGGCATCGAAGCAGCCAGGAGGGAAAGAAGTGATGAGGGAAGGGAGGCCCAATGCCCATCGTGCATGGTCAAGGCTACGGACGTTGGTTATGTAGGCAGATTAGACTGCAAAAGGCCCAATGAAAACAAGTCGGCCTTTGCTGGTAATTGTTCTAGGTCGAGGCCAGGATTGAGCAGCCATTGTAAGCAATTGCTGAGGCTAGCATTTCAGTCAAGTAAGACGCCCACTGGGACGGAGCCTGAGGCGAAGGAAGGAAACGGGTCAGGACACTGAATCCCCTTCTGCGGCTACAGGTACGGAGTACTTGGAGATACGAGGAGGAACAAACCTTCTGCAAGGGCAGCATCAAAAGTGTTGTCTCTGCCACTCTGCCACTCTGCCACTCTGCCACTCTGCCACTCTGCCACTCTGCCACTCTGCCACTGGTCGATTCTTGGTGACTTTGACGGGGCCAGCGACGCCCGATCTCATCGGAAGCCTCATCAAAACATCCCACTTTGTGCCACTTACCCCGTAATTACCTGTTAGTACAGGTGCCCCAGTGCCTAGGCCTAGGCCTAGTGCAAGCCGACAGACCTGCTGCAGGCTGGAAGCGCAGTTTGACCGCGCGCCTGACCCCCACTTCGCATATTTACGTCTACACAGATTCGGCCCTGTCCAGGTACCACGACCAGCCCAACACGAGTCGACGGCGCAGGTGCGAGGACTCTCTCACCTGATCCTTCTGCTTGTCAGCACCTCTGATGGCTGAAGATGCCGCCAGTGGTGGTTGGAGCACCATTGAATCCGACGAGGTAAGCCCAACTCCCAATGTCCAACGTGCATTCGCCCCTTGGATGCGGCGCTCAAGCTCGCTCAGGCCATGTACTCAAGATGGGATCGCTGACAAGCTGATGTGGGTTACAGGGCGTCTTCACCTCTCTGATCGAACAGCTGGGAGTCAAGGAAGTGCAGGTTGAAGAACTATTCTCACTCAACGCAGATTGGTTCCGTGCTTTGAGGTAACAAGGAACATCGCACACGACCCTCCCCTTCCTGCCACTCTCCCTCTCTGCCTCTCGAACCTGTCACTCTCCTTCGAAAACCAGCCCTGCTGACACGGAACGCATTTTGCCAACAGTCCTGTCTACGGTGTCATCTTCCTGTTCAAATGGACCGGCCAGGGATCGGAAAATAAGGCGGCACCTCAAGATGGCTCGTACGACCGTACCGCAGTCGATGACGAGGGACTCTTCTTTGCTGCCCAGACAATCCAGAACGCCTGCGGCACGCAGGCCATACTCTCGGTGGTGTTGAACAATGACAAGTCTGTCGATGCCTCTTCGTCAGGCGCGGACGAGGCGGGGGAGAGAATTGACATCGGTCCTGCGCTACAAGAGTTCAAAGACTTTACGGCGGGCTTCGACGCAAGCCTGCGGGGAGAGACGCTCTCGAATTCGGAAATGATCCGAACTGTCCACAACAGCTTCGCGAAATCGAGCCCGTTTGTTGACGAGACTCAGCGTGACCCCAGCGCGGGAACGGAAGACGCCTTCCACTTCATTGCCTACACCCGCTACCACGGCAAACTGTACGAACTCGACGGGCTCCAGCCCTATCCTATCCTTCACGGCGAGTGCACAGCCGAGGACTTCCCGGACAAGATCGTGTCGGTTGTGCAGCGGCGGATCTTGAGCTACCCAGAAGACGAGATCCGCTTCAACCTCATGGCCGTGTGCCAGGACCAGAGGATCAAGTGGCGCCAACTCGACGAACCCAACCTGCTCCAGGAGGAGGAACGAAAGCGGGCCAAGTGGGATTTCGAAAACGCTCTGCGGCGGCACAACTTTGTCGGGTTCACGGACGAGGTGCTCAAGGGGGTGATGGAAATGAAGATCCAAGATGGCTCCTACGATGCCTGGGTCGAGCAGGCCAAAAAGGCGACGGCGAAGAGATTCCAGGAGAGAAAGGGGTAGGTTGGTGTCTGAAGGCTATGTACCTAAGTATGGTGACATGGTCTCTAGCGGTCCACAATGGAAGGGGATCAGAGGGACTGCGATGGCCTGGATGAAGCTGTAATGGACAACGAGCGGATAATGCAGCTCAACTGCAAGTGTTAATGCCTCACGGCCTGGTTCTTTGACCCCGTTTCTGATCCCCGAGGACGTTGCCACACAGTAGCTATGCCTGTCGTGACACGCGCCCAATACCCGCGATACACGAAGAAAATTTGAGTCTTGGATGCCACAGAAGGGGAGCTAGGGCGCTGATTGGCTGGGCGGGCCTGGTGCAAAGGGCGTGCTCTGATTGGCCGGCCAGGCAAATACTAAGTGCTCATCAAGCCATCCTGGCCGCCGCCCACCCCCCCATACAAACAGCACTCCTGCCGGACCTCCAGACGCCCTTGTTCCATTCAGATTGTTGTTGCTTTGAATCGTCGCTTCATTCATCTCAATCGACGCCGCACCATTGTCTGAGTCACTTGTTGCCAGCCACCCAGCTTTCTGGCTGTCGCGCTGCCTTGATTGCCTCTCCCCCAAAACGGCCCTTTTTGGTTTCTCGCCCCGAACCATCCTTTTTCACCCCGATCCTTCCACCGATCAGTACAACCCACAACTTCATTTATCCCTCATCACCTAGATGGAAAGTGACCTTGCGCTCCTCTGTCGAGTCTGCTCTTGCTTTGAACCATGTCAGCCACCGAAATCGACACCCTGTGGCGCTCCGCCTTTGGCGAATCAGCTATCCGACCCCTGCCCTACAGTTCGGAAGAGCTGGGCGACGATGGATGGCGACCACTGACGGATCCGCAAAAATTCATCATGAATCTGGCTCCTCTGAATCACCAACAACTCTATGCTGCCAGTGCCAACAATCAACTCGCCATGATCGACGCCCAGAACGAATACCTGGAGCTAGAGCGCCACATTGCCAACATCAAGGGCAAAGAAACCATCAAAAACCCCCAAGACCTCCCGGCCCCGGATGTCTTTGAGGAACGGAAGGAAGCGGCATTGTACGGCTACAAGTATGATGCTAATCGCCCAGCCCTGCTCCATGCCGGTATTCCTGGTCTCAGATCCGCCGATGATCTGACCGACAGAGAAAAACACGATGTGCGCTTGTTCCAAGAGCCATTCGAGCAAGGGGGTTTTGTGCCCAAGGAGAGAGAGTACAGAGCCAAGGTCGCCAAAGCCAAAGATCCCAAGAACGTCGACGGCTGGATCCCCATCGAGAAAGACGGCAAGCACCTCGTCCCACGTCAACAAACTCACCATGAAGAGTACAACATCACATATGTTAAGCGCAATGTGGACGAAAATGGTGAGATCATTCGACCTCAATCCCCCGAAGGCAGTGAAGTCCCCGGTGAAACTCCAGACAAGGTCGTCAACAAACGTTTGACCAGAACCCGCTTCGATGGCAAAAAGTTCCCACCGACACGAGACGTGTCGGAGGCTCCGTCGGCAGCTTCTACTCCCAGCGGCAGAAAGCGAGGAAGTCCCTCTGGAGTCGACACGCGAGAAGATACCCCCAGCTCGAAACGCCGCAAGATCCATCTCACCGTCAATGGTGGGGAACAGCCCAAGCCGAAGCACCCGAATCAATATACAAAAGCAAAAGAAAGAGAGTTGGCAGCCACTCATACCACTCCAGCTCAAGCCAGTACCAAACCCGTCGCATCATCTTCGTCCACTTCAGCCAAGCCAACGTGGCGGGAGTTGTCGCCAATGTCAAAGCGCACACACAAGTGGACGGACCCGGATTTGATCCAGTCAATCAAAGAAGATCACACGTGGTTGCATGATGACCCCAAGAGGGCGGAAGAGTGGAAACACAAGCTCCTGAACGGCATCAATCCCGTCCGAAGTCTTAGCATGTTGCTCAAATGGAACTACTGGCAAGTCACCAACCAAGCCAAGAGACCGCGGGCGAAGAAGAACCCAGCCGAACTAGACGAATCAGTCAAGGAAATTGAGGACTCCAGCGAGTCCCAAAAGCCGAGACGAAGGGTGACCAAGCCGAAAAAGGTGGATGACAGCGAGAGATCAACACCGGCCACAACGCCCGCGCCAGAGGCCGTCAATGGCGTGGCCATGCAGAATACGAAGCTTGGGGTGCACACGCGAGCAGCGAAATCGGCTCGAAGAGCAGCCGGGGCAGAAAACGCCATATTCAGAGACACGGTTTTTGTGCAGGACAAGCGCAATGGCGCGAGCGGTGGAAAGCAAGCAGGCACAGAGACGGAGCCACCATCGAGGGGAGAGGAGGAGGTTGCAGGGGACAGAAATGGAAATGGCAAAGACCTGAATAGTAACGGATCGCCACTCAGAAGGCCAAGCATGAAGAGAGAAGAGAGTGACTCAACGATTGTGATCAAGAGCAGCGCACCGTCGACGAGGCGATCGCTACGGAGTGCGAGGAGATCCAGTGGCTAGGTTGATCTATTGGCAGTACACATCCTGGGTTTGGCAACAGCACGACGTGTGTATATATACGCCATTGTAGGGAGACAGCCGTGGCCAATCATGCTCTCTGCAGATGCTAGACAGAGAATTCATTGACAGAGCCTCGACTGGTAAGGATCGATGTAACATCTCGCGCACATCTGCGATGTATCTCGTACGACGCGAGAATAGTTCACCCTATGGATAATAATATTAGTACGGAGCATTTTCGCTCGATATGGCAATAGAAACTGCAAGGCTGAGAGGCCGGCAAGGCTGGATTCCAATTTCCAAGGCTAAGTAGGGAAGCAGGGCCCCGTGAGTCTTGGCAGGAGCGAAACTGCGCTTCGGACATTTCACTTCACAGACCTTTTCCCTTCCTTCACGCCGTGTCCTGCAATCCACGGCCATCAAGCAGTATCGACGAGTCATCGCGTGAACTTGGCGCCTTTATCTCTGCAATTTTATTCTCCTCTTGCATCTTACAGCGATACTCATCGCTCATCTCGGGGCGCCTCCGGCCTCGGTCTGGTCAGTGCTTCCTCAGCTGCGACCAGCAAGTCCGAACACGCCTGTGTCTCTCCCCCGTCAGCCCCCGTCATGACCAAGAAGAAGCGTCATCATCCCGATGTCGAAGAGGTCCTCGCGCGACCATGGTGCTACTACTGCGAGCGCGACTTCGACGATCTCAAGATTCTGATCAACCATCAGAAAGCGAAGCATTTCAAATGCGAAAGATGTGGCCGAAGATTAAACACCGCAGGGGGCCTCAGTGTCCACATGAGTCAAGTCCACAAGGAGAACCTCACTGCCGTCGACAACGCCCTCCCTAACCGGGCGGGCTTGGATATCGAAATATTCGGCATGGAGGGAATCCCCGAAGACATTATCCAACAACATAATCAGCGAGTCCTGACCAACTTCCATCAAGCTCAAGCTGATCGGCAGGCAGCTACTGGTAATAACGCTCAAAGTGCTCAGCATCCAAACGCCCCAAAGAAACCCAAGATCGAGTCTGTCTCCGATATCAAGAAACGCCTGGCAGAGCACAAAGCTGCCAAACTGGCTGCTGAGCAAGGCGACGGAGGGAGCAGTGGAGCGGCCACTCCCAACCCCCCTCCGGCCACTATGGTTCAAGCTCCGCCTCAGGTAAACACGGTAAGTCGTCTCAGTCATGCCTTGTGTCACATTCGCTCATTCTCGACACAGGCCGCATCTCCAACCTATCCCGGATTTCCTCAGCCCTATGTAGCGCCACCTACGAATGGTTCGTTCAGTCAGTCCCCTTCTTTCGCCCAGCCCCCAGCCGCTTTATCTGCTCCGTATCAGGCGTCGCCGATCTATCCTTCTGCCGCGTCTCCGCCTGCTGTCGAAGGCTACGGCCAGCATTCGGCAACTCCACAGCCTGGGCAACCAGGATACGGCCAGATGCCATATCCCCAACCGCCATACGCCCAACCCCCCCAGCCGTCCTTTCAGCCGCCGCAACCGTCACCAGTGGGGTATCCCCAGCCGAGTTATTCACCTCCGCAATATCAATCTCCCTATCCAGGTCAACCCTACCCTGGCCAGCCCGCTGGACCTCCACGTCCATTTGCGTCGGGCTCTCCAGTTCCAGGGTATCCGCAACCGCCCCCAGCTCTCGCACAACGCTCTCATTCGCCTGCTACAAACGGTAATTTTCCTGCACCAGTGCGTACTGGCAGTGTAAGTCTACCTAGTGCTCCAGGATTACCACAGAGGCCGGCTTTCGGTGCTCCGCCAGTCAATGCTTTCCAATTTCAACAAATGCATCAAGGTCAGATCCCTGCTCCACAATCCCATAACATTGTGCCGCAGTATGCTCCTGGACAAGCTTCAGCAAGCACAAGTACGCAAGTCCCGCCACAGATTCCTGTACCGAACCAGGCCGCTGCTGTTGAAGCTCAAGACGCGTCGTCCCTTGATGACCTGATCGCAAATGCTTCTAAGCAAGCTGACGTCGATGCCGCTGCCGCCGCAGAGGCTGCCACCAAACCCGGAGTTCCAGCAGCCGCCACTGCTCCGGCCACCACCAAAGACGAAGCCGGCGAAGACAAAGCTGGACCGAAGAAAGACAAGGAGAAGGAGAAACCAAAAGCAACCAGGTTGGTCTACTCTGATAACGAGACAAGTCCTGAAGAGAAGATGGCTATGTTGCCAAAGTACGCATTTACTCCTGCACAGAAAACAATTGTGGTCTGAGAGGGACTGTTCGATCTATTTGCGCCGAGCATCCGTGGGTAGCGACACGCCGCCCGGGATACCCCATCAAAAACTATTTCGTCTGGGTGACTGGGATTCGGAGCAAGCTTTTCCAGCTAGGTCTGGCAGTTGGCGTCCAGCTCATACTTCACATTATTCTTTCGTTTTCCCTCGCCAAAACATTGGCGACAAGCCCGAGACTGGATGGTACAAGCAGATTCGGCGTCTTTTGGTGAGTGCAAAAAGGGGCAAATCAGCATCCAATTGATGGCGGGTGAGGTGGAGGACCACTGACTCGGACTTTTCAATATATTTTCACCTTACACGGGTACAGCGGGTGGCTGTTCGGACACCAACCATGACATGCGGCTTGACACTATTCCACTGATCAAGCTGGAAAGAAACACGAAGGAAAAGGCGTTGAATTCGCACGGCTTTTGTCTGACGGGGAAGGCAGCATTTTAGCATATTCTCGATACCAAGGCTGCTTGCTTGTAAGTGCAAGACAGGTTGGTGTCTTCCCTCAGTTATCTTTCAAATACCAGTGTTGTTGACCACAACTCGTTGTGTGATTTCTCATCCAGCGTTTGCGGGGGATTCCCTGCTCTGCTGCTACTATGTGAACGCTCGAAACGCGCCATGCTATTTGTTGGGGGGGGGGGGGGGGG